ACGGGGCCGGCGACGTTAGTATCCTTAGGCTAAGGCAAAGCCTTACGATCGCTAGGGATAAGGCTAGCAAGCTAGTTATAGCGCTCGCGGCGAGTAAGAGCTTGCTGTGCCTCTCTAGCCTACTCGGCCTCCTCCTTATCCTAACGTGCTGCTTCTATCGACTAGGCGTAAAATATACTACGCAACCCCTCGCGGGCCTTAGTAGCTAATATAGCTTTAGTCTCCTACTCCGTAAACTAGGCTAACGATGCGGCCAACAGCCTACGAGCATCGTGCGGAGTAAAGTTATCGAAGTCGGATACTATAAAGTTACGATAGAAGAGGCTCACTAGGCCACCCTCCTTACCTACGAATAGTAGCGGCGACGGTGATTGCTAGACTATTACGGCTTTAGCTATCGCGCGTACGCCTTCTATAAGCTAAGCAAAGGTCTTCTTATTAGACTTCTCACTACTAGACTGCTCGTTTGCGAACCGCGTACGCTTTGTAGACGACTCCCTAGCTCTTCCGCTGCTCTTACGCTTGTTGCTTAATATAGTAGCCGGGGTAGTAGGCGGGCGAGAGGGAGTAGTAACGGCGGCGGTGCGGGTGCGGCGGCGATATAGGGTAGCGAACTCCCTACCGGTAAGGATAGTAGGAGATGGCGGCTGGATCCGAGGCTAAAGAGCGCCCTCTAGGAGTGCGCCGCTTATACGGTCCTAACCTACTAGAATACGAGGGCGGAGGCCGGGGTAGATGCGGCTCGCTATAAACGTGTCGCTAGATACAGAGTTGTTAGACTCACTATCTACACTTAGGTTATCGATGTCTATAAAGTCTAAATCAGACTTATCTACCTCCTCTACTACTACGGCCTTAGTATTGCGTGCGGACCTCCTACTTAAACGTAAAGGCGTTATAGGATCGCCGCGTAGGGGCAAGTTAGGCCGTATGCTACCTAAGCCAGCGATCTTAGATATACTACCCGAGGTGCGACGGGAAGGGGTGTGCTAGTTAACTATAGCACGTAGTAACAGGAGCGACGTAGCTAGGACCTCCTTAGTACGGCTACGTATAATGTTCTCCTATTGAAGTTAGTATACGGTCCTCTAGGTAGAAGGGTAAGTTACTTATAGCAAAAGTACCTCCTACGCGGCGAGTATTAGGAGTTTGCGCTAGATAAGTGCTATTACGTATAGCCTCACGATCTGCTACTAGAGACATATGCTCCTACACGGAGCGTAGGCGGCGAGTAGGCATGCCGGTGTTAGTGCCCGAGCGGTTGGCGTTTGTTTCAAACTTACGCAGCTTACGAGCGAGTATGCGCTAGGCTAGACTAACATCCCTAGCGGTTTAAAGAACGTCGTTATCGGCTAGTACGCGCTACGTAGTAACGTTAATAGTGTAGTACTGTACCTAGTACGCCTTAACGAAGCTATTACGTAGCTCGGATACTTTAGTAACACGACCGTTAAATCTTAGAGGGAGCTATCGTAGTTAGCTATCGACTCGTATACGGGATTTTATTAAGGGCAGCTTACGAGTTCATATCCGGCTCTCTTACTACTAGAACAATACCCGCACGCCTTATAGTCTAGTCGCTCGTAACGACGGCCTACGGCAATACTCTTAGTACACCTCTTATAGGTAGAGTATTCAGCCTTAGTATTAGGATCGGCTGCGGCTGCAGACTATTCCTAGATAGAGTTGTCCTCGAACATTAATAACGTAATACCTAGTAGGTATAATCCCTTAGTATAAGCACTAGCTATGTTAATTATTAATTATTAATTACTACTTATAATTAGGTCACATATCGCTAGCACACCGCATAGGATCCGTAAGCCCCTAAACATACCTATATATGTAATAGTGCCCTACTAGTCGCTATATAGGTGTTGTAGATAATGTTATTAACGATTAGAAGGATCTTGCGAAGACTATTAATATAATATTTAAAGTCCGAGTAAGGGTAAGAAGCGGAATTAGGCCTACTTATTTCTTAACGCGCGGCGTATAAATAAACAAATAAGCGTAGGGGCCTCGATATCCGCTTAACTTACGCGAACAGCTAGCCCTAAGTATATATAACTCGCTAAGCACCTAAGCACTCTCGGCAGCTATCCGCAGGGTAACTAAGGCATATTTATAAGGTGAATTCCTAACTTAGACATAAGTTTAACTATAGTTGTAGTACTACGAACCTACGAGGCACCGTAGGGTGTCCTTATAGTTAAGCTAGGGATCTCTATAGGAGATACCTACGGCAAAGCGAAGCGAAGTAAAGCCTACCTTTTCTACTACGGGCCTAATAAGGACCTTAGGCGTAAGAGGGGGCGTCTATAAGGTGTCGTACTATATCTATAGTATCCTACACGTAACCGTAGGGGGACCGCAGGCTGTCTGCAGTCTACTATAGTTACGTAATATGTTCCGGCCCCCCCGTAGGGGGTCCGTAGGGTGTCTAATCTAGATACCTAATAGAACATATTAGCTCCCGCATTAAGCGAGGGGGCTAAGGAGAGGAGATAGAGGAAAAGGAAGTAGAGACTTCCTTCTCTTCTACTCCTTAAGTTTACTATCGTTACTATCGTACGAGATATCGCGTACGTACCGCTAGCGTAGCTAGGGCACGTACGGCGAGTACGCTCTTCGACTTATCCCTACCCTCTTCCTTGCTATAACCCCTTCGCCGTAGCCGTATCCCCTACGTAACTACGCCGGAAACCTTACAGGTACTTAGTATAGTACTTAGTGCGGTTAACGACTATAGTCGGTAGGTAGTCGGCAGGTAGTCGGTATATAGTCTGCGCCCTACGAATAGTTAATAGCCTCTATACTAAACTACCTTACTATTTAAAATCGATATTATATATTTAAATATCTACTATATATTATATCTATATATATATAGTACTATACCGCTATAATATACCCTCGCGTACTTCTCTCTTTTATATACTAACTTAATAACCTAAATCCGATTTAGGGCCTTAAATTATATTCGGTTTAAATACTTAGGGCCCTAAATTCTAAAATAGTTCCCTAAATATTAAACTCTAACCTAAACCGAACCTAAACTTTGCTAGGGCTCTAACCTAATAGAGGAGCCTACGTCTAACTAGCTCTAACCCTCTTATACTATAGTTATATTATAGATATAGGATCTAACCGCCTATTAATAAGTTAAAAACGAAGGCCTAAGGCTAATAGACTAAATCTAGGGTTAGATATAGAACTACTTAATTACCTAGTAATCGAGTAATCTAGATTATAATTACTAAAAGTAACTATAATTAGGTTGCAATTACTAGAGGTAATTACGACTATATATAAATCTTCTATATATATAAAATAGATATCTCTTATATAGGTGTTATATACCTATAGTATAAGAGAGCTAGAGCTCGTTAGATAAGTAAGTTCTAAATAATAGATTAGGTAAGTAACTACTCTAAGGTTAAATCTTTTAGCGGGTTAGTAACTTAAGTTAAATATAAACTACCTATATAAGAAACATCTCTTCTATATATATAGGAGATTTATATATAGTTATAATTACTAATAGTAATTACAACCTAATTATAGTTACCTATAGTAATTATAATCTAGATTACTTAATTACCTAGTAATATAGTAATTCTATATTTAGCCCTAGAATTAGTCTACTAGCCTTAGGCCTTAGTTCCTAACTTATTACTAATAATTATATTCTATATCTATAATAATAGGTAGTTTATATTTAATCTAAGTTACTAACCTACTAAAAGGTTACTAAGATCTCTTACCTAATTACTTACTTAAGGACTTACCTAATTAACGAGCTCTAACCCTAGTATACTATAGGTATATAATATAAGTATAGAATATATATATCTAGTAGTTAGCGTAAGGATATCTATAGTAATAGAAAACCTACTAGAAGCGGGGAGTTAAACAACGGGTTAAATTTCGATATATAAATACTATATAATATAATATAGTACTAGATCTTAAGCTTTAGGTAATAGGTAGACTTATAATAGTAATTACTCTACTATTACTAGGGTATATAGCTCGAAATAGCTATAGATAAGATAATAGATCGATAGATTTATTTTTACGAGCGCTTAAGGCTATAGTTAATATAGTTAATATATTCTAATAATAGTAAGTATTATTAATACCTATAATTTAAGAATTTAGAGTAGAATAATAAATAGCTAGAGGGAATATACTTCTCCGATTAGCTCGCTTAACGCGGCGCTAGCCACTCCCTAACCCTACTAGGAAGTTATAGAAACTTACGAGGTCTTTATTAAGGCTATATTCCAACAACGTCATCGAGGCGTTAACCACACGAAGAGATGCCGATTTCTCAACCTCGTGATGCTGCAGTCCTTGAGCCGTGTGGTAGTGCTTGCATGCCCTGATTCGTGCCTTCCCGTTCTTGGCACGGAGCGGGCTGCGTGAAACGCCTACGTACCTGGCTTAGCACAGCGAGTGTTTGGCGACTGCATTCGACTACTGTTGACCGAGCAATCTGGGGTGCAGTGCTCGCGGATTATACGTCTACCACTATGCAGTCGATGCTTGTAGGGGACTAATACTCTTGGTACAACTGTTGCAGCTCCGTCACCGTAAGCGTCGCATTATGGACGAGGTCCTTTCACACATTGCTTGAAGGGCACTTTGCAGAGCAAGCAGTCCGGGGTGCAGGCATAGTGTTCGCAGATTGCAAGTCCATCACTCCGCAGCCGATGCTTGTGTCAGACTAAAACTCTTGACACGACTGATGCTGCTCCGTCACCGCAAGCGTCGCTTGTAGAAGAAATTCCCTCACACTCCAACGGCCATGCCAAACTCGGAGTGGAGCCTCATCCGATTGCGACCGACGTCGAACGTCGTGATGGGGCCTTGGATCAATATGCTGCTGGCCGTGGTGCGACAAAGAGCAGCACATAAGTAGGGTCTCTCGCCCGTTGGTGTTACTGTTTTGTTTCAATCCAAACCATCACCTCTTCTTGCAGATCTGACTCACCATGTACTCCATCCTCGCCATCGCAGCGCTGCTGAGCACCGCTCAAGCAGCAACCTACTCTGGTGTGGCCACTTTCAACGACTACGCTGCACAGAGCAACACCGTCTGTGGTCCCAAGAGTGGCGTCTCCGGCACGTATGGCGTCGCTCTCGGCGACCTTTCGCCCAACATTTGGTCTGGTAGCAAGTGCTCTGGCAGCATTAACAGTAGCAAATGGTTCGTCCTTGGACACGCCCTTGCTCGCGCATGTTTCTGACATCTCCCAGCAATGGTCAGCTCCCCGTCTCTGGCTACTCAGGTCCAGCATGCCCAACGACAACATGCGGCGAATGCTTCAGGGTTTGCAACAAAGGCGGCTATGGTGGAGCCTTCATCGGTGGCGTAGGCAACTGCGTTATCGCCAATGTCATCGACGTTTGTCCTTCCGAGTCGGCGTACAATTTCTGCAAGACAGATGTACCGGCAGCCGAAAGATGTGGTACCAGCAGCACGAACTCGATTGACTTGGACGAGAGTGCGTACTCGGCGTTGACTGGGGAGAGCTTTGGAAGTGGCCCGAACCTGCTTGTCAGCATTACGCCGAGCAGCTGCTAGGGGACCATGGAGAGATTGAAAGTGGCACTCGAGCATGCGTGCAGGAACAATTTGCAAACTTCTTGTGGCCTTACTTAGTACTGGTCGCAGAGACCTTGTGCGGGATATGAGCTGACTCTGTAGCTCCCATTAAAACAGATGTACTACGTCGGCTTGTGCCGTTACCTGCCACTGACCAACTGCGACTGTACCGCTACCTAATAGTTCTCTGTAGACAAGTTGATGCCGCGAAAAGGACTGTACTATATGTGATCTTATGGATTCGCGCGACGAAGCGAGTAAGCCCAACATCTCTCTTCAAGAAGAATCCTTGTTTTGACAAGCAATTGGCGGTTGTATCTCCGACCTTCCACGTTCTACTCCGCGGTGCCCCAGATTTTCGGGGGTCTAGTTGGGGGAGTAATTCGATCTCTGGCGATGCGGCCATGTGGAAAACCTAGAGGCGGAAAAGTCTACCCTTGGAACTAGACCCATTGGTGCGGCTACCCGCCTCCTCCGTCTCGCCCGTGGCCAAATGGGTGAGAGCTGCTGCAGGTCCGTCTCTTGTGCCACCACGACAAGCAAAAGCAGCCTCCTAAGCCGCAAAGTTACTGCTACTGTGTTGGCTAAGATATATCGATTCCTATACATGCCTGGCTGTGGAGTCTGCTATGTCCTATCACGAAGCGGAGAAATGGTCATCTCCTCGTTCGACGAGGAGTCGAGCCGCACGACTGCGATGTCCGAAGTAGTCGCCCTCACGGATTGTATTCGCCTATATAGGATCGATGACAGGAATGTTAAACACTGCATCTCGTAGACTCCCCGCCTGACAGCATGCATTACTCGACCATCCTCGCGGCTGCGTGCAGCCTCTTGGCGGCCCAGGGACTCGCGGCGCCTAATAATCCACCCAACTACGGCAACACGGTCACCGTGACAAAGACCAAGGAGATCACGCAATATCGCACCAACACTGCGTTCAAGACGACGACTGTAGCAGGCTCCTGCTCGGCTTCGAGCTCCCATAGCGCTAGTCTCAGCACGAGCCATAGCAGCAGCACATCGCATACCTCCAGCGCGACGAGCCTCACGTCTTCCTCGACCGCGTCCTCCCCGACCGCGTCGTCGTTGTCGTCGTCGTCGGGAGTTGGCTACTCAAGCACAACGTATGCCACAACACCAGCATACCCCTTTTGCACTTCCTACGCGACTCCTTTCGCCTCAGTTGACCGTACCCATCCAAGACTCTTCAATTACAATGGAACTGGAGCCAAATACTTTGCCGGTACCAATACCTGGTGGGCGAGCCACATCTTGTCCGACACAGACCTGGACACCGTGTTCTCGGATATCAAGGCGTCGCAGCTCCAGGTGACCCGCGTGTGGGGCTTTGGCAGTGTCAACACCGACCCTGGCCCAGGTACTGTGTTCTTTCAGCTACTCAACAGCACGGGTTCCTACCTTAATTACGCCGCCAATGGCATTCCTAGGCTCGACGCCGTGGTTTCGTACGCTGAGAAGAACGGCATCAAGCTAGTACTGCCATTTGTCAACAACGTGAGTGTTTTGAGGGAAGCTTACAACGATGTGAGCTAACAAAAAACAGTGGAGCGACCTGGGCGGCATTGCCTCCTACAATGCCGCATTTGGTGGCAATGCCACGACTTGGTATACCGATACTCAAAGCCAGCAAGTCTACAGGGACTACATCAAGCTTCTCGTTAATCGTTACAAGTGCTCGTCCGCTATCTTCGCGTGGGAGCTCGGGAATGAGCCAAGATGCCATGGCTGCCCAACCAGCGTGATCTACAACTGGGCCACCGGAGTATCCGAGTATATCAAGAGTCTTGACAGCAAGCACATGGTCACTCTTGGCGATGAAGGCTGGTTCGCGCCACCTGACAACATTGGCGATGGTTCATATGCGTACAGTGGTGCTGAGGGCGTGGACTTCAGTCTGAACCTTGGCATCAAGACGCTCGACTACGTAAGCTGCCATCACTGATGTACCTAGTCGTCGATACTAATGCAAGGATAGGGCACCTTCCACCTCTACCCAGACAGCTGGGGTTATAACGAGACTTGGGGCTCGACATGGATCGTTGAGCACGATGCTGTAGGCGCCAAGTACAACAAACCCGTGGTGTTGGAAGAGTACGGGTTCGCTACCGTCCCAGGCAACCATACTGCGGTCGAAGAACCATGGCAACAGACATTGCTTCTCAACACTAGTATCGCCATGGATCAATTCTGGCAATTTGGCCTCCCGAGCTTGTCTAGCTTGAGTGATGCAAACACCATCTTCACCAACGAGACGGAATATATCACGCTGGCAGAGGACCATGCAGCGGTCATGCTCGAAAAGGCTGTATAGATAGTATATCAGCGTACAACATACGTACCATAGGCAGGTGAATATACCATCTTCAGACGCATGATACGCAAACGTCTCGTAAGACAATCAACATGATGCAAAGCAGATCTTACGCATTCGATGTAGTCCAGGTTTCCGATGCTGCTATGACGTATCGTGAACAGCCTCGTGGACGGGGCAAACGTGTCTCCACGTCTGGACCTCTGATCTCAAAATGGTCGAAGAGCCGTCACACATGGTTGCGCCCTTAGTGGTCTGAAGATAGTCTGTTGATGTGATGGTAGATCGGAAGTTCACGGTGCATACCCGAGCTGTTGATATACACTTTCACTGTAATGTATTCTCCTCTCTCCATAAAGGTCATGACAGAGCCATATGGTTGAGGCCGATCCAGAACCAAGTTTGCCAATAACTTTGTATCGGTCGCAGAACTCATCGCCAATGTTTACCGGATAGTAGTATTCAGCTCTATAGCCATGAACCTTCTCATCTTCCAGCAATAAGCATTGGTCCAGTAGATCGTACTTTGCGCTGTGCGTCATACCGATGAATACTCTTTTTACAACTCTGGAAAAGGGCACGAAGGTACGCCATGGGCCGCGTGATGTCTAAGGATCGCGTCGCAGCCACAATGTGTTGTGCGACGGCGAGATATCATCGCATTCGGAGCATGGCGAGATATCATCGCATTCGGAGCATGGCGATATCCTGGCGGGCTGATCCACGCAAAGTGCTACATTGCTTCCACTGCATTGCCAGCTTACACTGTCTAGTGCCGAATCAGCTAGTATAGAGATATGTGAAGCCGTACGCTTGAGGAACCTGGACAAACACATTGTCAACCCCGGGATGTCCACGTTCGGCCCGTCTCGGCGTCGGTAAGGCCCGCTGACAGCGTAGCTCCTGGTCTAGAAGGAGGTCGACTTCCTAGGATTTATTATTAGAGTTAATTGCATTCGTATAGATTTAGAGAAGATTACGTCGATATAGTAATCTTTAGACTCTTATAATTCTTAGATTAGAGGTAACTTAGAGGTCGTAACGGACTATAGTTATTACGATCTAGTATAGATTATAGCTTATTAGCGCTACTATAAGTAATAATAAGATAGCAACTCTTCCGGTAGATATATAGGTACCTATTACCCCATTAACGTTACGTATAGGATAATAGAGAAATATTGCTATTAGATCTGCCTAACAGAGGCCCGATGCACAATTTTTTAAAGGACATTTACGCATGAATACCATCAACTCATAAGCCTGAGCGCCAATGCTATGTACAACATTTGAGCAAAGCAATCACGTCCTACGAAGTATACTCCCTCTGCAACAATTTCGCGATGGTAGTCAGCTGAATATTGCTGGTGCCTTCGTAGATGGCGCCAATCTTGCTATCCCGCCAGTACTTCTCTGCCAAACCCTCCCTCACAAACCCCATCCCTCCCATCCATTCAATCGCACTTCCGCTGACCCTACCAGCGACCTGCGAAGAAAAGAGCTTCGCCATCGCCGCATCCTTGACAAAATCCTCGCCAGCTTCCTTCTTACGCGCAGCATTGTAGACGAGTGCTCGGGCGGCGGTGATCTCAGTATAAGCTTGTGCAAGCTGGTGCTGCATTCCCTGGAATTCTCCCACGAGCATACCGAATTGTTTGCGGTCGTTCCAGACATATCGAGCGGCATTCTCCCAAGCTCCGAGAGCGAGACCGGTCATTTGGGCCGCAATACCTATCCTTCCCTCATTCAGCAACCCAATAGCATATTTATACCCTTGGCCTTCCTCGCCTAGCAAGTTGCCCTTCGGTACTTCTACATCGTCGAAGTTGATCACGCATGTGCTCGATGCACGAATACCCAGCTTCTTCTCCTTCTTCGCGATGCTGAAACCTTTCATCGACTTGTCTACGATAAAAGCTGTTATGCCTTTGTAGCCCTTCTCCGGGTTCATGTTGGCAAATACGATGAAGAAATCCGCTTCGATGGAATTGGTGATCCACATCTTAGACCCGTTGATTTTATACCCATCTGCTGTCTTCTCCGCCCTGGTCTTGAGCGCGAAAGCGTCGGAGCCAGAGACAGGTTCCGATAAGCAGAAGGAGCCTACCGTGTCTGTTGCGAGTTTCGGTAGCCACTTCTTCCTCGATTCCTCTGTGCCGTATTTTAAAATCGCGGTGTTGACTAGTGTGTTATGCACGTCCACCAGAACACTGACACTTGGATCGACTCTTGCCAGCTCCTCGATCCCGACAATGGCGGCTGTGAAATTCATGCCCGCTCCGCCATACTTCTCTGGAATCTCGATGCCCATGAGACCTTGCTCGAAGAGCTGTTCCACGATGGCTGGGTCCATCTTCTCAGCTTCGTCCATCTCTCGTACCTTGGGTAGGATATTATCGTTGGCAAACTTGGAGACGGCTTCGGCCATGGCTTGTTCGGTCTCGGTTTGGTGGAAGATGGGAGTTGGCTGCATGCCATCCAGGTCGAAGGGTTCGCCCTCGGTTGTGATGTTGCTTGTATCGTAGCGTCGTCCAGAGGTTGAAGAGAGGCATCGTGATACTGATGGTGTCGATTGCTGTAGTACGACTCGGCTGATAGGCGTCCTAGCAGGGGCAGATGTGGCTGCTCGAGCCAATGGGCGGAGGGTGCGAGCGAGAGATGCCATCGTGCTAGTGGTGTGTATGGAATAGTATCTGAACTTGTAAAACTCGTGAAGAGAAAACAAGGGCAAGAGTAGAAGTGCACAAGGTATTGGTTGCGGCTGCGGATGCTTACTATCTTACCGTGCCCTGTGCCTTACAAAACTCTACGGTGCTACGGACATGTGCATATGCAAGGAAGCATTCGGCTCTGAAGACCTCGGCTCAAGTTTTGAGCCGATCCGGAGATCCATCGCCGAGATCTGTCCTTGAATCGTGCCCTACCTGCATTTGTGACAGTCACGCCTGCCTCCCTACGGTTTTCGGTCGTCACTTCCTGATGAAAGAGGCATATCGCGTCAGGGACGAGAACCTACGATGGCTGCCTATCGTGTACGGCGGTCGTTTGACATTCTCGCTTCTTCAGACACACAGGTGACCTGACTCTGCATGTTCCTTTCTATGCTCTTGCACTTGCCGCCCAATGAATTGGCAGACACGTTTTCATACACTTCTCTCCCAGCATTGAGTAGGTCAACACCAGCTTTGCTCCATGAACTCTTCCTTATCCCCCAAGCTCCCAGGCTCGATTGTACCAGACCCCCCAGAATCCTATGCCACAGCAATTTCGACCATGAGGAGTTTTCAGTCTAGCTCGATGGCGTATGCCAACTGTCGACGTCCTGCGAAGACAGCCAAGACCGGATTTCTCGATCTTCCGGACGAAGTACGCCACCGAATCTATGGACTTGCGATATACGACCATTACCGTGGTGTCGTCTTCCTCCCTCGAGCTCTACCTCGCAAGGTCACTCCCCAGACCGATCTGAACAGTCCATTATGCATCCCACGAAAATGCAGCCGTTCCTTACCTCGAAACGCGCCTGGCAGTCTTGGTGGAGCCTACCATTGACGACGGCACTCTAGCCGCCGGGATCTGGTCTATGTCCGGCGTGATCGAGGACGGAAACGGGTCTACTTAGTCTGTGTCGTGCGACAGCGAGTCTGGTGATGGTGATAGTTCGGATAGTGGCTATGTCAAGACTGTACTCGCACTCGGACTACCCTGGGCGGAGGAAAGAGGTGGTGTTCCGTGCGCAGACTGCCTGATCCTGTCTCTCTGGGTCGATCCGACACCCGAGGGCTGCGATTCAGAATGTGGGTGCGACTGCCACGAGCTTGGCAACGGCAGCAAAGAACTTGAGAGCGACAACACAGAAGATGGAGAAGACTCGGAAGACGGGATCCATGTTCAACCACCTGCCGCCTGTCTCGCCGGGGCTTGTAGTGACGAGCACTGCGAACACTGTGCGGGTTTCGGTCTTGGTGCTTCTCAAAACGAGCTGGCCTACGTGGACGAGTTCGATATTGACGACGAGTGGCAACGACAGGATCATGACGAAGAAGAGGATCTGGAGCACTTTGACACCGAAGAGCAAGTGGGCATGCTGTACGAATTCAGCGAACATCCATGCTCTTCGCGTGCACCGAGATTCGAAGCGAATGCTTGCTTGTGTATTACAGCGCCAACAAGTTCTCGTGGAGATTCGACTGGCAAGACTATACGCGGTCTCTGGCTCGTTTCATGAAATGGATCGATGTGACTGTTGGAGACTACGCACAGTTTACCTCAGGGCTATCTTTGGAAGGCCGTCACACGGTTGAAGAAGGCATTGAATTCGTAGCCAATATCAGCTTTGAGTCCTCGATGTCAGGGCCCCAAGTCGGGATCGAGTTCGATGACTTTTCCGACGCGGTACTCTAGCAACCGCAGACATTTTGACCAGCACGATCGGACTGGCTCTGGCTTTACCCTTCAGTGCGAAGTCATGTTCATCTTCCGCCACGGTCCGACTTCAGAAGCTTGGTACCCTCTTTATTCAGGCTATGCAGTGGTAAGCCTGCTGTACCTTTGTCAGTCATGGCTTGGCGGCTAAGATGATCATAGTGTGTCGAACAATGACCCTCCACTCTTGACGGTCGCTGACTCCGACATTTCTGCTGAGACCACGGCGAAGCAGAAGCCTCTGACGTCTGCTAAGGGTCTGCCGCGCCAGATATCATCAGGGATCGACAAAGAGACTTTCCCCGAGGAGGAGGACGAGGTGGAGGTGCTCTTTGCAAGAGCAGTTCGCGCAGTGTCCGAAGAGCTCTAGGCTACGAGCATACATTAGATCGTATGGGTACTGGACGACAAGGCTGGCTGGCTGAGCGCCCACTTTCTTGGACGCGCCCCGGGAATGAGTAATGTATGGACATGGGAACGTCAGAGCGAAGGTCGATGTGGCTTACGGACTCCGCTACTGTAGACCACCTGTACTGTAGCTCGTATTCCGTAGATGACCGATATACTTGATCTCCATGCAATTTGTGTATTGCGCTTGGACAGCACAGAGTTGTGTTGTCTGTGTCGACCTTCCAGTTCTTAGTGTGGGCACATTCGTGCATGCGCCACAAAGCTGTCGCTAGCGGGCTTCCACTTCTTCATGCCGGCGACAGGCTTTCAAACAGTCGCAAACGATGACCCTCTTCGCGCGTACCGTGATCAATGCTCCGCGCCAGTGTCTTTTACTCGAGAGCCAAATCGACAAACGTAGCCAGACCATGGTCAACCAATAAACAGCCAGCCCTAAGTCGAGACAATGCCAGATCTGAACCATCATGCCGTAAGCATATCGACAATGAGTAAAGACATGTCCTTGGAAGAGCTGCTCTGAAAAGTCTCGCAGACATTACTATGATGACAGAACGCCATCGCTGCCGTCGTTAGCAAGCCACGCCATGAATGCGACGGTTGTTCTTGACCAAGGCGGGAGCGTGAGCTATACCAATCTTGATGTCATATCAGGCAAGGTCATTGTACGATGTGAGTCGGCCCGTACAACAAAGCACGGCGCGCTTGGAAGCAATTTTCTGACGAGGTTCACCTAGGTGGGAAAAGTATCGACGTGGCCAGCATCGTCGTCAAGCTTGAGGGCGAAAGCCGAACAAGGCTGCTGTCACCTCCTGGTCAAAGTATGTCTTTGCACTCAGATACAGCAGGGCTGAACTCCATGGTTGCTAACGGTATTAGATGGCGAAAGACCGCGGCCGCAGCTGGAATATCACAAAATCTTGTACAAGTATGTGACGTGCTATCCTATCATCTTCACGACTGGTGATGAGCCATATCTGACCACTTCCTCAACCCAGAGTACAAATGGTCTTCCCACCAACAGCAGTGCTTGATGGCAGAAGTTCTACTGGCAGCAAAGGCTCATACACCCTCCCACTAGGCCAACACGAATACCCATTCCGCTTCAAGCTACCTTTCAACAATACATGCGCTAGCGATCGAAGCCAGCTACCAGCCGTCAGCGTTTCCGGAACGGGCGTCGAAGTCTCAAAGCCACCTACACAACATGTCAAAAAGACACTGCCGCCTACATTGAGCGGCTTCCCAGGAGAAGCTGAGATACGATACTTCGTCAAGGCCACCGTAGCACGATCCTCCATCTTCAAAGAGAATCCTAGAGCATATACGCCTTTCAATTTCTTTCCGATTGAGAGTCCTCGACCACCATCCTCGGGCTCGGAAGTCTATGCTCGACAGCGGCACAACTTTAGTCCTTATGTTGACGGTGAGCCTGTGAAGGCCAAAGGCAAAGGTGTGTTCGGGATGAGAAAGGATTCGATGCCTGCAATCAACCAAGATGCTCCCGCAATCAGCGTAGACGCACGCCTACCGGAACCGGCAATACTCACATGCAACAAGGAGATCCCACTCCGCATCCTTGTCAAGAAGCTCAATACCTTCAGTGAGACCGTATACCTACAGTCCCTACAAATCTCACTAGTCAGCCTGACGAAGATTCGCGCCCATGAAGTGCATCGTACGGAAACGAACAGCTGGATTATCATGAGCAACAGCAATATGGGCGTTCCCCTTGGCCTGCCCACAGATGTTGAAGGCACTGAAGTGGAGATTGGTGATCGGATGTGGTGCGACCAGACACTGCCCAACACGGTCGCGCCGTCATTCGAGACCTGCAACATCGCGCGGACCTACCACCTAGACATCAGAGTGGGTTTGAGTTATAGCGGCAGTACTGCAGGCGGCACAAAGGTACGCAAAGGCGCAATCCCGAGAATTGTATGCAGCACAAGATGCGCTTCTCATTTGTCAAGAGCTACAGACTGACTGTCCTCTTCGTAGCCACAGAACATTGCCCTGCCACTACGACTCGAATGCGAAGTCTTCTCGGGCATCACACCACCACCCGAACTCCTAGAAGCAATGGCGCGGGAGAAAGCCAATATCCACCGTCCATCTGCCTCAAATATTCCAATGACCGACAAGCTCAAGACAGAAGGACGTCTACCACCCGAGTTCGGCGCAGGACAAGTCCCGCCAACTCCTTTTGAAGGGCCGAGTTCATCTGGGCCGCCAGAGCTGCCAGCTCGACCTGGTGATGTTGGTGATGCACAGCCGCCGATGTATAGTGAGGCGCCACCGAGCTATGAGGATGCAATAGCTTCGAATCTGCCGCCGGTGAATGCGCCGAGGCCTGAGTATGCACCTCCGCCGCCAGCTGCCGATGATGCGCTGCTGCGTGATGAGAAGAAGGGGTGGGTAGGATGAGTGTTGTTTGCTAGCAGGATCCGTGTTCTGCTGCAGCGTGGAAGACAACATCATAATCGAAAGAATGAGTGCGATGAAGGAGCTGAGAACGAAGGACGCAGCGAGAGTGATGGCTTCTGATGCTTCATTGATCCTAGATACTTACAGTAATTTCTAAGTGAAGTTTATCAATGAGTCTTTCGGTAGTCACGTGCTGTGGCTGAGGTCGCGCTAGTATAAAAGCCCGCTTTCGTTGCTTCACAAACTCACTTGGCCTGTTACAAACCACTACGCTTTGAGCAGAAACACTGTGGACGAGCCGACAGACGTATCTGCACAGTGCGAGAGGATAGTGAGGGGGTGGTAGACAAGATAGGAGAGCAACACGAGCCGCAGATCGAAGCGCGCGACCTACCACAATACTCCAAGTCTGCCGTATCAGCTGGCTGTTGACCCTCACGTGCGCCAGCGTCAGCGACCAGAACACCTCACATACCGCATTTGCGGCGAAAGCTCCTGTCCACATTCGAGACTGTCGACAGCAGTCTGCACGAACCCTTCACGATGACGAACCATCTCGTGGTAGGTGAAAGTCGGCGTTATGTGTAGCCTGACGGGGCACAATGTCCAGATTGGCATGCTGACACCCACATCTTCAGGGCGACGTCTATCTCAAGATCGTTCAGGATGTGATCCGGGATTCCAAGGCTGAGTTCGAGGAGAATGGTGTGAGCCAGACGACGCTGACGGACCTCGAGCAGGTGGGTTTGCATCCCTTGTTTCATTGCGCCCACAAGCAAGCATGCACATCCCATCAAGCCGATGTCCTTTCCATCATCTTTCCGCATATCTCATCAACAAAGAACGCGAAACAAAAGAGCGTTCATCATCTTTCCTTCCCGACCACTGCACCGAAGGATCCGCTGGCAAAGGCGATGGCCGACGCTGAGCAGACGAGAAGCGGGGCTTTGCGATCTCAGAATTGCTGGGCCGACCTCTGCTTTAGGGTGCCAGCTTTATACGTGGCTTAGACCTGGCCCCACGCTTTTTTCACAACCACGCTTGCCCACTTTCAGACAGAGCCCACAAAACATGTGACTGTGCCTTGAACAGTCATCTGTGGCGCCATCAATACATGACCTGTACTGACTCGCTTGTAGGAATGGAAGACGAAGCTGAGCAGTAAGCATGTCGCTCACATGCCATGGGATCCCAAGCCAGTGCCACCGCCGATGCCACAGCCACAAGCGCCTTCGCTTCCATCAGCTTCTGCGACCAACGGCTTACCACAACAGTACAACAGTGCCTACAATCAGCCACCTCCACAGCAAACTGCACCACACATCAAAGCTGAGCCGAACTATGAGCAACAACACCACGGTCTCCTAGATAATGGCTTCCCACAGGGTGTGCCGCAGTTTGAAGGTGGTCAAGCACGAGCTCAGGTACTCAGTCAGCAGTACATGCAGCGCAACGGGCTAGCACTACCTGGCCAACGTCCTCAAGCCATACCCCCAAACGCGCAACAACTAACGCCAGCTCAAATGCAGCAGTACATGCAACAGCAACAGCAGCGACAACAAGCTGCGATGCAACAGCAGCAGGCACAGCCACGAATCAAAGTAGAGAACGACAGTCCCCAGCTCAGTCAAGGCCAGTTCCAGCAACAGCAACGGCAGCAGCAGCAGCAACGTCAACCGAACCCGGCGTACGCTCAGACCGATGGCGCGGACGAGGGTCTCAGCGAGTGGCAAGCGTATATGGCTCAGCGCCGTGCCACCACGGCAGAGGAGATGCAGCAAGCCGATCGTATGATGCAAAACAGTATCGAGCAGCACTCAGCAGATCTCGAAAGCGGCTTGATGGTACCGTTGAATGCCCAGCCAAAGGGCGCCCGCAACAAAAAGCGCAGAGTCCCTACCACAGCACAACCCTCCGCCTCAAGCACACCCGTGGTACCCCAACTCGACGGCGTGAAAGAAGACGAAGACGAAAAGCCCGTCAAGGACGAAGAAGACGAGGACGCAATTAACTCCGACCTCGACTCCGATGAAGACCCCACGGGTGACCTCAACGACGATGATGACGAGGGTGGCGACACCATCCTCTGTACGTACGATAAAGTGCAGCGCGTGAAGAATAAGTGGAAGTGTGTCCTCAAGGATGGGGTGTTGAGTATTGGGAACAAGGAGTGGGTTTTCCACAAGGGGAATGGGGAGTTTGAGTGGTGAAGCATGATTTCGTGCGAGTGGGATGAGATGAATTGATCCATCGTGAGAGCTTGGGTGAGTGGGAGGGTAGTCTGACATTATGGAGTCGTGTTCATCACGTTTGGGTTAGAAGGTCATGACCACTGAGCATGACGATGGCGTTCCGGTCTTGGTGAAGAAGAGGTTGTACCATGATGACTTGAGGCGTTCGCGAAGCTGCGTGGGAAGGCTCACAAGATTGAACATGGCTCGGCTTGAGTCTGAGTCGGCTGCATAAGGAGCCTGACATCTGTTACCTAGATTGTTTCTTCTTTCGTGCCATATTAGCACCAAGCATCGTATCGTGGACATGACATATCCGATGTTGTCATTACGTCCCTGGTCTACGATAGTCCCTTCATCATGATGATGCTGCCTGCCGTTGTGATCCTGACGGTATGATGGTGCCCTGTAGGATATCTTTTGCACCATGGTGCGAACTGTTCCGCATACCCAGAATGGATGGCTAGGGTCGCGGGACCCTATGCCCTCAACCTCAACATCACAGTCTTTCGGCGCAGGTGGGTTTGAGACTTGGGTCGATGCGTTCAGAGCTTTGACAATCGTCAATTACAGGGCATGCACAATGTTTCGATGCTGATAACAAGAGCTCACCTTATCGCGCTCGCCATAGCAAATTCTGTGGCTGTAACGTTGCTAATCAGCATAAGTTTCCCAGAAAATGACTGTGATGATCCCAGAGGAAGATTTTCCTTACATTCAATGATTCGATGGTACTCACCTGCCAGCAATTCGCATGTCAGCAAGAGCTCCTCTTCGCATTATCCCACCCAAGCCTGTTTCTCCCTAATCTTCATCCAACTCTAACATTCCCCTCCTCATCCCGCACAACATGCACAGTACTGAACTCAAACCTCTGCCAAAAGTCCGACACAAGAGAGGAATACTGACCCGCAACCCGCCACCTCTTCTCGCAAACTCCCAGCAACTCCTTCAGCTCCTGCAATCGCTTACCGCAAACCGGATCCGAGGATTCGCGGACATACCATGCATAATTCGCTGCGGCTTGGTAGAAACTATCTATAACGAACACAGGGAGTCGAACCAGTCCTTCGGTCTCGATGTAGTATCTCACGTGTCGAGCCAACCTCATCACGATGGCGGAGAACTCGGACAGACCTTCGATAGCAGCTTTCTGCATCACGAGTTGCGCTTCCGGACCGTTGAGCACGGCGCGCTCGGTACAGCTGTAGGTATCGTAGAGGACGAAGAGGGCGGAGTAGGCGATGCCCATGCTACTGCATAATGTCGCCCTCGTCCCTGCGTCCAGATTCTCTGCTTCCGCTTCGTCCGGGAGGAGGGTGGCGAGGGCCCGGCAGGTTTTGTTGAGTTGAAGCGCTTCGTCGAAGCGGTAGTCGAGTGGTAAACCGGTATCGCTTGTATGGCGGAGGATTTTGCCTAGCAGGTGAGCGGCTTGGCAGGTTCGGGCGAAGGGGGCAGCGCGGATCGTGGCGCTCGCTGATAGTGCGAGGGGTGCCGCGACGAGCATGTGGCCTTTATCCCAGGCTGTGTCGTCGGTGGGGAGATGGGTGTCTAGACTTGGGTCGGCGGAGGCGAAGGGTTTGCCGCGCGATCCGATGCTGATGAAGCGGTCGAGGAGGATGACGGCCCACCAGACTCGGCGGCGCTCTTCTTGTTCTGTCCAGGTTGTTGGGCGTTGGAGGATCTGGGGGACGTTGCGTTCGTGGATACCCATTGCGTGGCCGAGACGGGCGGCGTGGCCGATGGTGAGGTAGGCGGCTGGGTAGATTGCGTGGCCTGTTTCGTAGAGGGATATGAGGAGGAGGGCTTGGATGAGCTGGATGCTGAAGCCGTTCTGGGATTCGATGTGGGTGTAGGCTGATTTTACGTCTAGATAGAGTTGGGTTTGTGGTGCTTCGCCTTCGGCTAGTTCGAGGCAAGCTAGTTTCATGGCTGAGAAGAGGAGTGCTATGTCCGCGCCTGGCTCGTGGAGAGGGTTTGCGAGATGTTGATAGAGTCTGATCTTAGAGATTATGGGGAAGTAGGTGTGCACTGTGTCGAAGTAGTGTTCGATCATGCCCCTCAGGTCCAGTGAGTTGCCGAGACAGGCTAGAATGCTTGGTGGCGGTCTTATGTAGGGTGCCTGTATCTGGGAGCGTTCATACTCGAAGGCGTTGGAGTCCAGGAAGTACAAGGATGGAAAAGAGGAAGAGCTTTGGCCCATCGGCCTGCCATTTCCTGCGAGGGCACTGTACGGACTGCTGCCATGGCTGTTATTGTGACCATTGCTGCCGCCATTGCTCTGCGCCGGAGTCACTACACCTTGCGAGAGTAGATTCTTCAATTCGGCAACTTCCTGCCTCAGTGCTACGAAGTCCTCGGGCGATGGTGCAGCACCGCTACCACGAATCTCGTCGGAATAGTCACATGGTCGACCGATGCGGATGCAAAGACCACAGGAGGGAAGGATCTTGTCACATTTTCGTTTCTGCTTCCGGCAAGTCGTGCATGCCTGGGCAGCGAGCTCGGCGCCTGCGGTTGTAGCGGTGGTAGTTGTGGTACTCGTTAGGATATGCTGCAATGAGGGCTCCACATTCACGTCGTCTTGCTGGAAAGTGCGGACGATGCGGCCGTCGGTGTTGTCGGGTGCTGGTCGCTTGCGTTGGGCGGGTTGGTCAAAGTACGGTCCTGATGAAGATGTAGACGCCATGAGGTACTATAGCCCAGTACAATGACTCTGCTTGTCATGGATCAGGCAGCTGGCAATCTTGCATTCACCTCGTTTCCATGTCTGCTCGATCGTGACTGCTTGAATCGGAATATCGAATGCTGACTGCTGACTAAGAGCCGAGCTCCCAAGCATGACATATGACCTGCAGTAGCTCTTTTGCCTGCCTAGAGTCTACACATATCACACTTCTACCAAGACAACAACAATGGAGCAAACCCGCGCTCTCAACGCTCTGGCACCCTTCCTCGCCCTCGCCAAGTCTGCCACATCTCCACGAGCAGCAGTCGATCTCATCACCCAAGCCACTTCAGCACCCAACACCTACGTCTTCGCCGAGCTCCTCCACCAATCAAATATCCAGGCATTAGCTAACGATGAACAACACGCCTTCCACCTCGAACTACTAAAAGTCTTCGCCTACGGCACATGTGAGAGCTACAATGGTTCGTCACCAACACTCCAACCACATATCGTGATAGCTAACACCCACCCTCCACCAGCATCAACCTCCACCCTCCCACCCCTCTTCCCCGCCCAGAAAACAAAACTCCGCCTCCTATCCCTCCTCTCCATCGCCGCCCAAAAGCATCCCAACCTCACCTACCCCTCCCTCTGCGCCCGTCTCTCCTTGGACTCAGCCATCGACCTCGAACACCTAGTAACCCAGGCAATCTATAACGACCTCCTAAGCGCCACCCTAAACCCTGCCTCCCAAACCGTGGTCATCACTTCTGTGGCACCGTTGCGCGATTTAGCGCCTGGAAGCGTGGGGGATATGATTGCTGAATTGGGTGCTTGGAGCGGGAGGTGTGAGGCTGTGCTTGGGGAGTTGGAGGCTGAGGTTGCGAAGGTGAAGGCGGAGGCACGGAGGAGGAACATGGGGGAGGCGAGGACGGAGAGGCAGGTTAGTGGGGTTAATGAGGAGGGGGGTGCGGGGAAGGGTGCTTCTGGCGGTGGTGGTGGGAATGTTTTGGGTGATGGAAGGGGTGGGAGGATGTTGAGGGGCTCGGGTGGTGGCGGGGGGAGGAAGTTGGGAGAAGGGGATGAGGAGGAGGAGGATGAGGGGGATGCGATGGATTTGGACGGTGGGAATGGAGTTGTGGGTGGGAGGAAGAGGAGTGGAGGGTTGATGGGCAAGTTGGGGGGTGGGAGGACTGGGAGATGAGAGAAGCGTAGGAGGTATGGTCTCTAGAGCAGATGCTCTTGCATTGTGCGTCATGCACGCCGCACAGTACTGGTGGCAAACTCGCCAGCCGCCGAGCACGAGAAGGAGAAAACGTTTCTCAGTCCTGGTAGTGCGGGTGAGCACTGCCACATTTTTGCCAACGCCACCGCGCTAGCAAGGGCACGATGCCGAGAAGTGTCGTCCAGGGTCAAGCACGACATGGATGAAGAAAAGTCTTTGAAGCTCTTATAACGCTCAAGATAGTGCAGATCAGTCGCCAAGAGGAATACGATGATTATGATGAGGAGCTATAACGTCCATAGCTTAGCCACGAAAGCATGAAAGCTCGTATTAGAGCGGTATCAACCCCTGATTTCATGCTCCCCTGTTCTCACTCTCCGGCCCTTCCAAAAAACATACACCACCTCCCACTTCCTCCTCCCAATATCTCCTCCGAACCCCAACCCCATCGATCACGCCTTAAGCCCCCACAAGCACAACAACAAACGTCCCAGCCGGATACGCCGCAGTAAGATAAACATCCAACTCCTCATTCCCCTCAATCGGATACTCATCCTCACTCCCATCGGCATTCTTCACAACCCCATGCACGCTCAGGACTTGTGCCGCCGCGCCGGCTTTGCTAAGAGCGGCTGTATGGAAGGCGGACATGTTTCGGGCGCTGAGTTTGGCTAGCCAGAGATTGGGATGGTTGGCTGAGAGGGACGAGGTGGGGGAGAGGCGGAAGTAGGCTGGGATTGACAATTGTTCCGGGGTCTGAGTAGGAAGAGGTGATGGTGGTACCGCAGCTGTGGGAGCGGATAGTGCCGGATCAATGGGCGTGGCTACCGGTGCGGCCGCTTGGTTGGCACGTCTCGCGGGTATTTTCTGCTGCGCTGACGCCGTACTCGCTTCTGCCACCCCTCCTTCTGCCGCCTCTCCTTCTACCGCCTCTCCTTCTGCCGCACCTCCTTCTGGCCCGCTGGCACCAAGATTAGTAGCCGCCTTCGCAGCCGCAATCTCAGCAAGCTTCGTCCTATCCGCCCACCTTGTGCCCCTCACACTTCCCGGACCAGGCCCATAATGCTTCCGATGATACTGCCTCTGCTCCGGATTCTCGCGCAACCTATCGTCATTCCTGCGCTTCACGGCATCTCTACACAACGTCTCCATCGCGCGCATCTTCTGGTGCTCACCCTCCGCCACCACCTGCTGCAGGACAGGGGACGTGGCGAACCAGCGTTCCCGGAGCTCGGTCCAGCGTTCTAGGCCGCAGGCTAGACGAGTGGTGTATTGGTCTTGTTGGAGGATGTCGTAGAAGGAGCGGCGGATGGTTTTGCTTGCTGCGGGATTTAGGCCTAGGAGGTTGTTGGCTTCGGCCATTGTGATCCTTTTCCCTCTATCACGCATGCGTTTTGTGACGTCGCCGCAGATGACATCTACTGCATTCGCTTTAGCATCCAGATTGGGTTGGAGTGGATGCATCATAGCACTCAAGTGCATGTTCTCCACTACCAATCGGTCTTTTGATGCTTGCCAGGCTCCGGACTCCATGCTGGTCTTCTTGCGCTCGATGTTCATCTCGTTGCAGATTACTTCGTAGTCGTCGCGCATGGTCTGGTACATTTCGTTGCTAAGGTGGAGGTAAGCTTTACATTCGTCTAACGTCGTCTCAGAATCGTAGCGTGGTGCCATGCCTGGGTCGTCAGCGGGTAGGTGTCCATAGCCGCGAATTCGTCGGCGGCGTTTGCGCGTGAGCAGAGCTTGGTCAGACTCGAATTGCACTTTTGCGAGATGCTCTTCACGACGGGCGAGCTCTTCTGGTGGCAGACTTGGCTGTTGTGTCGCCGCTTGAGCGTCTGCTACGGTCGACTCGGGCTCTCTGGCTCCATCCTCCGCAGCTTCCGTATCAGGCTGCTCTCGTGCCTTCCGCTTCCTGGTCTTGGCGACGGATTCCTGGTTCTCGAACGAGCCGAAGGTGCTTCGGCGATGGAAGCCATTACGGCGGCGTAGTCGTTGGAACTCTGGCTCACCAATGTCCCATCCTTCGTCTAGCAGTACTTCGAGAATCTCCTTGACGCCATTGTTCTGCTCCCACAGCTCACGAATGCGATCGATCACGACTGGCTCGTCTTCGGGCTTGAGACGGTGTCCACGTCTGGGAAAGTTCCACTTGGTGGAAAATTGGCGGCGAAAGATGCGTGGTCTAGAAGCTGAATGTTAGCAGCGGTCCGTAAATGGAAGGCACGCAAGTACAGCCGTACGCTGGGATCTCGCTTTCGGGCACATTGAAGTGGTTGGCGAAATATGTGGCTATCTCTCGTGGTGTCTTTCGCTCCACAACGGACAGCTGATAGCAGATGTCCTTCTTATCCTGTCCATGGTCAGATGATCTATATATTGTGGGAGAAGAGTGATGTGATCTACCTCCCAATCGTATTTCGCCGGCCGTCCCATGGTCGCGTTTGATGATCTGGTCTGCCGTAGAGGGATGGCGGCGTGCTAGAAAGCGCAGCTAAACAGAACATGACGTGCACGGACCTCTCAGATGGCCGAGCTGCTTCGACGGCAAAATCTCGGCAAAGTGAACTTGCTCTTGCTTGCCATTTACTCCTGCACCAGCACAAATCAAGCATCTGCTTTTTTTTCAAAACTATGATTGAACCGACTGAGAAGCCATCATGTGCGTACAGCACAAAGTATGCCTCTCTTTCGCGTCTGCTGCTGTCGTCGATGGTTGTGCTTGCCTCCTTCTTGGGACTGCACGGAGGACGCGGCCCGGTTGATGTCTGGGTAAAGACGGAGCACCACCAATAATGTCTTCTGCCAAAAGCGGCCACGAAGCAATATATCATGTAGTCTATGGTCCTAATACCATAAGTATAGAGGCCCGCCTCTGCTGGACTACGTATCACCGCAACCTCTTCGCATGCCTCTCGTCGATAATACTAAGAAGCAGAGACCCGGGATCACTACAACCCCGAGCTGTTGTTTTCGCCGCGGTGCATTATTCTCTCGTGGACCCCTTGATATAACTATCTCCTTCTCGACGGCTGGATGGTTTGCAGAGATTCGACAAGTACTGCACCTGGTCACTTTCTGGAGGGATCACAGTCTTCGCATTCAAAGCCGAGTCAACTTAGTGACGATGTCTCTCTGGGTATCGAACATGCTACACCAGTTCATGGGACTTCTCGTGGCACGCGCTGCACGATGAATGTTGGCGTTGCCAGCAAACAAGGAGCGGCTCATGGTACTGGCTACTGACCGTGTTTGATCATGACTTCCAGCATTTTCTTCATCTTTAATCATCTGTCTGTTCCTTTATAGCTGATCTATCATCCGGACGTCCATCGTCACACTCACCAACAGCTACGATCGCTATGGATTTCCCACCGTATCTCACGCCGACCTGACCTGTTACAGAAGCAACAAAGACCAAGCCGTTTGATCGTCCTGCTGGAGGTGAGTATCGTGGCCAATAAGAGCCTTCATTTTCAAGCCTATTGTTTGCACGGCTGATCATATCCAGGGCTAGCATCGTCAGCGTCGCAAGGCATACCCACAGAGCATGCTTGTTGGCCAGCCCGCCCGAACTTCAGCAGCACCGCTACGGCACCCAAAAGTTATGGAGCCAGCCCCTCTGCCCAGATATCGTCGAGCATCCACGCGGACTTCCTCAATGTGACGCTGATCATGAGCATCTCTCCGACCACGACGATCTTAGCTGGGTCAATTGCTCGTATGATGCCTGCGGAGACAGACTCAATAGTAACTGGATCACTGGCAGGTACCGCATCATCAACGACCAGTGATGCGGCCGACACCAGTCCGTACATTGCAAGTACGATACTGAGCAGTACGGACGTCCGGTCAAGCACGACAGAAGCCGTTCTCAAGCCACCAACCATCGAAACCACACTCCTGCCAATCACATTATCTGCACCTACGCCCTCGTCTACAATCTCTTGGTTGGAGATGACTTCGATTACTCCCAGCAGTGTCTTGGTCTTTACGCTGTCGTCTGCAACGAGTGGTAGCGACGACTCCGTCAGCACCGATCTTGGGACAACGACAACCTCTTACCTGACGACCTCACCTACAAATTCGGCCATCAATTTTTCCACATCTTCCGACACAACGCATGCAATCAGCTTGACAAACGTCGTCCTCTCGAGTACGATGACAAGTACCAAGACCACCATGAGAATCAGCAGTACTGGCACTCAAGCTCGTGCCACCAAGCCCATCGGCTGGGTGGCTTCCACGACTATGGTTGTCCCGATGACCAGCCAGACGACGCTTATCCAGAGCACTATGGTGACGTCCGGACCTGTTAGCAGCCCATCAAGCACATCTTCATATACAGCATCTGCCAATGGCTCGACTCTTGCAATTTATGACGCTAGACACCACTTCACACGCCCCGAAAAGGTGGTGGCAGCTGTGGTACTGCCCATCGCATTAACAGTTGTTGCGGCTATCCTCGCTCTTGTTGTCTGGCTTGAACACACGCGGAGACAGGAACGGCGAAAGAGCATAAGACGACATGAGATCCTGTCGACTGGGACTACAAGAGCGTCACTGGCATTACAACCAGATATTCTCCCTCCAGGAACTACGAGCCGCAATTTCGCATTCCCTACTGCTCCAGCCGGTCCGCCACGATCAGTCAACACAGTCCAGTGCGAGGGCGGGTCAGCGACAGGGTCTGCTGTCCATGAGCCGTCGCTGGCAGGATCGAGCACACACAACCAGGCACTCGATGAGGACTACCACTACATCCTCAAGGACCTATGAGTGGCTGGACGTAGGTCCGGTCTTGGCCCTGCTGCAGATGCCCGCGAAGCTGAGCAGTGCCAGCATCATTTTGGATGGCGACCTCGATGATCAGATGCACATGTCTTGCGCATGTTGTATGCGATGTTCAGCTCTGTTATATGCGTGCTGATGTAATCAGTGACAGGGATGAGAAAGTCCTCGAATAGCGGCCAAGCTTCGGCTTCGACACGTTCTGCAAGTTCTACTGCTGCAGCTGACGAAGAACATCATCAATGTATCCTAAGCTGTACATACGGAGCCCTCGGACGTCAAGAAAGGTACCCTCCCACCTACAATATGACGTCCAATTCGCGACACTGCTGGGAAGCTGGACCGTTCTCATGCTTATTCCGATGAAGCAATCCTTCATTGCAAGTCTTACCCCAACATTCCGCTTACCCTAGGTCTTACGTCTCACCGATCCACATGCCCAGTTCCTCCAACCACCGGACACGAGCTCGCACTCGCACATACATGGTCCACTACACCTAGATCACCAGTCCACGTTCACCTTCCTGCCTGACGCAAGCGAGGACGTCCCCTAAGCAGTATCCTGAACAGACACGATGCCATACTAGGCTACAAAGACCCCTGTTCCGATGCAGGTTCGCTGCCGAGCTGACGTTCAGCTGATGGCTTCTAGAAGGTGATATGGAATTGTGAAGGTACGACGGGGTGTCACACCCTGCACTTCGCTGACAAGTTAATATATTTCCTTGACGTTGCGATCCGGGTATATTGCGTTTACGACGTCGAGATCCAGTAGATCAAAAGGACGGAGAAGTGAGGTGAGCATAATGTAGGTAGGTGGGTACTACATAAGCTCGACTGTTCCTGCGTCCCATGTCAGACACCTCTTCTAGCATTCCGTCGAGCTTCGAGCTTACTCCCCTATCTCAGAGAACACGCACAATGGCGTCCACAATCGCCGCAGTGGCTTTACTTGCCGCGCTCGTCCAAGCACAAGGCAACTACAGCCACTCAGCTACTCCCACCATCACTCCTGGAGGCTCTTATTCCACCACAACATTCAACTATAGCGCCGCCAGCACGTATCTCCCCCTTACCGATTTCTCAAACGAGCAGTTACAGTTCCTGTGGGACCAAGTCGGGCCGCTCGAGACTGCTACCATCACTACCACCGTCTCTCCTACCCCCGAGCCGTCCGAGTATCCTAAGCCTAACTTTATTCACCCGCTCGTCCCGGCTTATGTACCTGAGGTCGCAGATGCGAAGTTGCCGGATGATTTCCTTTGGGGTGTGGCATCTGCTGCTTTTCAGGTCGAGGGGGCGGCTGATGCGGAGGGGAAGGGGCCGTCTGTACGTTGAAACCATTGAGAGCACTATGGACTTTACCATTGACACTCATCTCAGGTCTGGGATCTGATCCCTCACCGCTGGGTTAACTCTATCGTGGACAATACCACTGGCGACATCGCGGCCAACGAGTACTACCTTTACAAGAAAGACAATGCTCGTCTCAAGGCCCTCGGCATTCAATCGTACAGTTTCAGTACGGCTTGGGCGAGGTTCTTTCCCTATGGTCGTGGACCCGTGAATCAGCAGGCTGTGGCTCATTATGATGATTTGTTTGCCGATCTCGAAGCAAACGGCATCAAGGCTGTTACAACCCTGTTCCATTGGGATAGTAGGTGCCTTTACCAGACTCACGGTTACTTGATGGAGAATATATGAGTATCAACTGACCTCTTTGTAGCGCCGCTTGCTTTGTTCAACAGCTATGGTGCCTGGACCAGCCAGGAGATCGTCGCTGATTTTGTCAACTATGCCAAGTTTGTAATTGAGCGCTATGATAAGCATGTTACGGCTTGGATCACCTTCAAGTGAGTAGACTTTCCGAACAGGCCATCGCAAGTGGGACAAGCTGAACAAAATGTCAGCGAGCCACAGTACTGCAACTGGCGCTTCTCAAACTACCCCTTTGGCAGCATCTTGCCCTCATACAACGGCATTGGCAAAGGCGGTCTCCGTGCCCAATACCTCTGTGGCCACTATACCCTCCTCGCCCATGCCGAGGTCTACAAATGGTACAAGAACGAGTATAAGGGAACCAAGCCCATGACTTTCAAGAACTCGGCCAACTACATCATCGCCAATAGCAGCTCAGCTGCAGACCAAGAAGCTGTGGGGAGGGTTAATGACTATAACATGGGCTGGTACGGTGGCGTTTGGAGAGATGGCGATTACCCTGCTACCTTGAAAGATACCTTGGGAGACCTCCTGCCTACTTATACCCAAGCACAGAAGGACCTGATCAAGGGCGCCGCGGATTTCTATGCCATCGATGCTTATACGACAGTGAGCCTTCACCATCTCGTCCTTGGCCTGACTGCAAGTGCTCTTCCATACTAATATATACTTTCTCCAGCTCTACGCCGCCGCCCCACCAAACGGCATCGCAGCCTGCGTAGCCAACCGCACCGACCCACACTACCCCCAATGCGCCACCACTTCCCAACTCCAACCCAACGGCTTCCCTGCCGGTCCCGCCGCCGACGCCGGCGCCACCTGGCTCTACAGCACCCCCGGCGGCGTCCGCCCATTCCTCTCCTTCATCACGAAAGAGTACTTCCCTGCTGCCAAGTCTATCATGGTGACAGAGTTTGGATTTGCCGACCCGGCGGAGGGTGCGTTCAGTACACTTGAGCAGATCCTGTGGGATCTGAGACGGGCGGATTATTTCCAGGGGTTCTTGGATGAGATTTTGGCGGCGAGGGTGTTGGATGGGGTTAATGTTACTGGGATCTTTGCTTGGGCGATTTATGATAATTTCGAGTGGAATAGTGGCCTGGGTGAGTCGTCTCTATATACACATCGTTATCTGCATGGGCTTTTTGCTGATGAGTGTGGGTTCGCAGGCACGAAGTTTGGGCTTCAGTATGTCAATCTGACATCTTATGAGCGCTACCCGAAGGCTAGTATGTTTCAGTTTTTGAATTGGTTTAAGAGTCATGGGGCGGAGACGACTGCTACTGCTAATGTCACCACGCCGATTGGGAAGAGAATGCCGGCGATGCAGAGAATGGTGTGATGGTATTGCCATACACTTCGTTCAGGGCGAGAAGGCGGTCTGGGTTGCAGTGATGTCGAAGGGGATTAGCATTCGTCCGAGTCAGGTAGCGAAGTTGTCGGTTTTCGAGCTCGAGGCGAAGTGGTCTACACGTTGGCCATTGATATTGGACAGCCCCCGTAAACACCTGACAATGCCAGACCCAGGAGCTCATCTTTCCATTTGAGGTGATACGTGGCTGTGCTTACTTACATTGAAAACCAGCATCGTGATGACCATGCACAATGACGCCCGGAAGCTCTCGGCTGCCGGCAACACGTGCCACGGAAACCCTGCATGTAAGAGCCATGGCCTCATTTCCAGGGCCAGATCTAGCCGATGCCGTCCTCGATTTCGGCGTCAAACGTCGATGCGGACGACCTCACAGCGACACTGGCCATCGGTGGGGAGATTCCAAGCAAAAGTTGCATCGAGCATCGGTGGGGCTGGGAGGCGTAGGAGGTGTGGCGCTTCCAAGTACGGCCGGCGACCGGAGCCATGTCCGGCGCTGCTCGTGGACTTGTGAATTATTATAGTACGGGTGCTACTGCGAGTGGGAGTGGGAGCGGGAGTGGGAGTTGTTTCGCGGATGTTGCTGACCAGACTCAGGCACGCGATCGTGATGTGCCTGATCCGGCGGTTAGGCTAGGACTCGTGGATCCAGCCTTGAGCGGTGCTGGTTCTGCTACGCATTTTGGTGGCTTTATGGGAGACATGGGTGGGGTGGGGATGAGTGGGGAGGGGGAGGGGTTGGACGTGGACTTGGATCTCACCATGGACATGGATATGGATCTCTCGCATGCGGGCGGGGACGGTGGAAATGTGGCTGAGGTTGGATTCGGTGGCGGGGTCATGGGACAACATCAGCAGCAGCAGATGGGAGCTTCGAGGACGGAGCAGATGATGGGTGGACGGGCTGTTGAAATCGCAGATGGCGATGGTACACCAACGACTGCACAATCGCTCGAGGCCGGCATCATGGCAGGAGCAGGTGCCGGTCCCCTACCCACAGGCTTCGGTATGGCAGCACAGCAAAACGGCAGCACACTCACCGAATTCACCAAGCGGAGGAATTGGTCGCAGCGCGTGATAGAGGAGTTGAAAGATTTCCTCCATATTCTCACACCTGACGGCCGCATCCTGTACGTCTCACCCTCATGCAAAGCAATCACGGGCCACGAATCACATTCCCTCTTAGGAAAATTCATCGGTGAATACGTCCACCCTGACGACAGCGGGATCTTTATGCGGGAGTTCAACGAGAGCATAGCGAGTGGCAACAGCTTGCGCTTCTTCTACCGATTCAAGAAAGACGATGGGACATACATAATCTTCGAATGTGATGGGCACCCGCATATCTCGCAAGAACCACATGTAGCACCGCAGGGTTATAACGCGAGTATGTCGAACGGAGGGTCATATATGTCTGGGCAGTGTAGAGGATTCTTCATGATGGCTCGACCGTATCCGACCAAGAATGCTGCACTCCTGGACTCGTTCCTGGAGCACAAGATCGAGAATGAGCGATTAATGAAACGCATCGAGGAGCTGAAGCGCGAAGAGCAGGTGGAGAACGTAGAGCAAGATCGTCTCTACCGCGAACAGACCGCTTGGGTGACGGGCATGACCCCCTCGGAATCCCACCAAAGTCTGTCTAGATTCGGTGGCGGAGGAGGAGGTGGGGAGAACGCATCGGAGACGCCGACCGAGACGCCCAACTATCAGGGCATGCCGCCGCCTGCTAAGCCGTCGCTGTCGAACACGGCGCTTACACGCCAGAATCTGGATAGTGCCCTGATGGCGCAGAAACCTGATAGTATCGCGGATAAGATGTCCCGCTACGAAGCCAATTCCACGCACCTTGAGAGCATCGAACTTATGACTGGGCTGCGGTATAGAGATGGCGAGCGAAGCCATGGGATCAGTACGGGCGACACTAGTCCAGCGTTGATTAGAGGCGATGCCGGGATTGCGATCTTGCTGGATCGGGATCGGGAGGGAAATAAGAAGGAGAAGAAGAAGTTGAAGGTCGCGGATGAGTATGTTTGTGCTGATTGTGGGACATTGGATAGTCCGGAGTGGAGGAAGGGGCCGAAGGGTCCCAAGACGCTCTGTAATGCTTGTGGGTTGCGGTGGGCGAAGAAGGAGAAGAAGAGGGGTGGGGATGATGGCAAGGATGGGAGTCCCGTCGGTGCTGGGGTGGGAGGGTCGGCTGGGCAGATGTCGCAGATTTCTGGGACGGCGATGCCGGCTATGCTGGGGCAGCAAGTGCCGAGTTTGCAGATGCAGAGTAGTAATGGGAGTAGTCAGGGCTGAATCCATGGAGGATTTTGGTGGTGAGGGCAAGGAGTCAAGTGGTGGTTCTGTGGTCGGAATTGTGATAGCGTCTACGGATGCTTTTGTGTGATGGATTTATGAGATGACTGGGATGCATTTAGACGTTGTTATGTATGGTGAGATGTGAAGAAATCTGTTCATATTTATGTTCTTCCCGTTGATTGCGGTATGCTCGTACATTCGTAGCTGCGGCTATATCGGGTTTAAATGATGTGGAATACAGCTTCGTTTGTCGATCACCAAGGTGGAGAGAGCTTGATGGTGTGCTCCTACAAGTATGCGCATCATCTTACCGCTGAGATCATGTCTTCTCCTCGTCAGCTAACATACTAATCATCTGCCGATTTCTGGCGATATCTTGGGAATCCACAATGGCGCATGTACAGTCCTCGCGCCAGATACTGCGCCAACAGATCTCTGGAGCTCCGCAAGTCCGGTTATGCAGTAGAGCTGCAGCGAGAGGCCGGCGAGGATATGCTACAGAGGATAGAGAGGAAAGGGAGAGCTTCAAGGGACAGTTGTACCAGAGTACGAATGAGCGAGTGGATCGGGAGAGGGAACAGCAGGCTCGATATGCGCGGATACGGGAGGCGCAGAAGGCGGCGAGGGGGAGGCCGTGGATGGTGCCTTTTGGTGAGGAGGAATACTTGCAACGACGATGGAAATGGGCTGACAATACGTAGTCTTGACCATGGGCTTGGCTGGTGGTTGGTACCTTGGCCAACGAGACCCGGGCGAACAGAACACGGCGTCCACTTTACCCTTGTCACAGACCACTCCGCCGCAACATAATACCTCGCCCTCGAATCTGCAGGCAGCATGGTCGGATTTCAAAGCTGTTGTCGGCGAGGAGAATATCTCCACCACGGACAGCGATCTGACATCCCATTCGGGCAGCGAATGGAGCTCTTACCCTTCTTTACCTGGCGACCGTCCCTTCGCTGTGCTGAAGCCGGGGAGTACCGGGGATGTATCTAAGATCATGGCTGTGTGTCATAGGCGGAGGATACCAGTCACGGCCTACAGCGGCGGGACATCGTTGGAAGGGCATTTCGCGGCTACGAGAGGAGGAATATGTATCGACTTCTCTCGAATGGATAAGATCATCAAGCTGAATAAGGAGGATCTTGATGTTGTCGTGCAGCCGGCTGTCGGGTGGGAGCTGCTGAATGAGGAGTTGGCGGAGTCTCAGCTCTTCTTCCCGCCTGATCCTGGTCCCGGGGCGATGATCGGAGGTATGATTGGAACGGGTTGTTCGGGGACGAATGCTTATCGGTATGGGACTATGAAGGATTGGGTGTTGAGTTTGACGGTTGTGATGGCGGACGGGACGGTGGTGAAGACGAAGCAGCGGCCGAGGAAGAGTAGTGCTGGCTACGACCTTACACGCAGCTTTATTGGCTCCGAAGGCACGCTTGGTCTCGTTACAGAGGCTGTGTTGAAGGTCACTCCTCTGCCGCAGAACACAAGGGTAGCAGTCTGCACTTTTCCTACCATTAGGACGGCAGCGGACTGCGTTTTCTCCGTCGTCGGAGCCGGTGTTCCCATTGCAGCGATAGAGATTCTGGACGATGTCCAGATGAGGTGTATCAACGACTCTGGCAGTACCTCACGAAGCTGGAAAGAAGTTCCTACCTTGTTCTTCAAATTCAGCGGGACGCCGACAGCAGTCAAAGAGCACATCTCGATGGTGCAGGGTCTAGCCAAGAAAGCCGGAAGCAAGACCTTCGAGTTTGCGAAGAACAAGGAGGAGGGGGATGAGTTGTGGAGTGCACGAAAAGAAGCCCTCTGGTCTGTCATGGCTAAGAAGCGCGACGACAGCGATCACGTCTGGACCACGGACGTCGCCGTACCGATCTCACGTCTTGCCGACATCATCGAGGAGACGAAAGACGATATCAGTAAATCGGGTCTTACAGGTAGTATAGTCGGCCACGTTGGAGATGGAAACTTCCATTCGATCATTCTGTATGATGATTCGGAGCACGATATCGCGGATGGACTTGTGCATAGGATGGTCAAGCGTGCGATCGAGATGGAGGGGACGGCAACGGGGGAGCATGGCGTAGGGATTGTGAAGCGGGATTATCTGCCGCATGAGATTGGGCAGCCGGCGGTGGATTTGATGAGGAAGGTATGTTAGGTCATATTCACATTCGACGCTGGGACGACATGCTGATAATTCATACGCGCAGATGAAACTCGCTTTCGACCCGCTATGCCTTCTCAATTGCGACAAGATTGTGCGCGCGCAGCAGCCGAAGCCGGGAGAAGTGCAGGAGTGGTAAGGTATGTATTGAGAGGAGTGTGGTTTATTGTATGCATATTTAAGCTTCTGCGACAATCACATCCCGTTTCCGGTGAAAGTACAATTACAGGGTATCATCGATCATGCATCGTCATCGCTGGCCGTGTCGTTCGTGGAACAAAAGTGGGCTGTCTACCTCTGCGGCTTTCGACCTCGCCACACATGTCTGAAGATCGTCAGCAAAAGCGGAGCCAGGGAAGGTGGAACAATTACAACTCACAGATTGTAGTACAGCGGCGAGTCCTCCCGGCATACAATCCTGGCTGCATCCTGGCACATTTGACGTACTTGCTGCTCATCATAACCCAGTACATGGGTGAAAAGCAAAACACATCTGGCGAAGAACGAGCGCTCCCATGCTCCCGAATTCTCGCTTAGGATCGTGTGGATCCAGTTGGACAGCTTATGCCGATGTGGATCTCTAGGGCGGTACTCCCAGAAGGGTATTTGGAAGGTGGCTTCATCGACATCCTCGAAGCCGGCGGCCTGTAACTGTTGACAGGTGTCGCGGCGAAGTGCGAAGGGTTTGCCGATATTTGCAGTCGCACTTTCCATGTCACGGTACCATTGCATCAGAGGTAGTTCGTCGGCTTGCAGGCCTGCTGAATCCGTCGAATGTGGCTCCCATGAGATCTCGACGTGTTCGACGATGCCGTTGGGTCTCATACATCTGGACGCTCGTTTGTACGTGGTCGGCCAGTCGTCGATCTTGCCGGCCAACAAACTCAAATGGACGAAGTCGAAGTCGCCAAGCGCTCGTGGCCAGTCTTGGTTATAGTCGATGGAGTAGTTGAAGAAGTGGGCATTCGGAGCTGCTGCGGCTAAGTCGCAGGGTTTGCGGAGGACGTCCATGGTGATGAGATCGATGCCGACGACCGCTGCTTCTGGGTACTCCTGTGCTGCTCGTACCGCCTGGACACATCGGTTTGTAAGGTTCTACTGTCTATCATGATGGGTTGTGCGACTGCACTCACCCATTCGCCCGTGCCACATCCTACGTCGAGCATCCGCATCTCCATCTGATTGTCCATGATAGTCAGGCACATATCACCAGCCAGAGCTGTGTCGTATACCAATCCAATAAGTACTGTAAGCATCGTCAGCGAATGTGCTATTGCTGGCAGGATCTGAGACTCGCAATCTAGGAATTCGCCCTCGGTCTTTGGCTAGTATGTCAGCGGAGCTCGTGTGATCGTCTGCTTGGCAGACACGCACCCTGTCCGCAGGGAATAGACCTATGCCTCCATGCCATGTGTAGAATTGACGGCCATGCCACGACCATAGTGCTGGCTTTTCAAGGAGTGACGAAATTGGTATCCTGCAAGGGTGTCAGTCAACGCTAGAAAGTTGTATATACGATTTACAGACCCTGCGGTGTGCCGTGGTAGACTTTGCTGCGGGTCACGAGTCATCACAACTCACATGGACCGAACTCGTCCGGGTCTCGAGAGCTTTGGAAGCTTCAGCAAACGTTATGTAACGTGAAGTGGTGGAGTGGGACAGCTGATACAAAGGTCAGCTTTAAGTGCCACTTTATGGTAGCGCCGGTTGCGCACCATGTTATACGTGTTGCAGGTGGCTAGAAGGAACAGTCCCAAGACCATGGTGATGGCAAACTCGGATCCACACTGCGGAGCTAGAGGTGCATATAACATGCGTTTTAGTTCCGGTAGCGCCCAGCTCGCTGGGATGGACGATAATAAGGCACGGGAAGTCTGGCAACCGAGATTCGAGAATCGACAGAATTTCAGGGTGACTCGCAACCGCGGTGAGATACCATGAGGCGTGGATTAGCATGCCCCACAACTGGTGTTATGCTAGTGTAGGCAGATGTGGTCACTGGTATGGCTTAGTCAGAAACTGTGGCGTGACGCATCTGCATCAGACTTCTGCAGCCCGCGGATTCACGCTAACCGATTGATCGCGCCCGGTAGGACCAATGGAAAGCCGCAAGGTTTGTTGGACGGTCTGCTGCTTCGGAGGTGGTCGTCTCGATCAGCTCTATGGACTTGCTTATGCGGAGGTCATAAGCGATGCAACAGCTGTCCACCATGCCGGAACGTCGTCGGGAACATTTTATATCTGTGGTCACTTCGTGCTTATGCCATCTACTGTGTACTGATGATATCGCCATGATAGACATTCGAAAGCTACCAAGCCTCTGCAACGCCTCGATGTTGCCTTCCAATGCGACTGTCTAGCGAAAAGATGTGGCAACGCTGCAGGTCTATTTCCACAAGGCCCAAAACGCCACGCTAAGCTCGCAGTAGTCGAGCAATCAATCAGACAAGCAAGCGAATAATCCGTTGACAGAAAGCAGTAGCATAACGCCCGCAGTGCAGGCCGAGCACTACTAGTGTCGGCGCCTGGCAGTCACTATGCGCCTGTGCCTCGTCAGTACCGAAGTCGCCGAGAAATGCGCTCCACTGTACTTACAGTCGATGATAAAGATGTACAGAGGACATCTGGATAGGAGTGTACAGATCCTCCTGAAGCTGCTCAACTTGCTCCGGAGTCCACTGAGCGACAGACGTGAAGAGCTCCATACTCATGCCGCTAAAGGAGCGAAATGGTCGCCCTGCTTCATCAGGCGATCGACCCATCGCCACTGGAGTGCGATTGTTAGATTCGAGACTTGTGGTGGCGAGGTCAATGATATTTACTTACGCATATACCTCCGGGCGATTCTCGACGCCAACCCGTCCCCATCACGGTAATCCTCATACGACTGTATGCGTATGTTCTCGTTGTGCTCGATCTCGTAGCCCATCTGCTCAAGGTGACGGGTAAGGTGGTGTGGATATTCTATCGGCCTGCCGTTATATGCGCTGGCTTGCTTCATGGTTTGCCACCATAGATGAAGCGGTGCACTCAGAGGTAAAGTATTATCATCACATAGTGGCTCCCAGTCAAACTCGACCAGCTCGAGCTTGCCGGTTCCTGGCGTTAGATATCTGGCATGACGCATGAGCGGCGTTCAGTGTCCGATCGGCGGTGCGTTCTCACCTGTATGCTGTAGCACAAAGACTGGCCCAGTCGGACACGCTGCCGCACAAATTTGACATATGGATCAAGTCCATTGAGCCTTCGTTCACGGGCCAATGTGGCTGCTCGAAGTCGACCATCAAGTGTCGTATGCCTCGTCTCAACGTTGGCTGGTTGGGAACCACAGACGCCAAGTCGAATCCAGTCAACTCGCTGTTCGGATACAGGTTCTTCATATCAGCAAGCCAGAAGCCTGTGCCGTGTCCAACATCGAGGATCTTCGGTGGGCCACGGCTGACTATTTCACCGCGGTGCAGACGTCTCTGCATCGCCTCCCAGATGATATCGTGGAATTGATCGAGGCGATCATGTTCACCCTAGCATTCATTAATTATGATTCACCTTCGTGTTGGGTATTGTCTCCTCACATCGTCGTGCGGGAACGGGTAGCGAAGTACAGGTTGAACAAGGGTGATCCAGTACGCATGTCCATTGCGCAAAATCGTTTGTGGCGATGGCTGCGATGGCGGCGGAGGTCGGACAGTCTCCTGGGTCACCAAAGAGGATATAGCGAGCCTGAGACGTGGTGAGTAAGTAATTATGAAAGGTCTCGAGCGCCGATCCTCATATGCATGTACCTAGTGGAGGACATCCCAGCAGCGGCTCGCTGGTCATGGCCTTATTAGCCAGTGGTATGCGAGGCGTCAGACAACGGAGACAGGTGCAGGAGAGAAAAAGCCACGAAACGCAACAACAACGATGAGCAGCCGGACCTCACAAGCAAGAAACGGGCAACGGGTATAGCACTTGTTCCCAGGCATACAAGGCCACTTATAAGCGCGCCGTCCAGTCCTTCGCACAAGCCTTCACCGATGCCACCCACAACGCTCGGAGCGCGGAGCTACTCAGCGTCTACCTACCGTTTCAGCTCCGCACTGCATTGCTGTGCAAACTGCCTGGTTCCATGCAGAACTAATGGCTCCATAATTATTGAAGGTACCGACAACATGGGTCGAGCTCGCTAGCGATTTGTTCGCTTAGCCCCCTCGCCAGGATCATGTCCATCATGCACCCGACGCAGTGGTAACAAGATGACAGTCGAGATCGCTTCCGCACTAGTGCATGAGTAGCGCAAGACTCAAAATGCAGGCGAATGGAATCTGGTATGATCACCATTCACCACCCCGAATACCAGGCCAGACTCTTTGCAGTAACGGATCATTCTGTCGGGCCTTTTTGTAATGTCGGTCATGTGAGCGTCTGTCTCTATGATTAAGCTCTACAGGATACTTAGGAATATCGCCAGAGGTAAAACAGAGCATCTTCTCTTCTCTCCAGTGTTGAGAACCGGTGACACAACTACGGAGCCGTCTCGGAACGATACAGGACCACGCAGAGCCGGGAGACAAGACCCTTCCTCCCACACGAGGACTACAGTGTCGCAATACACCACCGGGGGCGAACTTCACCCCTCGACGCTCACCGCTCGCAGAAGACATAAGCGCTGTCGTACCACCTAGTGCTCAGCCCGGACATTCCCCTAAGGGGAACCGTTCAAAGAAGGAGACATCGCACAGCACCGGAAGCCATGCGGATACCGAGATACGACTCCCGTCGTCCAAGATATCTCAAGAGGCACAATCCACTTACCTGGTTTCGCAATTGCACTCCAAGCACCGGGCAGGACCTCCCGAAGCAAGGGCGGATGCCTTATGCTACGTGCGCAGAGCGCCGATTCTCCCCGATGCATGCATGCATGAATATGCTGGCCATGCGACCGAAAGCAATGGTCGTAATTGCCACCTTCGAGACCCCGGATGCTACAGGACGTTGCATACTTGAGATTTCTAAGTCCGTCGATCGCGTGTCGTCAGCATGTGGCAATTCGAAGCCGAATCTCACATGCTGAGAATAAACCTCGCTCGTGTGACACCATAATCAAGTATCTAGGTAGTACAGGTGAGAATCCCGCCTCGACTACGAAATCCCGTCCCATATCCCTCGGGAAAACACCAATGCTGAGCACCCCACCCAACGCATTGTCCATGCAAGACATCCGCTACAACGCACAAAGACGGTGTGAGACCCCAAACGCAGTGCACATCTTCCGTGCTAGCTGTCGTGTCTAGACCCAATACCCTCCTCCCTTGTATCCAGCAAGCAGGAAACACCAATGAACACCCGGACCCCATCGACCAAAGACGTTTTAAGACGCTGAGCCACTTCCAGGCATCGGGTATCGAATCATCAACTCCTCGATCTTGGGAACGAGTTCCGGGATCCTGAAAGGCTTACTGACCACGTCGTCCTGTTCCACAAATGTCAGCATGGTTACGCGTACGGTGATCTTCACACAGCGTTGTTTCGAGTAACTTACCATGCCGGCCTGCATAGCCGTCTGGATCTGTTCAGATCTAGCGTTTGCCGTCTTTTGCATGTCAGTGTCAAAGTATCGCGTATGCCTTTGGACTATTGCACTTACGACAGCTATTATGGGAATATGGCCGGTCAGTTTGCCTTCCTGCTCCAGTTCCCGTATCTTCCTCGTACAAGTCAAGCCGTCCATCACAGGCATTTCCTGGTCCATAAGCACGACCCCTAGTTCGATCTTGCCTTCCGGACCGCCTTCGGCCCAGTATGTCGATTGGCGTAGCTTTTCGAGGGCTTCACCGCCGTGATTCGCTAGGTGCACTTCCGTACCAAGATTCTTAAGTTGCTTCTGTAACACTCGCTGGTTTACCAGGTTGTCTTCCACGATGAGGACTTTCTTCTGTATTGTTCTAGGAGTGCCTTGTGGACCGGATGATGGATATGGTCCTTGCACGCGACCGGCAGGAGGTTTGACGCCAGCAGATGGCACACTTTTGCTTCGCATGTCGTTGATCTTGGGGTCCTGTTTCGAGCCGATCCCAGACTCCGGATCGGGTGGTGCTACACTCCGCCTCGCCGCCACGTAAAATGCAAATGTGCTGCCCTTGCCAGACTCGCTCTCCACGCCAATCTCACCACCTTGTAGCTCCGTAAGCTCTCGACTGATGAACAAGCCTAGGCCAGAACCTCCATATTGCACGTGTGTCCGCGGCGAGGCCTGCGAGAAGCGCATGAATAGCGTTTTCTTCTCCTCTGGATTGAGCCCTCGTCCCGTGTCCTCGACGGAAAAGTGGATGTAGACGATCTCGCCGTCTCCCCAGTCTCGGCTGGACATGGCTTCTATCCGCTTGCTCCTGGTCGGGAAGTAGTTGACGGGTGGATTCGGCACATCGCTCGGTTTGCGCATGCTGGCCGAGATCGTGACTGTGATCGTCCGCTTGCTTTCAGTCCCGGTAAACTTGATGGCATTCGTGGTGAGATTGATGAGGACTTGCAGCACTCGCGAAGGGTCCAGTCGGACCCAGTTGAGGTCCAGATCTCGATATGATTGGTCGACCACGAACTTCAGCTGGATGTCCGCAGCCTGTAGCTCGCCTTCATGCATCTTCAATGCTCGCTGCACGACAGTCAAGGGCTGCGCATCAACAGGTGTGACGAGCAATAGTGCTGAATCGAGCTTGCTGAGCGTCAGAACATCATCTACAATGCGCTTCTGATGCTGCGCGCAAAGACTGATAATCTGTCCAGCGTCAAGACAACTCGTAAGCAGCTCGTCTGACATCACGCGTTCGCCAGACTGCCGGAATTTGGTAAGACTAGTCGTAATCTCATCACTGCACTGCAAGATAGCTGACAGCGGATTCCGCATCTCGTGGGACGTGATATCGATGAAGTTCTCCTGCTGCCGTTTGAGTTCAACAGCTTCCTCCATCTTGCGCGTTTGTATGCCCTCCGCCCATTTCTGCTGGCTAATATTCGTGATCGAGCCGAATACACTCTTCAGCCTGCCATCGTCGTATTTCTCCGGGTACGCGCTGAACAGCGCCCATGTATCGCTGGCGTTGCCATTGCGATCCTTCCATTGCGCTTTGAACCTGAACTCGTTCGTCACAGGCTGTGTATGCATCACGAGATCGTTCCACCACTCTTTCACCATCGCCGCATCCTCGTCCTTGATAGCATCCATCCAAGAATCAGTCCCGATATGAGAACTTCCGTCCTTTCGATTTATGCCGGATATCTCATACCAGGTATCGTTCGCGAAAGTGATCCGGCCGCTGTGATCAGCGATGAACATACCGACCGGAGCAAACTCCGCCATACGCGTGAACTTCGTCTCGCTATCAATAGCTTCTTGCGTCCTTGCCGCAAGCTGTTCTGCAAGCTCAATGCGATCAAGCGCCGCAAGCTTAGCTGCTCGCTGGCCCCTCCTGATCTCCTCCTCGAAGAGCACTACGGATGCCAGACTCGTCGCCAATTGTCTGCTGAGAAGCTGCACAAAGAGGCTGTAGTCGTCATCGTAAGGTCTCCGCGGGTTTATACCGAGGACCAGGAAACCGAGAATGTTCTCCCCGGTCGTCGGATGGATGGGACAAATGACCACCGCTCGCACGGGGTCACCAAAGCCACGGAAATCGAGGCCTTCTAGAAGCGATCTCGGTAGATCTTTGCTTCCCACTTCCAGGAGAACTGGCTTGTCCGTCTTCATCACCTCCCGGAAGACTGGCCCAAAGCCCTCCATGCCAGCTCTGAGTTCGATCTGCGCAGGCGCTGCAATATGGTCCTCCGGGACGCCAAGCGAGCCCTCGAGTATAAGCTGTCGAGTCGCCAGGACGGAGTTGCTATGCATACTGCTCGCATCCGAATCGGGATCGTCGGTCACAGAGTAGAGCAGCAAGAACGGACTGTCGTAGGCATTGAACTCGAAAGACCCCAGGACCTGTGACCAGAAGCCTTTCACGTCTCTCGCGCTCGCCGTCCTTTCGCCAACTTCGCGCAGCGTCAGCATCCGTCGCTCAGCAATCTTCCGTCTCGTCTTCTCGAACGCAGGATTGTAGAGGCCCATGACACTGCCATCTCGGCCAACCATGGGTATTATTGACCAACTGAAGTACGTCTCCTCGAGATAGTCGTTCCGTTTCATAAACAGGCAATCATCATCTTTCATCGTAGCTTCACCGGTGCTTTTGGCAGAGGCAAAGACATCTTTGACGTCATCCCAAATCTCCTGCCAGGCCTTGCTGTAGCTTTGACCCATCAGAGTAGGATGTTTCTGTCCAGCCAGAAGGATATATGCTTCATTGTAAATTGCAATCAGATCCTCACCCCAGTACATCGCAGCTGGATGCGGCGAAGCCATGATCAAATTGCACATTTGTCTCAGATCGCTAGGCCATAGCTCGATAGGGCCGAGAGAAGTGGCGGCCCAATCGATGCTCCTCGCGAATCGTATATGGGCTGGCATGCTGTCGGTGACGAGTAATCGGGTCCAATCGAAGGAGGAGGCGTCCGAGGGCGCGAGCACGATATGACTATGCTGAGAGTCAACTGTACTGCTCGGTGTGATGGCGACTGGTCCGCCATCGCTGCCGGGAGTCTGCTGTACGTACGTTGTTGCAGAGGGCATCAGCTGTGTCGAGCCCGACAGATCATATACCTCATGATTGGGAGCAAGCGTGCTCGTCCCAACTGATCCGGCCGACTCGATTGTCGGGATCACCTCGGATCGTCCACTATTGCTGCTGTCTGTGACCACCGCGCTCGGCACCGCTTCAGCTGTCGCTGGACCGAAATAGTCACTCGGCTCAAGCATATTCGAGTCTATGGAGGGTGGCCCCGCCGTCTCGCCAGCTGATGTTGGTGGCATACTCCTCCGTGCTACTGAGTCAGTGAACGCGCCACTAATGACACGCAGACGCTTGCGTAGTGTTGAACACGACCACGTCATGCCAGAGAACACGAATGACGGCAGACACACGTTCAGGCTTTCACCATCGATCGACGCACTCAATAGCCATGCCTTGAGCTGCAAGTATGTTCGTGGACCCGGACTCGCATCCTCGCTCGTACCACCCGTAACAGCCTCTAGCATCCCACTAAAGCTCCGTAATGCCGAATTGGCAAACACAAGCTGCAACTCGCCCGGCCCATAATTCTTGCTGTCGGCCAAGTCCACGATAAAGGTTGGCCGTTCGTCCTGTTCTAGCAATTCTATAACCCCTATCGAATGCAAGACGCCGACTTCGCCACTCGTCCCATCCGGACTGCTACTGCGGCCAGTGCTAGCCCTCTCTAGACTCCGTCTCGCGAGATTATACTCAGGCCGGGGCGCGCTCGTAGGAGTGTAGTTCGGCGTGGAGACCGTCCCACGAGCCAAGCTCACGGTCTTAAAGTGGCTATCCTCCGTCCGCGCTTTGCTAAGCATTTTCGCGCCAGCCTCGGACGAGGAGAATCGGGGTGGTAGCGCGGGTCGTGGTCTGGGCGAATGCGAGAAGAACAATGGGCTTGGAGGTTGCAACGGCGGTGGATTGAAAGCGGCTCCGCCGAAGTTGAAGTTGAATCCGTCGAGCCTATGCTTGGTCTTGGGAGCTTGGAAACGAGGTCGCTTGGTCGTTGGCTCGGAGGTCGTCTGCTGGCCGATCCACTTTCGCTTCTGCGCCTCGCCTGGCTCTGATGTGGTCGAACCTAGTGCAGGCGGGAATTCGCCAGGTGGTGTGCGGAGGAGTGTCGTCGTACTTATGCTTGCGCTTCTCCCGCGCAGACCAGTGCTATCGGATGCGTCTGGCCATGCCGGCGGCGGAGGTCTGATTGTATTGTTGTTACTGCCTCCTGCAATGCCACCTCCAAGTCCTCCTAACCCAGCCTCTCCAAGACCTGTCAATGTAAGGTTCGCTCTACCAGGCCACTTCCGTTGCCGGTCCGAGCTCGTCGAGGCCTGAGCGAATGTGGAAGGTACAACTGTAGCGACAGTCGCAGCTGCAGCAGCTGCTTCGATCGTATTTCGCTCAAGCCACTCCGGAGTGCTCTGCCGTCGGGAGGGAGAGTCGGTGCGCGCAATGCTTCGCGGTTCAAGGGGCAATCGGGCGAGCTCGTCTCTCGGCGTAAATAGGCTGGGCGGTTTACTCGTGTTCATGCCTGGGTAGCGACCTCGAAGTCGAGACGAGAAGCAGCAGGGATCACGGAAGTCATAGCGAGATGTCCGGTGGGGTCCTGAGCTGTTACGTATGTGGAGATTTATTACCCGTCACTCGTGCAAATGCTGGTGTTGTGTGTAAGGTGTGAATGTATGCGAAGTTGTGTACGAGGAGTTGCAAATAAGGAATGAATGGGTCGCAATCACGTGGAAGCGCCAATAAACGGGTGGAACAGACGATCTTGCTCAACTTCATCCACGGCCAGCAAGCAGCCTGCCCACGAAACACTTTCACTCCGCACGCGGGAAGCGGGAGATGCATTGGGGATGGGACGGAATTTAAACTCAAAGTGACGCGGCCGATATGCACAGTCAAATATTAGGATACACAGCTGCAGCTTTACAAGCAAATGCTACATGTATTCTCAAGAAGCAGGCAAGCCACTTATACATAAGTCTACAGCTAGAGATTATTCTATAGCCATAGCCGTCGCTCAATCTCGCTAATCGACGTGTGGCTGCCGCATGACACCCAAAGGGGTCGAACCACTTGTGCAACCGTGGCGCGTGTCAATGGTTTAGATAGCCGATGAGGCGCCAGTGAGATAGGACAAGTACGTCGCCCCTCGCACCAAAGCCGCCTGTCACCTCGTCGGCCTTCTAGCATCCTTCTAATTGCATGAGCTGGGAGCCACAGCAGATTTTCGAAGCAATGGGAATAATGTATCGTCTGGTATAGGCGGCAGCCTTGGCAGCGACGCCCATGACTTGTGCGCCGTGGCTATGCTTTGACAACTTTGGCGACCTGATTATGTGCCATGATAGTATTCGCGGTGTGACGGTGACGACGGGTGAGGCCATCCCAGCCGTCATCAGCCTCCCGTCATCCTACCCGGTCGTGCTTCATGCTCTGTATCATTCAGACGCACGAGCTCATGTAGTCTTCCCCGTGATCCAATGTCCCGATACGAGTACGTCCGGTCTCCGGTGACTCTCATGGCCGAAGTAGACGAATCGTTCGAGAAGGCGAGCCTCACACAGAAATACTCCCCCCAATCCTCTCCGCCTCCTCAATCCCAAACCCAAACACCAACCGATACAAATCCCGCATCCAAGCCCACTGCTCACTACTCCCCAACCACTTGACACTCTTCGCCACCTCCGCCGCTCCGAGGCGTCGGGAGGCCATATTATGCACGCCCATCATCGACTTATCCCCCATCACCAACTTCTTGTAAAACTCCAGGACTTTCACCTGCCAGGGCATATTACCGAACGCTGTGCTGGGCAAAGTCCTGACGTGCGCGGGAAGTGCTTCGCCCGAGATTTTCGTGTAGCCTGTGTGCATCCCGGCTTTGAGGAGCAGGTACCGCAATCGGGCGAGATGTGCCTCTTCCGTCCCCGCAGTAGCAGTCGAGGACGAGCGCTGGGATGAAGCGGATTCCGAGTAACCGCTCAGAACAGATGCGTTACTCGACCATCGCTCATGATGCGTCCCGCCTCGTTTCGAGCCTCCGTTGGCTGATGGCGCGGGGCCGAGGACGAGGATATTAGGTATAACAGTCGAGTCCGGCGAAGATGTCGATGAGACTGTATCGTCGAAGATCGTGGTGGGTGTTTCCGGCACGATGGGCGCGGCGGGAGCATCGTGGTACTGTCGACTACTCAAACTAGAATTCGACCGCGCTTCCGATTGTGGCCGGCTCGGAGGCGATTTGAACGATGTCTGCTTCGGAAAGGTGTTTTGGAACGTCACTTGGCTGGGTCGGGGTGTGCCACGATCGGGTCGGATTTGCGTCCAGCCGTCGCGGAAGAGGTCGCAGAGTTCCCAGCAGGCTTGCACCGCTGAGCCCAGGAGTTCTTCGTCTGAAGACTTTCCTTCTCGGTTGTTCTGCCGGAGGTTGAAGAGCATTTCTGCTAGTGACCAACATGCTCGTAGTAGTGCGTCTGTCTCCTGTGGTAGAGAGGTTCGCTGCTTCATGAGTCGATGGCACATGGTGATGTAAAAGTCCAATGTGCGTTCGTTGAAAGCTTCCGGCAGACTTCGATCTTTGGTGTTGTACAGGTGATTGTTCAGCTCGAAACTTACCCTTAACACAGAATCAGAAGCCTCGTCTGTCTTTTGCCGCGCTTCGAAAAGTGATTGGCAGAAGTCTCGACACAACTCCAAGGTTGGCAAGACTTGAGATGCATGGTCCTCATCTCGCGAGTCGTACAGTTGTTGACATAAACGCCAGCAGCTACGCCATGCTGATTCCTGTATGTCCTGCTTCCCAGCGAACTTGAAAGTTCGTTGTCGATGTGTTGATGATAGTGCTGCGAGTGTGTTGCAGAGCGTCCAGCATTCGCTCAGGGCAGTGCGAAGCGCAGCGATCTCCTCTTGTGCATTGTGTAAAGAAGCTTCCATAGCGGTCGTCATGGTACCCTCGCCGACCAGTCCAGCGGTGTCAGGGTCTTCTTTCTCCTCGCCATCCTTGTCCTCTCTGTCCATGGCTTCTGGTATGTCTATCATACTTTCAGCCAACTGAATACGTAGCGACAAGAGTGGAAGTACATACCTTCAAGCGAAGACGCTCGCCGACTTCTGCGCTTCCAGTCATCTTCGAGCTCTGTCCTGGTTTGCGCACGAGGAGTCGTCCGATCGTTGTAACGTGGTACATCTGTGTTGACAGGCGAGATTGACGCGAGCCTCTGCACACGACACATTAGCTGGAAGTACTCTATATCCGCGAGCGAGGACATGCTGACTCGATCGGCAGGGCTCTTAGCAGCCTCGGGTGTCTCTGGCGAGACGACCGTATTCTCGGAGCTCTCCGTTGGCGAGTGTATGCTAGGGTTCTTCGCCTCGAAATTCTGGAAGCCCGTGGGCGCATGGATGACAGAAGACGGCGCATCTTCTGGTGTTGCGCGAGCAGAAGCGGAGACCTGAGTATCAATCCTCTGCATGCGGTCCTGATCGAGTCAGTGTCTGCCCTTCCCTTTTATGCAGCGACCGCCACGTACACTGTCCGCGCTCTGTGGACTGGTGATTTCTATGTCGGGAGAGTTGAGCTCTTCGTTGGCCGTGTTGGGCGATTTGACATTGCCGTCCTCTTGCGCCTGATCTTCTATTTCTGTACTCTCGGTCCCGTTCGAGTCGACTGGTGACGGATCGGTGTGCTGTGGGTATGGGCTGGGTGGAGGAGCCAGGGAGTCGGATGGTCCAGAGGATCTACGGCGTTACCGATCAGCTCTGTGCGACGATCCCGCATGCGCAAAGCCTCACCTGTTCGACGTTGGGAGGTAGTGTCCTTTTGAAAAGGGCGCAGGCGAGTTGGGCGAGTCCGTGTAAGGCGAGAAGGCGGACGTGACTGCGCCTGTGGGTGAAGGCATGAGGCCGACGGTAGCCATGCTTGTGGTAGTATCGGCAGTTTGTGATCTGGACCAGATGATGCTGTCGTGTACAGCTCAACCATACAGCGTCCTGAGCTGCTCGTCAGGCAGAAGAAGACCTCGAAGTCTGAGCTGAAAAGCTATGGGCTAGCCAGACACCTTTCACAGCAGCCGAGAGCTGGGCTCCGTGGTAGGGCTGAAGGAGCTGAAGGCGATGTCACCCCGCAAGCGAGTCGTCCGGGAGGCCTGATCTCGTCTCGTCACAATCATAAGCAGCAGTAGTCAGCACATGCGATGCAGCGTCCTGGTCGTAGTCACATCGCGGGGATCATCTGGGGACAGCAGAGTAGATATGCGATAGACATGTATGAGGTTCAATGCTCAAGGGTAGGGAAAGCTATGGCCCGCGAAATGAGGTCCTGCGGCGCGGATGCAGAAGAGGCGATGCCAGACACGGTCAAGTGGCATGAATCCTGGTCAGGACGCCTTTTCTACTCTGCAGCCGGCAAGAATTGTTCGACTATGGGATATGATAATGGACAAACGACGTCGTTCCTCACCGGTCCGACGCAGCTACCAGGCGTTCGTCAGGCTGCCGTCCAGTCAGATGTTGACATGAACCAACAGCCAACAACCACCATATCGCAGTGTAGGTTTGCCCATGCCCGCATCTTGAGATTAAGCGCCGGCGGCGTGCGCTTGGCCAGATGCAGCCATAGTGCCATGAGCCTCCTTTGACCTCGTGCAGATGTCAGCAGTAGCGCATCCTCCACATGTGCTCAAGCGAGGTGTAATATCACATTAGATAATAACGTGGATAGGGAGGGCTTGGCCGCCAACAACGACAAGGATAGCGAGGGTACTGTATGCGAGCGTACGGCGTCCAACAAGAAACATGGTCGAAGTAAACCGAGTTGGCATGCCATCCGCTATCTTGTGACTGCAGGCCGCTGTGCCCGGTCACTATAACGGATCCTCCTGCTTGCTCGCATCAACCCAGGTCAATCCCCCATGGCTCCAGACGCAACCGAACAAGCTGACTCACAGACTCACCTCAAACCCAAGATCTTCAGGCCCCCAAACATCACACCCGGCATGTGTACAGTGTATACTCCTTACCATCTGCCGAGCTGGGCCATGATATCTGTCGCTAGACTGGCCCGGGGATTGACGCTCCACAGGCGTCTTCGTACCCGTGCGCTCTACTATCATGCGGGTCACGCAATCTGCATGCAAAAAGATAGCGCTTGGGCGGTCCTGAGCTAGAGCTTCTGGGATCGGACAACCTGTCGTACCCGCGCCTCGACTAGACGACTTCCGCCGCACGTGGCACACTGGTAGTCAATTCACAGTTGCATCCAGTGTGTGCAATTGGCAGGCGTCAAACAATGCCGCCGCCGCCGCCGCCGCCGCCGCCGCCACCAACCAAAGTGCCACTCCCGCGCTTGTACGTGAAGCGCATTAGCTACCGCGAGCGAAGCAATAATGTAGCCTAATTAGCCCTGATCGGACTGTTATCGGTGGTTCTGCTCTGCTAACATTGCTCATGTGGATCCAGTCCATACATAATGCCCTCTTCGATACGTCTACTGTAAATGCTGTTGGTCTTGGTAGGCCCAAGGGGGTTATCTACAAAACGCCATGACGCCACGCTGCCCATTACACGGATCCACAATTCAATCCCATCTCACCTCACCTCACCTCTGCCCACTGACGCAGACAAGGAGATCCAAAATTACATTATCAACAGCACTTCCCACCCCCACCCCGACTCCCACTTCCCATCCCATTCCTCCCTGCGATATTAAACACATCCCCCCACCCACCCCTCCCTTTCCTCCGTCTCCGCGTAGACCCATATCCATCACTCGTCAACCCCCCGCCACTTTTAACACTACTCCCACCATCATCATCCTCGCGAAAACGGAGATAATCCGCATCCCCATACTGAATCCCACTCAGAGCATCATCCGGGTCGATTTCTCCGAGCTCGATCTTCGTGAGGATGGAGGAGGCGAGTTGGGTGAAGAGGTCCGTGACGCCGGTGCCGGAGAGGGCGGAGACTTCGAGGGGCGGTGGGAGGCGGTTTTGCGCGGCCCAGGCTGCGGCCGTTCGGGGTGGGACTGCGCGACCGGCTTCTGCTTCTTCTGTTCTTGTTGCTCGCCGCTGAGAACCTAGCCCCGTGCCCAGCGTACTCGATCGTGCAGAGGAGGCAAGCCCGCCAGCCGGCACATCGTCCAACAAGCCCGCCCGACCAGCTTCCGCCCCGGCCTCCGTCGTCAAATCCGCTTTATTCCCCACCAACACCACGGTCAGCCGCGGACTCCCCAACGCCCTCGCATCATCCAAGAACGTCTGCAACTGCGCGAAACTATTCGTATCCGCCAGATCATAGACTAACACCGCCCCCGCCGCACCCCGGTAATAACTCCGACTCACACTTCTAAATCGTTCCGTCCCCGCCGTATCCCACAGTTGCAACTTCACTCTTTTCCTCCTTCTCGAGTTGGTAGCGGATCCGACTTTGATGATTTTGCTGGCGAATTCTACTCCTATGGTTTGGGAGCTGAGGGTTCGCCATTCGTTGGCTAGGAAGCGGTGGAGGAGGCAGGACTTTCCGCTGGCGGAGGGGCCGAGGAGGATGATTTTGGCGAGGTAGTCGTACATGGATGCCATTTCTTGGTCCGTGGTGGTGGTGGTGGTGGTTGGGGGGACATTGTGGGGGTTGGAGGTGGTGGAGGTAGTGGAGGAGGGGCGGCGGGGGCGGGATGTCATGGTTGTTGGTGTTATCGGGAACTAGAGTCGGTGGAGAGCATGTTGAGCGGTTGGTCTGTGTGCAGAGGCCTGTGTACTTCTGGCCGCGATAGTGACGGATTAGCTGTGTTTGCGATCTGAGCCTGATTGGTTGGTTCCAGGTTCGTGGATATAGTATTTCACATGCAAATAGGTTGGGAGGGAGGAAGCGGCGCCGGCCGGGCTTTTTCCACGTGAGATGATGCTCCGGACAAAAGGCCACACGGCCTTCGCAGTTCGAGAGTAGTAGAGTACATGTAATAATAACGACATTGAGTCAATAATTACATTACGGCACGTTCGATCGAGAGCTAGCATCTCGTGCTGTGGGCTTCCATGGCCAAGATGGTCGAGTCGGCCAAGTAATTTTTCTTGGTGGCGCGGCTTTGCAGTACCGAGCGGGCTGTGCACGAATCTACTGTATGAAGAAATCGAAAGCAATGGCAATAGGAGTAGAAGGTGGATTTCCAGCCTCATCAATCGCCACTCGCATTATTATTATTATTAAGATACAGTATCTGCTCACGCGACACTTCTTCAAAGGACTCCACTACGGCAACCAAGACCGTGCTTCCAGCTTCTCCATCGAGTTAGTCCTAACTCCCGCGGGCAGAGATGTCGATCTAACGTCCGGCAGCGTCATTAGATTTTTCTCGCGCGTCTACGGAAGAAAGACGATTTGCGCTAGGAGAGTAGTGGTCACGCGAGCATATACTGCTTTCTTGCTCCCTGTTTCCTCATCCCTCCTTGCTCTATCATTATTGCTTGTCCTGCTCTATTACTGTCGCTACTGTTCGCCTCTGTAAATATCTGCTCGCGAAACATTAGATATTATTCTAAATTGTGGCTGTGCGTTAGGGGTCGGGAAAAGGAGCTAGTGAATCCTCGATCAACTTGGCTCTAGATAGCAAGTGCCGACTCACTGGCGACGGCGACAACACCATCACCTCCATAGCCACCGGGCTCCACGCCTGCCAGCACCAATGGCATCCCTCTTCTCCGGCTGGAACCCCCTCAAGTTCTTTCCAGAGTACTGCGGCCCACACCAAGTCGGCACAGTCGATGTCGAGATACCAGCAGGAGACCTAACAGCACCAGCAAACGCACCAGAAGACGCACAACCGACCGTCGCTTTCCGCATCTTCTACCCGTGTGAGAAGCCAGAGTCGAACGAGACTGACCGGCCGGTCCGATGGATCCCGCAACCCCAACGCGCCACCATCGCTTCGTTTGCCAAGTTCATTGGTTGTAAGGAGAAGGTCGCTTCTGCGATATCATACGTCCCGCAGCAGCTCTACTGGATCAAGTTACCCGCGCATCGGAATGCCAAGATCTTGGATCCACCGACGAGTAACGGGAAGTGGCCGGTGACATTCTTCTCGCACGGTCTGGCTGGGAGTCGGAATGCCTATAGCCAGATCTGTGGCGATCTGGCGAGTAATGGGATGATTGTTATTGCTCTCGACCACCGAGACGGCAGCAGTCCGATCCAGTATGTGCGAGCGACGAACAACACCGAAGCTCATATCGTCTCCCCGGTCAAAATCCCACACGAGCCCGTCACGAAAGAGGTGTATGATGCGCGAGATAAGCAATTGCGGATACGATTGTGGGAGATGTCCATGGCGTACGAGGCGTTGGTGAAGATCGACAAGGGACACAGTATCGAGAATCTGGACAGCAATACTTCGCGATTACGGAAAGAGAGGTCCGAGGTCCTACTACAATTCAACGATATGATGGACATCCACCGACCAGGGAAAGTAACATGGGCCGGCCATTCCTTCGGCGCGGCGACGACAGTACAATTATTAAAGAGCATCTTCTACTACAAAGACCGCACAGAAGTCGACGGCAACCCCCTCCTCACCCCGCACGCCGACGCGGCCGTGATCCAACAAATCGTCCCCGAAAGCCCAACCTTACTCCTCGATATGTGGGGCCTCCCCCTCAAATCCCCCGAGCAACGCTTCCTGTGGGAACGACCCCTCCCCTCTTACGCGGTGGGCGGTCCCAACGGCGCCAACATCCTCTCCGTCCTCTCCGAAGCTTTTCAGAACTGGGAGGATAATCTCAATATCAACAAATTCATCGTCGCGAAGCCCTCTCGCTCGCGAAGACCTTCCATCGCTCCGCGTCTTACGCGGGAGAAGGGGAGGTTATTACCCGCTTTTGCGCGCCTGCGAGCTCCATCTCCAGCCTCGGATTCGGGCTACGCTTCCTCCTCCTCCTTCTCCCGCAGTACCGCCCCTCCCCAATTATCCCGCCAAATAAGTATGGAAACCGGCCTCACCACCCCGTCCCAGGGCTCCTCCAGCAAACTCAGCAAATTCAGTCAAAGATCCTCGGGTGAAAGGACGCCGGGGCCGCATATGTTCTACGTCGCCATGTCGCAGCACTTTAACCAGTCGGATTTCGGGATCTTATTCCCCTGGATCGCGTTGAGGTTGACCAAGGCCGAGGAGCCGGAACGTATCCTCGAACTTAATACGAGGGCTATGGTGCAGGTGATTCGCGAGGCGGGGATTGAGGTTTCCGGTGGGGATGACCCGGATATTCTCGACAAAGAAGGTGGGGTGAGGCGGTGGATTCGGTTGGTGGTGGAGGAGGAGGAGGGGGATGAGGCCGAGGCGATTTCGAGGCCTGGGGCGCTGGGTGTGGTTAATAGGAAGTTGTCCGTCTCCGCCGGGTCCGTGCGGTCGCTGGCTTCTGTGCCCAGGCAGCCGAGGGATGGGATGACGATGGGGCAGAAGATGGAGGCGCAGTTTGGGCGGGTGGAGGCCGGGTTGGAGATGCCGATTGCGGCGGCGGCGTAGGGGTGCTCTGTCTCTTGTACATGGTGTGTGGGATATGTGGGGGTTTATATGGGATATGGTATTAAAGATGATAGATTTGGATATGGGTCGGGCTCTGGTGGGAGCTCTTGCGTCGCATTGCTTGGGAAAGGGGCGCTGGATATGGATATGGGATGGGAAATGGGATACCCCCTTGTGTAGGTTTTCCGGGAGCATGAGCGAGCGAGCGAGCGAGTTAGGGCATAAGCGGGCGAAGCTCGTCGGCCTTGCACTGTGGGGCAACTATGCGTGTATAGTACTTGTACTTATATATTCCTTGCGTGTACTACAGATCATGCCTAACGAACTTCCGTCTTGTTTCTTCCGACCTTGGGAGCTATCGACGGGACGACGTACTACGCTTCTAACATGCCGGGTCCTTTCCTGGACTGCTGGTGGACGAAGGCTTGAAACCATCAACCTTGCTGCAGGGGCACACAACAGTGGAGATCTTGGACATTGAGCAAAGATCGTTGGACACGGCAGCTTCGTCCACGGCTCGAAGGCTTTCGTCATGGCCTTTTTACCCAAACCCTAACCCTAAATAAACTCAAGTTGTCGCCGCATTGATGCGGCGACATACCCCAGGCATGGGCGTGTACCTGTGTACTATACGCATGTCTCTCTTCGCCAGCAGCATGCCATGGTCTGACAAGCTTCGTCGCCCGCAGTGGGCTTCCGCGTAACACGCCCATGCAGCTTTTCCAATCTGTTCGTGCAACTTCCGGTACAACATGTTCATGCGTGGCTGAGAATTTCGACCTCAACTTGGGGGGCCTTGACACACGATCTCCACGCCGATGACTTCGGAGTTCCCATTGCATACTTCGATTGGCTCGGATTTGGTCCCAGCTTGGCAGAGAACCACGACCATCGGGGAGGGTAGCATTAGCTTCCTCCCTACCCCTCTCACATCGACCACAATATTTGAGCTCACCACACTCGTGACAGTGATCGTGGCGAATATCAGCTTTTCAGCAGTCCCATCTACAAGACCAAGTAGCTATTCAGCGACATCCAGCAGAGACGATGTCGACTTGCTCATCGTTATCATCTTGGTCCCAGTCGTGGCGTTCCTGCTTGTCGTCCTTGGCCTCTTCCTACTTTTCGGACATAGGCCGGCATGGCTGCCAAGATTCGGGAAAGGAGACCGAGTTTCGGCACCACGACTAGTCGCAACTGACAAACAGCTCCTGAGTACCAGCACATGCAAGAGCACGCCGCAAGAGCTCGAGGTTGTCCCTGCGATGCATGAATTGGAGGGAGATAGTGCTGTCCATTCGGAAATGGCGGGCTAGGCTTTGAGTCGGACCATGGTCGAGAATACGCCGAGACTCTGTTCGTTGGTGGTCATATTATCCCAGCAAAGGCAGGATGGGATTTCACCATGTGGTCAGGGTCGACAGCGGACTCGCCGAGTAGTGCGCACCGCCAGGCATGCCATACAGCAGTGGCGCGCATCGCCGGTCCAAACGCAGCCGAGTACTTGGGAAGCACAAGAGCAAAAGCTTGTATTCCGCCCCCGAGAGCATTGTCAAGTGGGTAGATAAGACGACGTTCATGGTCCAGGCCATGTACCACCGTGTAACATCGATACGACCGCGCGGATAGGCATGTGTAATAACAGCCTGGGACAGGTAGTGACGGTTGCCTGAAGGCAAGCATGTACCGACCGTAATCGGCGTGGTGGATTCGAGTAACGGACAGCCGCGTCGTTTGCAGATATCTTGGTTCGTGTCTCCTCGTCGAGCGTGTGCCTACTGGGCGCATCACACGCAGCAATCTGACAGCAGGTCCAAAGTGCTTCATGCCACTCATTGTCCAAGCTGTAATCGCGCCATGTCATACAAGCCCGGTGAAGTGCATAACGTGTGAAGCACAGGACAAGACTTTGCGGATTCAACCATGTCCTTCGCCCTTCTCCAAGTCTGAGCTGGTGCCCTCTCCGTAATGTTGGTAATCGACAAGAGTCATATTTGAGCTTGAATGCTAGCCACGCAAGGCACACTGTAACGCCTGGAGCCCAGTGTCAAAGGGATCGCAATGGCTCCAGCCATATCGACGACTATCACGATAACGCTGGTCCAACAGTCGCTGCCAGCTCCAGGAACCGTAGCCATCGAGATAGAGCATGAAGATAGTGCCACCCCGGAGATCATGGACATAGAAAGCAGCACCGCGATGCTGATAGATGACAGCACATTGTAGAGCCAGCCTATGCTTCTGGACACGCTTTCGCTCGGCAGTGCTACTTCATGGGTAACATTCACTTTTGGATCTACGACGGAGACAGCCTATGTGGGGCTCGAGCAGCTCCACACCTCCACAACGCCGGCGCCGAGCCTTCCTACGACTGGGCTGAACCTTACACCATACGTAACTATCAGTATTACATCTCCCGTCGCGAGTGTAGTACGGAGTACCGTTGAGCCTATGACCAGTGATCCGAGCAATGGAGCGCCAGCTCCTGGAGGCTTGGCTACAGATCATCAGTCGGGATTGGGTGATTCGCAGAGCAAGTTGTGTGCCGCAACAGTGGCACCATTTGTGGTATTTGCCTTGATCGTCCTAGGATTTGGCCTGTACGTTCTGCGCTGGAGAAGGACTGGGGGTACTATTGGTAAGGCGCGGACTCCAAGGAAGCAGGGTGTTGAGGATCAGGCTCCAACGATCGCTACCAAGCATGTCACACCACAAGAGCTCGAAGCACCACGACGTGTCCACAAGCTGGAGGGCGATGATAATAGTGGATCGGAACTACCGAGCTGAGATGTTCAGAGACTGGCATATAGACCCCAAGAGGTGCTTCCAGTTACAAATCCTGAATCGTGATAATATGGATCGTTCGAGCAGAGGGGCCATCTTGACAGTCCGGCGTTCCGTCGATGGGAGCACAACAAGCCTTTTATCATCCAGCGCGATAGCCTCCATCATCGAAGCAACGAGCTCCTTTCTGGTCACCGTATCGAAAAGCGATGAGCCGAGTACGCTGAGGGAAACAAGCCGGGACACTGCGACACCAAGGTTCCACAGACTATCCCAAACGATGAGCAGCTCATCGCCGAGCAGAAGCGAACTCTCGTGGCTGTGGTAACAGTTCCAGCTGTGGTGTACCTGCCGGTCGCTACCATTCTCCTCTGGCTTTTCTTTTGGTCACGGAAGAGAAGACGAAGGCAAGTACTGACGATGCCTGAGCCGATGGCAGGGACGGAGGAGGTGGAGAAACATATGTCGGAAACCAGCAGTAGCATTGCTTCGCCTCCGGAGCTGGAGGCGCCACGAGGAGCGCATGAACTCGAGGGCGATGTTGCCAGTGGATTGGAGCTACCAGGCTGACTGGCGTCGTCGGTATGTGGACAACGATGTGCCCGCAAGCAGTACTCCGCAAGATACCAGGAGAGTGCGCATAGCTGGTAAGTGGATGACTGTGCACCGGAAGCAGTATTTTGAGAGATGCCAATGAGAGTGGCAAGGAGGTCTGATCTCCGCTTATTATTGTGACCAAGCGTCACGGATCGATAGATCACACCCAGAGCCATGATGGATGGTCAATCTTCCGGGCACGCAAGGAGCATGGTCCAAGGTCTGAACGTCCTTCTGACAATGTTCCGCAGCCGAAGAAGAGATCTGGAGGCTTTTCGCACGACTCATGAATGCTTGTCAGACGTCATCTTTGACGCTGAAGTGCGGTATAATAAAGCTTTGCGAGGGTGTCCCGGAGCTGTCATCCTACGAGAGCGAGATCAGGCAGGACAAAGCTCGCCGCAAAGCCCACGTCTTGACCCGGGCAGCGCATCACGAAACATGGTCAAAAGTTTCCCGGATGCATTGTCGGCGCAGAATGAGATGAGGCAGACATCATGCCATCCGGTATCTCGGACATTTGAGAGCGAAGACGAGAATGTCGTACCAAGAAATATGAGGTGAGGTCGAGTTGTGAGACGTTTGCAGTCGAGACGCAGGTGGAGGAGCAAGGCAAAGGCGGACACTACTGCAAGTCTCAGATACACAAAACTCCGGTTGGGTGCATGCGAGTCGTCCCGCGCATAGTTCATCTCGTGGCCGAACTCCACGCTCGGCGGCGCGAGAAAGACGTTGTGGTTGCAAAGTCGATCAGTCTTTCTCACTATTGAATCGTCTGCGGCTGGAGGGCCGAGATGACGATGTCTTGCGAGCAACCACATTTCGTCCTGCATTAGGTTTACAAGTTCTGGCGTACTTTTCACTCGAATTTGCTTACTACTGTATTGTGGTGGTTGGATGGAGATGCCGTGGACTGGATAATCTCCTAAACCTTGGGCCGGCAGAGCTCATGTGGAGAAAAGTGGGACTATCGTGGACTGCACAGGTCAGCAGTGTGAAGTCTGATAATCGAGCTTTGAGAAGATCTGTATCTGCTATGCACTGCGACTTGACGAAGCCGAAGATGCCGGTCGAGCGTTCATGTCGAATATTGGCAGCTGTGACGCGGTGCCGGTATGACGGCAATCTCATTTCATCATCGCAGAGGGTGAATGGATTACCGTATACTATAGAAATCGACAGGCTGGGCACGTTGATGATGATCTGGCAGCGCAATCCCAGCCACTTTCCTCGCTAGCTTTTGCCGAGCACTAGTGAAACCCAAACCACTTCCCGCCGCGCACCGGATGCGCCGTCTTCTCCTGCCTGCCATTCACTCTTTCTACTCGACATTCAGTCGCCCGTGTTGTGTCGTCGTCGCACTGCAGGAACGCGTGACGCGCATAATCCCCTACCAAATCTCACGAATTGGTTGTTCCTCGGTCCTGCTCGAGCGCTGGAGGAAGGTGCGGATCTCTGGAAGCGGAAAGTGGAAAGCTGGGATCCGGCCGCGCTTGCTCTTGCATCTTGACAACCGGCCGTCTGCTCGATTGGGCCACGAACATACTGTACACACACCACCGACCCTACGAATCCAAGACACCGTCTCACCCAACCTCAACGGCTCGCTTCTACATCTTTGTTAACGTCGCCGCGAACGGCTGCCCGGCTTTCGCTGATCCGACTGCGACTCGGTGTGGTGAACAGAGAGAGAGAGAGAGAGAGTGGAAGATAACGTAAGTAAAGTATAACACAGTTTGGCAGTACACATCTGGCAGGCAAAGCCGGATAGGAGGATAGAAGGTACTCGGGTAGCTCGGGTAGAAGAGTGTGAAGCGCACGTCGTCGGCGAGTGAGGAAGGACAAGGAGAGTGGAGTCAAAGGAACATGTCCCAGGCTGCTGTGCACCAACAAGGCACGCCGCAGTACTACGACAACTACGATGGCCCCTCCAGCCGCAACGCCTTCGCCAATGGGTCCGAACTGACTTCCAGTCCACACTCAACACGGCGGACAGCGCGATCGGGTGAGGGTGCAAATGCTTCGCTGCCGGGCACACCGCAACAAGCCGGCTTCAGCTCCCCTGGCGGTTCCACGTCCATGAGCACTCCCAGGCCATCAGGACTGCCTACATCGGGTACCCATGACGACATGGCGAGCTCCACCTACCAACAATACTACCCGGACCACGCCAGTCTGCCAATCCGCACTGCGGCCGCCCAGACACCTTCCTCCACAGCCAATTATGACGGCTCACGCTACAGCACGTCACGTGGACAGCAGTCGGGAAGTGCCGCTGGATATGGCAGTGAGAGTGATCGTACAGGCACGAGCGACAGTGAACGCCGGCGTCAGCAGCAGCGCTCACCTCGCGAGTCACAGCCGCAGCAGCAACCAGGCAGCGGTCGCAGTCAAAGATCCCGCCAAGCACCGGTGACAAGCCGCTCACAGAACGCAATCGGCCAGACGCCCATTGATACATCACTCCCACGCGAGAACAGCACCGTGATCAACCGCATAGTAGTGGACGACCCCGGCACCGATATCTCACGCGAAAGACAACGCGTAGCTGAAGCACGTCCGCTGCACGGCGGTGACGGAGCCGCGCCTATCATGAGTTCTGAGTATGGCGCTGCAGACCCCGCTCCAGTACCTCAACAGCGAAGTCGGCAAGAGCACCTCAAGCACAACTCTACTACGTCCAGCCGGAAGGAAGTCAAGTTTGGAGAGTACATTCTTGGCTCGACCCTGGGTGAGGGAGAGTTCGGCAAAGTCAAGATGGGCTGGAAGAAGGACAGTCCAGTGCAGGTCGCCATCAAACTCATCCGCAAGGACACCCTGGCTGGCAATGCGGCACGCCTACCTAAGATCCACCGAGAGATCAATATTCTCAAAGAGCTCGAGCATCCCAACATCGTCAGACTGCACGAGTTTATCGAGACCGAGAGACATATGGGTATAGTGCTTGAATATGCTTCCGGCGGTGAGCTGTTCGATTACATCCTCAACCACCGATATCTCAAGGATCCAGCTGCTCGGCGTCTATTCGCTCAGCTTACCTCCGGCGTCGGCTATCTTCACAAAAAGGGTATTGTGCATCGCGATCTGAAGTTGGAGAATCTGTTGCTTGATAGGAACAAGAACATCATCATCACCGACTTCGGCTTCGCGAACACCTTCGACCGCTATGACGAGCTCGGGGAGGCGCTGGAGAGGAAGATACATGATCGGGAGTTCGTGAGGAGCAAAGGTCTTGATAAGCAGGATCCTGTGACGAACCACCGCCGCGGTGATCTGATGCAGACGAGTTGTGGCAGTCCTTGCTATGCGGCTCCTGAACTGGTCGTTAGTGACGGCCTTTACACTGGGCGCAAAGTCGACGTCTGGAGTTGCGGTGTCATTCTAGTAAGTGCTGAAAAGATAACGGTTTGTGGCTATGTACTGACGTCCTCTAGTACGCTATGCTCGCTGGCTATCTGCCTTTTGACGACGACCCTGCTAACCCTGAAGGCGACAACATCAACCTGCTATACAAGTACATTGTCTCGACGCCCCTGACGTTCCCCGAATACGTTTCACCGCACGCCAGAGACCTCCTGCGCCGTATCCTTGTGCCCGACCCAAGGCAAAGAGCAGATCTGTTCGAGGTAGCTCGCCATAGCTGGCTGAGCGAGTACTCGCATGTGCTCAACTTCATCGGCAGTAACTCCAAGAGCGAGGTGGATATTGCAAACTCGGCGCAACTGCAGGGTCCTACAGATCAACAGCTGGGCAGGAGCGCGTCTGTGAGAGAGCCTGCAAGCAGATCACCCGCTGTGATGGCGCCAGGAGCGATTCAAAAGCAGTCTGCCAATGTTGGCGAAGAGATGGATGGTAGGAACAAGCGCGATGCTAAGAGGCGGACTGTTCAGGTCGAATATGTCGCGCCACCATCGAACACTGGCCGCATGGACAATGGCTCGTACGCTCAGTCGCCGGTGCAGACATCTGCCTCTGCGGGCAAGACGAGGGCTAGGAGTGATAGCCAAGGGCCAGTCGAAGTCGTACCCACGCCAGCAAGAGAGCCGCCTACGCAAAGACGCGAGCAGCCGACCACCGCAGCCATGCCACCACCAAGCAGACCAGCCCGTGACCAGATTCGAGCTGCATCAGAGGCGATGCCGATTTCAGGCCAGCCAACCACCCATGCATCTAGGCCATCTACCGGTGGAAGGCTGCCATCACGCGGCAATTCGTATAGTCTACCAGCTGTGGCTACTCCCAGCACAGAGACCGCTCAAGGTCGTTTCTCCCAGCCTAAGCCGGGTGGAGGCTACATCATATCCAGCCCGCTATCGTCTGAACAAGGGACCAACGATAGCCGTCCGGAGCTCAACAACTACCAGCAGCAGCAACCTCAGTCTAATTTGCAGCAATCTCAACAGAAGTTCCCTCCTAGCCACAAGCGTTCCAGCACTCTGGGCAGCATTGGCGATCGTCTACTCGGTCGCAGCAACAGCAAACGCTCTTCCAAGCAAGAGGCAGTAGCCAAGCCACAAAATGAGAAGCGCGATCGCCGCTACCCGCCGGTCAGCATGAACAACGCCATTGCTCCACCACAGAACGGCGACGCAGAAGCAACACCGCGTCCCTCCTCGGAAAGCCGCAGAAGACCAAGTTTCAGCTTCACGCGCAAGAACTCCGATGCGCCTAGTGAGCGCCGCAACTCTCGACGCTTCTCTTTCTTGCCTGGCAGCTTCAGCATGAACAATTTCGGCGGTAACAAGAAAGATGCTGGGTACGACTCTGAACGTCCCGAGAGCCGCAGGGATAGTATCCAGAAAGGAGACGGCAGGCCGCAGAGTAAAGGGGGTGTGGCGTTTGGGAGAGGTGCGTCTCGGACTCCGAGCCAGGAGACGACGAATTCGACGATCCCGTTGCATTATGATGAGCAGCGTGAGGCTGGTAGGCAGAACAGGCGATCCGGCATGCCCCAGCAGGGTCAGAGGGAGAGGTATGAGAAGGATTTGCCTTCTACGCCTGGACAGGGTATCAACTCGCCGCCCCCGGTGCAGAGGAAGCAGTTCCGCGACGACGGGTATGGGAATAATAGTCTTGAGCCGAATGGTCTGCAGCAGCATCAGCAGCAGCAGCAGGAACCTGTCGAGCGGTTCTACACGCCGAACGAGGAGCCGAATCGTCAACTTGGCGCTGGACGGCCGGGTCAGTACACCATCGCCATTAATAATGCTGGTGCTCGATCCCAACAGCAGCAGCAGCAGGACAATTACCTCAACCCCAGCTTCAGCAACCGGGACGATGGATATGGATCTAATCATTCTGCGCCTTTGGACCCCGGCGGGGTGGCGGGGAATATGCGTCCGAATCAGAGGAAGTTCGATGATGGGTATGAGCAGGGTTCTGCTGGTAGTAGTAGTGGTGCTAGACGGGTTATGGATTTCTTCCGTCGGAGGGGCAAGGAAAGGGTTCAGGCTTAGAGATGGATGGTTTGATGTTGGGTCGTCTGTTGGGGCAAGGGAAGGGGTGAAGGGATAGGGGTGAGGGCTGGATTTCGTGGGCTATGAAGGAGATGGGTCTGGGAGACTACTGGGGACTGGTCTTGCAACGCAAGATGATGGTCGGGGAGAAGCGTACATGGTTCTGCCGAGATGTGGAGGGAGGGAGATTCTGTTCGCACCCCGCATTGACGGACATGGAGGGAGGAATGGAGGACTTCTATGATTCGAGTGTGTAATACTTTTTGGGGTGGGGGTATAATGCTACTTGCTAGTTTGAGCACAGCGTGGCGTTGTTGGTGTCTTCTTGTTCTTGCGGGTTGTTTTAGTAGAGAAGAGAGGAGAAGAGAGCTTTGGCTGGGTCTGGGTCTGGGTGGCGATGGGTCTGGGCAGAGCAAGGCGATGACGAGAAGGTGGGCGGACTGCCTGTTCTGCAGATACTGTAGTGCTGTAGACTGCTCGCTTCTTCTGTACGATCGCGCTCCTACTCGTCGTCTATCCATATTGTGTGCCCTGTGCCAGAAGATGTGGGCAAGGCGGTTGTCAAGGCTTCCTCTCGCGTAGAGCTTCGCATCGTAGAGGACCCTAGCTACGAGGACATCAAGCCACCATGTAATCAATTTATCGCAGGTTCGGCATGTTTGGACAATTGCAAGAGCTTCGAGTCTTGAACAGTATCTTCGCCAGCTTCGAGGCCAGACCATATATCGACCCCACTTGAAATTAGCTTTGCCTCTCCTCTCGACCTTCACTCATAACTACAGACGGAATCCCGCCACAGCCAGCCAGCCAGACAGCTACTTCTCTACTCTACCACCGGCCCATCACATCCGTCGCTACTGCAGCATGGCAGCACCAAACTGGGACCAAATCCCCGCCCCCTCCGACGACGGCGCCTGCGACCACCTCCTCGGAAAACCCCTGCCCGCCCAAATCTCCCTCCCTAATACCTCAGGCGAACAAGTCAACTTCGCCTCCCTCCCAGGCCTGAATATCATCTTCTTCTACCCCCGCACCGCGGCCCCAGGTGAAAACGTCCCAGAGACCTGGAATTCCATCCCTGGAGCCCGGGGCTGTACGCCACAGGCTTGTTCTTTCCGGGATGCGAGTGGGGAGTTTACGCGGTTGGGGGTCAGTGGCGTTTGGGGGTGTAGTGTGCAGAGTTCGGCGCATCAGAGGGAGTTGAGGACGAGGACTAGTTTGCCTTATGAATTGCTTAGTGATGGGGACTTGGGTTTTGCTAAGGCGATGGGGTTGCCTGTTTTTGGATGGGGGGGTGGGGAGGGGTTTGGGGAGAAGGGGGAGTTGATTAGACGGGTGACGATTGCGGTGGAGGGGGGAAAGGTTGTGAGGGTTTGGTATCGTGAGTTTCTTTATTCCTTCATGTCGCTGCTTCTGCTGCTACTTGGGAGAGTGGTGGCGGTGGTGAGGTTGAGCTCATGCTGACATGGGGTTTATAGCGGTTTTCCCGCCTGATCAGAGTGCTAATGAGGTTCTAAAGTGGTTGAAGTCACGGAGTTGATCTGGTATCGTGTTCGAGGCTCGAGCCAGATTCATCGACACTACGAGGACTGCTCATCCGCTCGGATCTGTCGGATGAGGTTGCGAATGCTTCTGAGAGCTGGGACTTTGTGCCAATGTGCATGGGATGGCTAGAGTACAGATTCATGACAACATAAAATCTCATGTAGTAATCTACAATCTACAATCTACAATCTACAAATACCCTTGCGCTGAGCATGTGAATGAGCCTCTAACACTCCCCTTCGCATATTCTTCCAAAATACTCTCCACAGAAGCATAAGTGCCGCATCCCAACACAATCAGCCCAATGCAGAAAATGAATCCATTCAGTATCGACAGCGAAATGTTCTTCGCTCCTTGGTTCCATTTCCCTTGCTTCACCAGCTTGAACCAGAAGATGGCCGGGAAGTAGAAAGTGAATCCAGAGATGAAAAGACTGGAAATCAGTCCTAGCAGCGCATTGAAGAACGGGATCGCTTCGGCAATGACCCAGCTGATCAGCGTAATGCCCGCAATGAGCGAGATCCAGATGATCCAGCCTTTGGTGCTGTGCACATATCGCACGCGCGCATTATTGGCGAACGCCCGATCCATGATGAAGCGGGCAACGACTGTACTGTTTATCGCGCCCGAGATGAAAATGACGGGTAATGCGACCCCGAACGCTACACGGGAGATTAAAGTCCCCGCGGAGAGTAAAGCGGGGGATTGCACGGCGGAGCCCACGAAGGCGTAGACGATGGCGCCGACGAGGGTGTAGATGAAGATTTCAATCAGGCCTAGCGCCCAGATCGACTTGACGTAGTCCTTGGGCGTGTGCAGTTCGCGCATGAAGCTGAATTGGCAGACGGCGAAGGAGTAGGCGAAGATGATGTTGGTGGTGGAGAGGAAGGCGGCGTAGAAGGTTGTTCCTGGTGGGGGCCAGACGGACCAGTCGACGGCGGAGAGGCCGCCGGCGGGAAGGGAGTGGGCTTTTAGGCCTGTGGCGACGATTGTGATGAGGATGGCGGCGATGATGGAGACGAAGTCGATGTAGCCTAGGAAACTCACGTCGTGGAAGGTGGGCGGGAGGGCGAGGAGGAAGAGGAGGATGGCGGAGATTGCGCTCCAGACTAGGGCGCAGATGTCGAGGTTGCCGACGATGTTTACCCATGCGATTGTTCCTGTGAGGGTGTGGGAGCCTACGAGGAGCACGAGGAAGAGCACGAACATGGTGCTGGTGAGTTCGTAGCCGAAGCGGCCCCAGATTAGTCGCACCGCGTACGCGTAGTGCCCGACTTCCGGGTGGCGGAGGGAGACTTGGCCGACGACGTAGGAGGTGTAGATTGCTATGAGGCCTAGGGCGAGGCAGAGAATCACGCCTACGACCATTCCGAGGGTGGCGAAGGCGGAGGGTATACTCAGGCTTCCGAGTGCGATGGCTTCGACGATCAGACAGATGGTCAGGGCTGGCCAGCTGAGGCGCTTGAACTTGTCTTCGCCCGATCCGACTGCGATTGTGGTTTCCTGGCCCAGTGCCAATTCGCCGTCGGAGCCATCTTTCTTGTCGTCGTATTTGTAGTCGTAAGGTGGGGTGGGAGGGTCGTAGGTCAAGCCATTGTTGGAGACGGGGGCCTCGTAGCCTACGGCTGGGCGGGGTCGATTTTGGTAAGCCATGGTGAGGTTTTGGCAGGGTAGACGACTGACTGGCAGTCGGATGGACTGTTGGTGGACAGCAGCCACGACGCTGACAGGCGAGCAAGCACAGTGGAGAATAGAAGAGAGAAGCAGAGACTGGAAGTGGAGAGCGGATTAGACAACCTTTCTATTACTCGATCCTACTCCACCTTCACAAGCTACTATGAGGTGGGCACGCACGCGACTGTCGCGGTTGCGCCGATCTGGTCCTGTCTGTGTTGGAGCCTCGTTCGGAAGCTTGTTAAGGTTACATAACGACATGCAGGTTTCTCTGGTGCCGAACAGACGAAGTGGGTTCCTTTGGCTTGTGGAGTTCGCGCCGGCCCTCTTGCGTATCTACTCCTACGCGCACGGCGGCAGTCGTCATTGGGTTGTATCACTGATTTATGCAGCCAGAACGAGTATGTGCTGTAGTGCGGCTGCATGGCAATCGGTGGGAGTGAGATCAATGGATAATTTTGCGCGGCTCCATGACGTAGAAGTGCGGCTTACCGTGCGCTGTGCCGTTGGCTTGTCGATACAAAGTCTATTGCGCTATCTCGAAGGATTATTATTACATGAGGGGTACCTTTCCACTGCACAATGTCGCACGAGGCGTGTGGACAGTGTTGGGTACAGAATGACCTACGTATCACCTCACATGGACTACAGGCGATGGGCGATGGATATCGACGATCTTGATGGCCGGGAATGGTAATTGCTGGGAGTTGAGTGGTTGGCGGACGTCGTTAGTATCGACGAGCCGCCCACGGTTGAGATAAGGCGGATGTACCTCCTGTCTGGTCTGGCCGATACCTAGTGACAAGCTCGCATCTCAGATCTGTTGTCCAGCACAAGACTTGCATGGCGCAAGCAAAGCATTTCTCGGCCTTTTCTTGAGGCTGCCGCTTATGTAATCGTGCCTCCTCACGTGCGAGGCGTACTGTATTCTCGGCATCTCGCGGCTGTGGCGTTGTCGGCGCTTTGTCCCTCCGACGTTTCTATTCCGTTTCAGCCGTGAGACGACCCTGGAATGGTCTAATAATATGGATATTGCCGGATGGGCCACGCTACGCCACGCTACACTGGCAGACACTCTATCGCCACACAGAGCACGAGACTTGGTTGTGTGCAGCAGTGACTTGGACGCTGTACGACGACGAGGAATTATGATTCGCAGTATCTAGGCAGCGAGCACTATACCAAACCGGACGTTCATTACTGTACTCTCCCTATTGACCCGACGCGATCCTGTCAGCGTCGACGGGGCTTTGGGTATCAACATTGCCTCACATTCGCTTGTCTTGAAATTACCAGAACATATCGGGAGTATTGGTATCACGAATCGCAAGCCTGAGGACATATCGCCGCGACAATGGCACCTTCAAGAGCACCCGCAGGACAAGGTCTACACATGACCACCACAACACTCAAGGTGGAGGGTATGACATGCGGCGCTTGCACATCGTCTGTAGAGGCGGGCTTCAAGGATGTGGATGGTGTGGGCAATGTATCAGTCAGCCTGGTCATGGAGCGAGCAGTGGTTACACATGATGGAAACAAGATTAGTGCGCAGCAGATACGGGATATCGTAGAGGATAGAGGCTTTGATGCGGAAGTACTCAGCTCGGATGGTCCGGAGACGGTGCTCTTTGATGTCGAGGACGATGAGGAGACGGAGCAGATACTCGGTACTGGCTTGTCTACAACGACTCTGTATGTTGGCGGCATGACTTGTGGCGCGTGCACATCTGCTGTGGAGGGAGCATTCAGGAATGTCCCAGGCATAACCAGCTTCAGCATATCACTCTTATCAGAACGAGCTGTCATCGAACATGACGCCAGCATAATGTCACCCGAAAAATTGGCCGAGACGATCGAGGATACTGGATTCGATGCCGAAGTAGTCGAGACGAAGGCAGCCGAACCCGCCAAAAGCAAGACTCGAAGTCGGCAGAATTCAGTGAGCAGGAAAACGATGACTACGACCATTGCGATCGAAGGTATGACGTGCGGCGCATGTACTTCTGCCGTTGAAGGCGGGTTCAAGGATCTGGACGGGCTGGTCCAATTCAATATTAGTCTGCTTGCAGAGCGAGCAGTCATTGTCCACGATCCGGAGAAGCTCACGCCTGCGCAAATCGCTGAGATCATCGAAGATCGTGGTTTCGATGCTAGTATCATCTCCAGTGTCGAGGAGGGCGTACAGACTTCTTCATCATCGAACGCGACCGTGCACTTGAAGGTGTATGGGCTACCTAGCCCCGAAGCTGCGGCGGACCTCCAGGTCAGTCTGGGTAATATGTCCGGCATCGTCTCGGCGAACATTAATTTCAGCACGACTCGCGCCACGATTGTATACACGGCTAGTCAAATTGGTCTGCGAGTCATCGTGGAAAGTATCGAGAAAGCTGCATATAATGCTCTCGTAGCAGACTCGGACGACAACAACGCACAACTGGAATCTCTCGCCAAGACCAAGGAGATCCAGGAGTGGTGGCGCGCTTTCAAGACTTCGCTGAGCTTCGCTATTCCCGTGTTTCTGATCAGTATGATATTTCCAATGTTCATACCCTTTCTGGACATTGGCCGCATGAATGCGTACGGGATATGGCTAGGTGACATTATATGCCTCGTACTGACAATACCAGTCCAATTTGGCATTGGCAAGCGCTTCTACATCTCAGCATTTCGTAGTATCAAGCACGGCAGCCCGACCATGGACGTCCTGGTCGTCCTCGGCACAAGCGCGGCTTTCTTCTTCAGCTGCGCTGCGATGCTCGTCAGCTTTTTCACCCCTCCGCACTCTCGTCCTGCGACGACTTTCGACACGAGCACCATGCTCATCACCCTCATTTTGCTCGGCCGCTTTCTAGAGAACAGAGCCAAGGGTCAGACGTCTAAGGCTCTCAGCAGACTTATGACTCTTGCGCCTAGCACGGCTACGATCTACGCTGATCCCATTGCTGCCGCTAAAGCTGCTGAGGGGTGGGAGGCGCGTGGAGAGTTGCAGGAGAAAGGGACAGAGGAAAAGCAGACTAATGGTCAAAGTATGGAAGAGAAAACTGTCCCCACCGAACTCATCGAGGTAGGCGATATCGTCATCCTCAAACCTGGCGATAAGATCCCCGCCGACGGGATCGTGACGCGAGGTGAGAGCTATGTAGACGAAAGTATGGTCACTGGCGAAGCTATGCCGATCCTCAAGAGACCCGGCTCCGCTCTCATGGCCGGCACGGTCAATGGTGCAGGCCGCGTGGAGTTCAAGGTCTCCCGTGCCGGGCGAGATACCCAGCTCAGCCAGATCGTAAGACTGGTGCAGGAGGCGCAGACGAGTCGGGCACCTATTCAACGAATGGCTGATGTGGTGGCCGGGTATTTTGTCCCGGTCATTATCACGCTGGGACTATCGACTTTCGTGGGCTGGATGGTGCTCTCGCACGTCCTGCCTTCGCCGCCCAAGATCTTCCTCGCCGAGGCTTCGGGCGGGAGGTTGATGGTTTGTGTGAAGCTTTGTATTGCGGTTATCGTCTTTGCGTGTCCTTGTGCGCTGGGGCTTGCGACGCCGACGGCGGTTATGGTGGGCACGGGGGTCGGTGCTGAGCAAGGGATTCTGGTCAAAGGTGGGGCGACGCTGGAGACGGCGACGAAGATAAGGCATATTGTGCTTGATAAGACGGGGACTTTGACGATGGGGAGGATGAGCGTGGCTAGTGGGGATTTGGTGGGCAGGTGGAATGGGAGTTCGGAGCAGAGGTTGTTGTGGTGGAATATTGTGGGGTTGGCGGAGGGGAGTTCGGAGCATCCTATTGCCAAGGCTATACATGTTGGGGCGAAGGAGAGGTTAGGCTTGGCGGTGGATGCTACGATTGATGGGAGCGTTGGGGATTTTCAGGCTGTTGTTGGCAAGGGCCTGACTGCTACGGTTGAGCCCAGTGCTGCGGTTGGACGGCAGAGGTATCAGGTTGTTATTGGGAATACCTCGCTCCTCCGCGGCCATGGCGTTGATGTGCCGAAATCACCTGAGGACGAATATGATGAAGATACTCGCCGGAACAGCCAGAGCGTCCAGAGAGCAACGAACTCCAAGGGTGGCGTCTCAGCTGGCATCACCACGATCCATGCCGCCATCGACGGCGAATATGCCGGCTCTATCGCTCTAGCCGATACCCTGAAACCCTCTGCCCGCGCCTGTATCGCCGCCTTGACCGACATGGGCATAGCCACCTCCCTCGTCACCGGCGACCAAGCAGCAACAGCGCACCACGTTGCCTCTCTCGTCGGCATCCCGGCCTCTAACGTCCACGCCGGCGTCTTACCTTCGGGCAAACAATCCATCATCGAAGACCTCCAGCGCTCGGGAATAGTAGTAGCCATGGTCGGCGACGGCATCAACGACTCCCCTGCCCTCGCCACGGCCAACGTCGGCATCTCCCTCGCTTCGGGAACGGACGTGGCGATGGAAGCGGCGGATATTGTGCTCATGAAACCGAACCAGTTGATGGATATTCCCGCCTCGCTTCACCTGAGCAGGACGATTTTCAGGCGGATCAAATACAATCTCCTTTTCAGCTGTGTGTACAACGCTGTGGGGATCCCGATCGCAATGGGTTTCCTGCTGCCGTGGGGGATTACCCTCCCGCCTCTTGCGGCGGGGGGCGCGATGGCGTGTTCGAGTGTTACGGTCGTTGTTAGTTCGCTTATGCTTAAGTTGTGGAGGCGGCCCGGGTGGATGGTCGAAGGCGAGTTGGTGGAGGCGGAGGAGATTAGACGTTCGATGAAGAGGAGGATGATGGGGGTTTGGGAGAGGGTGGGTGGGGTGAGGGATGTGGTTATGGGGAGGAAGAGGAGGGGGGCGGAGGGTCAGAGGGGTGCTTATGTGCCGTTGGAGAATTTCGAGGCGGTTTGAGCTTGTTCTTTGATTGAGTGGGTCTGTGTGGCGAGGTGGTCTGCGTTTGTTTCCTTTTCCTTTGATACCCTGTTGCGATGTCCTGTGTAGTTAGCCTCGCATTGTAAATATACTCTTCCAAGCTTTTCTCGCAGGCCACGTGGCTACTTGTACAAGCCAAGAGCAGTCCTATTGGTCACTACATCGCGATCTCGGCAAGTACGAAGACCATAGGCAGATGAGCATGAGCCTTCACGCACCTCCGAAAACGAATAGATTCACAGGGAACTAATGTCTGGTGTTGGGCAGTAATAAGCTATACAATTTTGTCGTCACAAGGTCATCTAACATTACATTTACGCTATCGCTCAAGGCGTGGCTAGGGCTTGCAAGTCTGTCGATGTTCCTTCGCCTCATCGCTCACGATAGAATGTCCCAGGAACAAGACCCTTCGTACTATCACCATCGCCATGTCTCTGCTCCTCCTGCTCAACAACAGTAACGACCTGGATCTGTCCCTCCTCGACATGATGACCATGTTGCTCAAGCGAGTCCAAGTCCATGTCGTCCGACCCATTGACACGACTCTGTATCATACTTTTCTGCAGTCCATCTCCGCGCCCGCTCAGACCGCGCGACAGCTCGTCGAAGCCAATTCTGTTCTGGCTGGTCTTGAGTCGATGAGTGTTGGTGTTGGCGACTGCGGCTCGGCTTCCCGAGTGAGTGTGTCGAGTGTTGCCGAAGAACCGAGGGAAGTATCGGCTTACGCATGTCTTGAGGGTGGGCAGACATGAGCACAATATTGCTGTATTGAGCTCCACGCTGCTCCAAATGGCGGCGAAGGGGTTGTTCCAGCTCACGTCGGACGCCTTTGATACAACGTACAGGGACTGTAGGCGGAGTATCGATACTATGCAGGTGCTGTGGAGAAGTCAGTGGACGGATTCATGGATGGCCGTACGGTATTCGCTTACAATCCGCCCAGCGCGAAGACTATAATGAGAGCGTAGCGTTGACGATCTGGCAGCTGGAGCTCCTTGAGCACTGGAATTGGCAACGCGCCGACGGCAATGTCGGAGAGAATGTCTAGGAATTGAGCGTTAGCTTATGTCTGCACCAGTGTGGAGAGCTTCAGCTGCAGCCAGAAGCAAGCATTGGTAGCAGAAGGAAGACCGCTAAGTGACATTCCTGATGTCTCGGGTCGTCCAAACTACCGACAGCGAGTGTCTCGGTTCTGGCAATGCTTGTTTCCATTTACAACTTCGGTCTGGGCCATACGTACTGAAGCTAGCATTGGCGAACCTTCAGAATCAATGTCAGCTGTCGTGTTGCAGAGTAGACGAACGATCAAGTGCGATACTCACCATACCGCGAATTTGTTGAAGCAGCGACCTCCTGATATATCTGAATTCCAGAAGAATGCTACGGGTGTGCAGAAAAAGACGGCGCTGAAGAATGACCAGCAGGTGTATACAAACACAACGGCGATCAGACCATAGCAGGTTTGCCGGAACTTCTTGTACGGGAAAATCCTGAGGTACTGGAACAGGATGGAGAACTTTGTGCAGGACAGTCCCAGATTGTATCTATGCTTGTTATCAGTAAAACATAATGCTTCGGGCAATAGCTGTTGACGACTTACACCCAGATGGATGCCCACAGCGGCTTGAGCTGTGCTGCTTGCTCTTCTACGCTCAGGAGATATTGGTGTCTACCCATGCCATGTCGTACCTGAAGGCACATGGTGATAGTAGTCGCTATCGACAGCAGCTGATCATTGATTAGTATGTGTAATTGCTTTAGTCCGCCGTTCGTCGTTCCTATCAACGTACCAGGGCCGCCGTAATGAAAGCGTCGTCAATCCCACCATTTCTCACCATTATCAGCCTGGTCGTTAGGCGCGAAATGACTGCTAGGCCGGACAAGATGGTCATGCCAATCGTAACGCCGACGACAGCGCCGCCCGGGGCGTGGCCTGCGTTCGTCATGTTCGTCGAGGGTGGCGAGGACGGACACTACAAGAAGTGAGTGGTAAAGCGGAGGATGTGCTCGATCCCGTATGTGCGACTTCTGGAGTTCGTTTTCGTTGCACACCGTTCCACGGCAGAACTCGAAACCCCAGAACGTGGAGCTACAACCTGGAGGTGCAGTCTGGATTCGGAGAGTAGTAGTACGGCAGCTTGTAGGGCTGACATAAGGGATCCAGAAAGCATATTCATGACTGAGTGGCATTACACCTTGACACTACTCCAGTCAGATCGGAAGCTTATTACCATGAATCGTTCTCTTTCACCAATCGGCGGACCTGGCGTGCCTCAGCAATGCTTCTATTCACGCGCATTAGGCTAAAATTCACGATCGCTACGAAGAGTCGCAGCACTGATGAAGGGGCTGCTTGATCCGTACCACCGGTCATCCTTGACCTGGGATCCCGCGTTTCCTTAAAGAGGCGTTCGGTTGGCAGAATGGATTCAGGGGCAGCATTCTCCATCATGCGATCATACACGGCACGACTGCCTGCAGCAAGAAAGGTCCACCGCCAAGTGCTCGCTTCCAAGAGGCCGACCTCCGATCTCACCACTTCAATAGCATCTCGAGGTGCCGTGTCTTCGTTTCCACAATGTGGCTCATCGTAGCGACCTACATCCAGGTTGTTGGGCAGGAGTACCATGGTAGAGCTCGAGCCAGCATTCGGACGCTTAGACCGCAACAAAACAACCAGACTACTTGTGGAGCAGTCCGAGCATTGGATTGCCATTTACCCGGATTCGAAGGCTTGGGCTGAAGCTCCTGTCTTCGGTCAACGATCTTGTGTAAGTAAATAACACGCCGCTCACTGTCAGCCCGACGTGTCATGGCGTATGACTGGCATGAATATGCTTGTTCCACGTTCTCGCACCTAGAAGATGCCACCAATTGTAGCACCATCCCCGCTTCTGGTGGCGTCTTAAGATTCGCGCTTGTATTCCGAACCACGTTTACGGTCGCATGGCGTTCGGTAGCGCTTGAGGGCATCGGCTCTGTAGCGAGCGAGAGATGAGCGATGGCGCAGGTACATGTGTGACTACAGAGGGAGTGCATCGAGACTTGATCTCGGTAAGCCGATAATCCAAGTGCCGATCGAGCCGTACATTGAACATCGGCTGTGGCGGTGAGCATGCATCTAACACCTGTTGCTGAGGAGGGAATTGTGCTGGTAGTGAATCATTGTTTTGATCAGACAAGACGTGACAACCCAGCTGTAGCGTCGATATCGTTCGTGGAGAAGGACCTGCTAAGAAGCATACGACCGTCGACGATGTATGCATTCTGTGCTATCTTCCCCCTCACCATATCGCACTTTAGCGAACGAGCGCCTTCACGAGCGACCGCGATTTCGTACTCGTATGATCGCTGCACTGACCAATCTTATGAGCCGTGCGGAGCCGTCTCAGGTCAAAGATGACCAAGGGAGCCTACTTTTAGATGGCAGCGCTGCAACCAAAACATTGCCAACTCTATCGAACTTGCTGTCGCAGAGTCGGCTCCGACTTCACTCTAGTTCTTGCACGAGTTGGTGTTGCAGCTTGGAAGGCATCCGTAGTATTACTCCCGAGATGGGGCGGCAGTTCAAACGTTCCCATTCATGTCCATTCCGGACACATCCGAGGAGCGTTCTCTGCAGAGCGGTCTCGATCAGCAGGGACGTGAAAATTGTCCTGCTTGGGATAAGCCATGCATGGAGTGATGCAGACAGATGTGTTGGTTGTGATATTCGACACCATTACTCTCTAAGGGCTCGGTCATGCAAGATTTGAAGCACATGGAGTTTCCCGTTGGCTTCAGACAACGTCTAGATTCTCGGAGTCCAGGAAGAAGATTGTGGAAAGACTGCTTACCGAAAGCCTCCCCAGCCAGGCAGCACGACGACAGAAGCCTTTGGCATGAAAATTTCGTGACGGACGTTGGGTTCTGGAACGTCCACCTCTACTCTCACTGCTCCACGACGTTTCAGGTCTGCACGGACTGATTTGTATAGCGGGCGACTCGACATCTTTTGGCTATATATGGTTTGGCCGTTTCCAAGACCTCGATCTGAAGCAGGCCACTTGTAACAGAGTGTATTCTGGTGCCATTTGTGTCATGGCTGCGACAACCATCGTTGTACCATGATGGCTCCGACGGTGACCTTGAAATGGCGAGACTCGCGACGTGTTGGAGATGTTCGATCATTCCGCGTGAAGATGCTACAGCGCCTCTTATCCTCAGCTTGTTGAGGGTATGTTCTTCTATTTCTTACTTGCTCTCATAACTCCCGACTTCGTATTGCTTGACCCATCTCCACAATGCCAACGATGGAGCGCTTTTCGTATATCTCTCCCATAAGCCGACTTACAGATCTCACTGTCTCGACCGCGGATAGACTGGCCCTGCAGCGGACTTCGACATTAGCACCGCCTCATCCTGGCCTAGCAAAATGGCCATACGAGTCGACTGACGAGCTGCCGCCTGTTCCACGACTACCGAACCGCGTTTCTTGTAGCACCTGCTCATATGGCCCGCGAGGCAACAAGCCTCCAGCATCTGCAACCAAGGCAACGGCAATTCCTTTTCGTCCGGGAACGCGCTTCTACCTGACGTTCACGGCTTTGTCTGCTCTGGCTTTGGTTGTTGCTCTGGATGGCACAACCATGTCCGTGGCCATGCCGGCTATCGCGAACGCCGTGCATGGCTTAACGACAGGCGTGATCTGGGCCACGACGGGCTTTCTTATTGCATCCACCGTGTTCCAGCCAGTCTACACAGCCTTCAGCGAAAGCTTTGGCAGCAAAAAGTTGGCTATTCTTTCTGTGCTCCCCCTACTAGCTGGGACCCTAGCGACAGGGCTTGCAAAGGATATGACGACTCTTCTTATAGGTCGCTCAATACAAGGCGTTGGCGCTGGCGGTGTAACAGCACTCACAGCAATCCTCGTTAACGACCTGATCCCTTTGCAACATCGCGGCCAGTGGATTGGGATCCTCGGTGCTGTGTGGACCGCCGGGTCCACGTTTGGTCCAGTCCTTGGCGGAGCTCTTGCCAGTGATGAGCTCTGGCACTGGATGTTCCTAGTCACATTACCTCTCATTGCAGCAAGCTTCATGTCGATCGTCATCTTCTGCCAAGCGAAGCCATCGACCACGAGCTTCGTGAGTGGCGTCAAAGACGTTGACTGGGTGGGCTCAATCGTTTTTGTGGCAAGCATCATCACTATATTGGTGCCCTTGACATGGGGTGGGGTGACTTACGACTGGTCCAGCTGGCGAGTTCTGACACCGATGGGCTGCAGCGCGGCGGGATTCATTATACTGTTCTATCACGAACGCTATGTCGCGAAGCAGCCCATCATTCGCGGAGAGATCTTCGCTAATCGCACTACCAACATTGCATACATCACTACCGCTATACATGGCATGATACTCTGGACTCTACTATACTACCAACCGCTCTACACAGAAGGCGTCCGGAGCTTTCGTCCTGTTGTGGCAGGAGTAGCTCTGTTCCCGACTACTTTCACGGTTATGCCGATGGCGATCGCTACAGGTCTGGCTATCGGCAAGCTGGGACGCTGGCGATGGTCCGTCTGGAGTGGTTGGGGTGTGACCGTGCTGGGTACGGGAATGCTCTGCGCACTCGATACGAATACGCAGATTGTGCAGGTCGTGCTGACTGACTTGATACTTGGTGTTGGATTGGGCTCGTATGTTCTGTTAAGCGGTGGGACTTCTGAACATCTCACTAACATACCTCTTAGTCTCTTCCCCGCGCTACAATACCAACTACAGTCCGCCACAATGAGCAAGCATTTGGCATCTGCAGTCGCAATGTTCTCTTTCTTCCGTGGCCTCGGGCAGACCCTGGGCGTCGCCATCAGCGGTAACGTCTTCCAGAAGTAGGTTGAAGATTTCACCAGCTATAACACCACCAGCACTGACAAGGATGTAGCGCACTATCAGCTCGGCTGGCTAAAGAGCCATTGTTCGCTGACAGAGCACAAGAGCTAGCGAAGAATGCTATCGACATTGTCAAATGGCTGCAGACCGCGCAAACAGGCGATGAGAAGGCCATCATGCGCCAAGCATTCACGAATAGCATTCGTGTAGTCTACATCGTCATGGCTGCTCTTGCTGTTGTAGCCACCTTCTTAAGCATCTTCATCCAGCACTACAATCTGGATCGGCCGCTTGATACCGAACAGTATGTGTGGGAAGTGGAGCCTGAGGATAAACAATTACCGAAAGGCATACTGAAGACCTGACAAGGTTTCGAGGGAGAGTGTGTAGGACATGATGTGTATAAATATAACATAGGATTGACGAGCTGAAGCCGGGATTAGTACAGAGACTATGCATTCGAACAGGACACCTATATCTAGTGCGAACCAAGGTCCGTACTTGTGTTGCCTTGCGGTAGGCCTTCACGTATCACGTCCCTGAGGGTTGATCACCCTGAGGGGCGTCAACGCTCTTTAATCGTTGATGGGGACCGTGATGGCGGCGTAATTGCCTCCTCCGAAGTTCTGTAGTAGTGTTGCAAGAGGCAATGACACAGTAGTGGGCGGTGTCCATCAGCAAGCACGCAGGTACAGAGCGAGACTGAGCGACTGGTCGCCACGGGCCTGTTGGCTGTGGCATGCGGGTCCAAAGCATAACTAAGGATAGTTCATCACAATTCCATCAACTTCGCCGGAGACACAAATACCTGATGGCAAGTCGTGCCGAGCAAAGCGTATGGTCAACAAAGTTCAGCCGCACTGCAAACATAAATTCTGCTTCACAGGTGGAAATGCCTCTGGCACATCATCACCAAATTCGTAATCGTTCTACCTAGCAGATCTGCCGTAAAGCAGTGATCCGAAACTGAAGACTAGCATCTCGCTTGCAATCAATTTCTCGAGCTGACGTCGAAGCTGCTGCGTTCTCATTCGTCTCGTCTGTCCTTCGGCACCTGAGCGACCATTGCCGGAGCCAGCAATCCTTGCATCATGGAACGTCATGACGTGTATAGAACATCACATGTATACAGGCATGCTTGAGGAGGAACCAGCTCCGGTATAAAGTCAAAGCTGTGAGACACTTCTTCGAGATATACACACTCGTGAAGTCCATTAAGGTCATCATCTCTTAGCTCAAGACAATCAATTCACCATGGCCTTAGCAAACATTGCATGGAAGGCCGAGCAGGCGATGGGCCACAATGACAATGCCGCGACAGCACAGGATGTCACGAACCCAGGCCTCAAGCGTGAGCAGTGGGGAGACAGCAGTGAGAGCATGAAAGCTCTCATCTGGACGGGCAAGAACAAAGTTGAGATGGGTAAGGAGACTTCCGCATGCTTAGCTCGGGTCACGGCTAACCATTTGCCACAGTCGACACACCCAAACCAAAGGTCATTGAAGACCGGGATGTCATTCTGAAGATCACCGGCAGCACAGTCTGCGGCAGCGATCTTCATCTCCTCCACGGCTCCGTGATCGAAATGCAACAAGGCGACATCCTCGGCCACGAATTCTGCGGCATCGTCGACGACATGGGCTCGGCTGTAACCAACCTCAAGAAGGGTGATCGTGTGGTGGCCAGTTTCCAAATCGCCTGCGGTGACTGCTTTTACTGCAAGAAGAAGCAGTCTTCGCAATGCGAACGCACCAACTCGAATAAGATCGAAAAAGCCATGTATGGTGGCAACACGGCTGGTATGTTCGGCTACTCGCATTTCACGGGTGGCTTTGCGGGTGGTCAGGCTGAATACACGCGTGTGCCATTTGGCGATGTCAACCTCCTCAAGCTCCCCGATAATGTTCCGGATGAGAAGGGTCTGTACCTTTCCGATGTGCTATGTACCAGCTGGCACTGTGTCGTGGATACCGGGGTCAAGGAAGGCGATGTCGTTGCTATTTGGGGTGCAGGACCGATTGGCCAGATGTGCGCGGATTTCTCCTTCATGAACGGGGCGAGCAGGGTCATCATGGTCGACCAGAACTGGCGTCTTGATTTCGTCAAGGAGAAGTACCCCAAGGTCGAGCTCTTGGACTTTTCCAAGATCAAAGAAACGAAAGGCGTCGTCACCGAGCTCAAGAAGATGACCGACGGCCGCGGTCCAGACGTCGCGCTGGAATGTGTGGCCGGTGAGTATCCCAAAGGCTGGCTGCATACCATCGAGATGGCTGCCGGCCTGGAGACGGATACTTCTGAGATCTTGAACGAAATGATCGAGTCCGTGAAGAACTTCGGCAGTGTTGGTATCACCGGGGTCTACGTGGGTTACACCAATCACTTCAACATCGGCTCGCTGATGGAGCGCGGTATCCGCTTCATCGGTAATGGTCAGGCACCTGTGCACATGTACTGGGAGAAGTTGCTGGGCATGATCCAGGATGGCTCGATCGATCCCTTGAAGATGGTGACGCATCGTGTGCGTGTCGAGGATCTGGACAAGGTCTACTACAAGTTTGAGAAGAAGGAGGATGGTATGCAGAAGGTTTATGTTGAGACGAAGTTCTCGGCTCCTGCTGCGCAGGGGAGTCCGGCTTTGACGACGTACTAGAAGTGTGATCGAACATCCTAGATAGAGTCAATGGAATATGATGTGATGATCTACTGAAGATTATCTGAAGGCCGAGGGCATTGTTTGGGAGAAAGCTACGCGACGTGTGAATACTGGCACTTCCATTACTGAGAACCTAAACTCGTTGCTGGCATGTTGGCTATCTGAACACCAAAATGCCGCCCCCTCGATGTCCCGACTCTACTCTGCTCACCAGCTAAGCCTAAGAAGTGATTTCGTGAATGTTCCCATTTGATCCTTACATTTCACCCGCCACACTACTCGACCAACTAATCAGCGTGATGTCGTGTAGGTCACGGTATAAGTGACAGCCGGCAGCAACGGCACAATCGTAGTCGCAGTCGCAGTCACAATCTGCGTGACCACTGGTCCAATCACACTACTCGCCCCGCCGGCGGCCGAACTGGCAGGGGGAAAGGTGACGGAGGAGGCCGTCGCGGTGGGCGCGGGTCCGCTGTAAGAAACGAAGAGGATGGCGGCGACGAGGGTATTCTGGTTGGAGGTGCCGCCCTGTATAATCGGGGCGGCGCCCGAGATCAGCTGGCATGCCCCGCTTCCGACACCGTTGGCCGCGCCGAAGTAGACGAACTTGCTTCTGCATTAGCCAAATCTCGGACGCAGCGGAAGGATGCTTGCGGGGGACATACCGCGTCGCAGCCACCAGGGCCTTGGACGGTTGGGTAGGCGCTGTGGTTAGAGCATGAGGAGAAGCAGTCGTCGAAACCAATGGCGGTGCTGATCGATTGGTAGTTGCCATAATTGGTGTTGGAGCCGCAGAGGATGATATATTGCAGACCGAATTGGTCCGTAACGAGGGTGTTGTTGTGAGTCGGACAAGTATATTGCGGTCCGTAGTAGGGGGGTTGGATGGCAGTCCTGGGGTTGAGGAAGGTGATCACACCGCTGGCGCCGGACCTCAGTGTCTGGTACCCCTTTTTAAGGTAACATGTACCTGCTCCGACACCTGCGCAACATGTCAGCAGAGAGTCGCCGTTATAGGCTACCTTTAGTATTTCGTGGTACCATTTGCTCCACCGCTGTATGTATAGCCCGTGCATTGAGTATTGGCGTCGCATGCAGTCAAGCAATCAGTAGCACCGGCGGTGGCAGAGGTAGTTCCGAGATTGCCGGCGGAGCTCGAATCGCTTGAGCAATGTAGAACGTACTGGGTGCCTCCATCGTCCGTGAAGGTCTGGCCGTCTCCACTAGGACACACGAATTGACTCGAGGAGGCTTCGGCGAATCGAAAGTAGGCCACGCTGAGCAAGGCGATGATAGACCAGGCTGAGGCCATAATGCTGCGCGCGGCTCTGCTCTTGTGATGGTCGATTGGACTACTATATCAGCTGTATCCAATAGAGATAACTTGCGTCTGGTCCGCTGAGGAGGAGATGGGGCCGGGGTCGGCTATGTGTACCTCCTGCTAGTCATTATGGCGAGACCGCCTACATGGCAGCAAGGTGTTGAGGTCTACCAGCCTGGAATGCACTCATGCGTGAGGAATGTGAAGTTCACGTATACGCACAAGCCAACAGGCTGCTTGGAGATTTGACGACACCGAGGCCGGCCTATCCCAATAATCTCATATTTTGCGTCAATTATTAAGGTTGTCGGGCCACAATGTGGCAATGATGAATATCTAGCGTAATGAAGCCTCGATAAAGTGGACGTAGCGCATATGATCGCACCACCCCTCTGGCATGAGCGCAGTGCAGTGGCAGGAACCACTCCAGATGGTATGGACTTGGCATCACATCGAGCCGCGCAAATCGCTCGATGTGCTGAAAATGACGTCCCGTTGGCGTGTGAAGTGCCAAGGCGTATTATGTTGGCTGAAAAGGTGGAAGCAGCCAGGTCAGATATGCCTGTGTGCTGGCCGATTCCGGAAATCGAACGTTGCATCATTGACATTGGAGGCTGTGCGTCCGGTATACCAACATCCTTTTGCGGATGTTGACGAGGTCTATGCGACCGTATGGGTTGCCATTCACAGCCGAGATTAGTTACTCCCGTGGTATTGCTCTCTCTACAGGTTTGTTGATTCCTGGGCTTCCTGTCAATCATACGACAAAGGCGCTTGCGTAGTAGCCTTCATCATGGCTTTGGAGATACAGGTCATGATCGTGCTATTGACACCTTCGAGAAGGCTGTTAGTCTTGAGCTATTGGTCGGACCAAGCTGATACCGAGCCATCCCGAAGTGTATTCACGGGACTACACAGAAGCTGGCTGACAGCTTGGGTCTGGCATGGTGATACAGGAAGCGTCCAAAGGAGCCGGAAGTCAGGAAGAAATGTTGGGAGTTGTTGTTTGGCTCTTCCTGCGAGACGGAACGGTTCCGTGGAAGCGATGTCGTCAGTCAGTCGAGCTCCAGCAATACTTTCGAAGCTCACCATTGTATCGGATCTAGCTACCATATCAATCATGTTCTCAAGCAGATTATTCAGACCTGCGCAGCAGCTATCAAGTGTACGTCTGAGGCCCATTGTACCCATATCCCATTACTAAAGGCAATGGCTATACTACACCCAAGATCTTAGCTGACAAACACCCCACTTATTCAGCATGTCCGCCGCTACGCAAACGCCCCTCCCTCAAGCGGCAGCAACAACACCCTCCTCTACGGTGGTCTTGGCGCCGTAGCTATAGGTGGAGGTGCATACTACGCCTTCTCCAGGTCCCCCCAAACAGCCTCTACCCCGAAAGCCGGCGAACACGGCGCCCAGAATGAATCCTCCGCCCACGGTCAACCCGCCAGCAAGAACGAGGAGAAGAACATCCCTGCCAAGACTGGAGGCGACATCGCGCCCTTGAAATGCTTCAAGGGCGGTGATCAGGGATTCGTCAGTCTGGTGTTGGACAAAGTCGAGGACGTGAGCGGGAACACCAAGCGCTTCCGGTTTAAGCTTGACGATGAGGATGCTGTCAGTGGATTGCCAGTGGCGAGTGCTTTGATTACCAAGTACAAGGGCCCTGAGATGGAGAAGCCGGTTATTCGACCCTACACCCCTATCTCCGACGAAGATGCCAAGGGCTACCTGGACTTTGTCGTCAAGAAGTATCCCGGCGGTCCCATGAGCACGCACATGCACGATATGACCGTCGGCCAGAGCTTAGATTTCAAGGGCCCGATCCCCAAATACAAGTGGGAGGCTAATAAGCATGAGCATGTTGCTTTGATTGCGGGTGGAACGGGTATCACTCCTATGTGGCAGGTGGCGAGGCAGATTTTCAAGAACCCGGAGGATAAGACGAAGGTGACTTTGATCTTTGGTAATCAGAAGGAGGAGGACATATTACTCAAGAAAGAATGGGCGGATCTGGAGCAGCAGTATCCTCAGCGGTTCCGCGCTTTCTACGTTCTTGAGCATCCGCCTGAGAATTGGCAGAGTGGGAAGGTAAGTCTTCATCATCCGACCGTCCTTGCTTATGGTCCTTCGTCTGCCTGCCTTTGCTGACATGTGTGAATTTCCAGGGCTACATAACAAAAGACCTCCTCAAAACCGTGCTCCCAGGTCCCAAAGATGCCAACGTCAAGGTCTTCGTCTGTGGTCCGCCCGGCATGTATAAAGCTATTGCGGGAGCGAAGAAGTCCCCCGCTGAGCAAGGGGAGTTGACGGGACAGTTGGCTGAGTTGGGGTATACTTCGGAGCAGGTGTATAAGTTCTAGAGCGATCCGAGTGTAGCAATACTGTATAGCTGTATTATATAGATTGTGGTAGAAGGCAAGACAGCATGTCTATGTCCCTTGCTACGTTATTGGCTGTTTTGCTAGCTGACTGGTGTGCGACGTGGTGGCAGTAACTTCGTGGTTGTGCTTGGTGAAGAGAAGCAAAGGTAGACAACAGGGCTGGGCCTGAAGCCGCTAGCTTCAACGTGGTCTTGATCATGCCGTAGCAACATGTACACCGCCTAACAACTGGGCTGGTTGGGATGCTGTCAGTCACTGATTGTGAATAGCTTTTTTGATAGGTTATCAGTGTTCACTCGGCAGCTCTGTCGTGCCTGTCCCGAGATCTTGTTTTTAAGCTTAGACCTCACCTGCGCCCAAGCGTCACCGTTTCCTGTTCGTCTTGTCGCGAAGAGGCTGGAATCTTGATCGACAATGCATGCACGGCGAACATGTGACATACACGCCTATACACGACTCTTTACTACATCTAGACCTGCTATCGCCAAACTATGCAGCGGATCATTCTCTCACGACCTCAGGCGCGTAGTGGACAGCCATGGTAGAAGATGCGATCCAATCATTCCTCTCCTCTTACGGACAAGGCGATACTCACATTCCTCGCCAGCGCTCGTCTTGCTGCTGTGGCAACCCGGCGTGCGTCTACCTGAAGCAGAATGCCAGTGCGTTGGAGGGCCTGGAGGAGGATGTTCGGACTGCGGCGCGGTTGGGTCAGGTGAGTCTGAGTCCTTTTCTGGTTAGGGTTTGTGGGTGTTTCGGGTGTGGTCTGGTATGCATGAACGATGGCGCTTGGGTGAGGTTGAACGGAGATTATTTGTGCTGCGGTTATAGTAGTGAATTGTGTGAAGTGAGCTCTATTCACTCATGCAGAGGGAGTTTCGTTCACTTCGGTTTGCTTGGCTGGAATGTCGAGTGTACATTTGTTCGCAAGCGATGTTGTGCGACCAACATGCGCGATGGGGATGCTTGCGGCGCAGTGCGTTGATGGCATGAGCCCGCTGACATTCGCTCTGCAGGCTCTGTTACTGCGACATGAGACTTATATCGCCGACTCGGAGCGAGAGCGCAAGGCTATGATGGCGCATATTGAGCACCTCGAAGTGGAGAAGCAGACACTGGAGAAGAAGAATGCCTCAATCATCGAGGAGAACAGAGACTTGTTGGACCAGCTCGAGGCGTTGAACAATGCTGTTGGAGACTCCGACTCGCTGGTCACGGGGTTACAGGCGACATTACAGTCTACTCAGCAGGAGCTCCAACGCTTATCGCAGTTGGCGGTGAGAACAGAGAGGCTCGAGCAGCAGTTGCAGGAGTATGAACGAGAGCAGGTGACTTGGCAGAGTTCGGTGGAGGCGAAGGAGGAGTCAGAGAAGTCTGCAGTACGGAGATGGCAGCAGGCGGAGAGGACGTTGGTCGACCTCAATGCTCAGATTGAGCGGATAGAGGCGGAAGCTAAAGAGGAGAGGGAGCGTCATGTTGAGGTGGTTGGGCGCATGGAGAGGAGACGTGCTGTGGAGAAGGAACTTACTACAGCTGCCGGGAGGCTAAAAGGTGCGGCGGCCTCGAAGACGTCGAGTGACGATCATGGTGGTACGAATGTGGTGTCGCATTTCGTCAAGGATATTCTGTCAGATAACGCAAATCTGCAGATGGGGATCGTTGAGCTGCGAGAGATGCTGCAGAACTCGAACGATGAGGTCGAGACGCTCCGGCGACAGCTTGAGGACCACCAGCCAACGCCAGAGGATGAAGTGACGCCAGTGCAGACCGCAATCAAGCGCAAAGACCTTCGCGACGAGCTGCAAAGAGCTTCGTCACAAGAGCTCCATGTACACCACCATTACCATGCGCCACAGCCGGCGAGCAAACCACCCACGATCCGCCGGACAAAGAAGAAACGATATGGTGTGCTCACGCCGGGCCACTTCACTCCACCTTCCGGCTACAGCACTCCTCGATCATCAATATCATACGGCACGCTATCCTCGGCAGCCACGATACTACAACAGACCGCCGTCAGCATCCCACAGTCCAACAGGAACCTCTTCTTGACTCAGTCCGGCCTCACCTACAACTCCTTCCCCTCCTCCTCGGGCCCAGCATCGCCACAATCAACCACCAACCGAACTTCATCCATGTTCGAGCGCGTCTTCAGCGACGCAGGACATGAGAGTTCTCGACCTACCACACCTGGATCTGAAGACCTGGGATCGCCACTCATGGCCCCAATAGACTCGCAGCGACCTCCACTCGGCGCCTCGAATCGCACAAAGAGCACACCTATCGTCCACCGCCGCGGCATCAGTCCTAATACGAGCAAGCAGTCATTCGCCTCCGTTCTGGGCATCAGTCTCGATCAAGCCATGCTCGCCCCAGCAATACAGCAACAACATCACAACGCCATTCCCGAAGAAGTGGAGGGCGAGTGGGAGAACGACGGGTCTGCACTTCTGCGAACAGCAGAAGAAGACAGCTCGTATGTCACGTCGCCACTTTCAGACGACCTGCTCGACCCTATACACAACACTAGCGGTGACACTTACATACCCTCCCTCCACCGCGCTGCATCCCACGAATCCCTCCTCTCTGTTTCGGGAATGGATATTCATACTCTTCGTTCCCGACCCTCGCAACTTCTCGTTGTAGGGAGTGCTGGGAGGTCCGTGAGCTCAAGGGCGCAGCTCAGTAATGCTCAGGCGCACGCGACTTCCGGGTCAATGGCTACGCTTTCGAGACCGAGGGATAGTGGACACTCGCTTTTAAGCGGTATGGCTGCTGAACAGCGATTGCACCGCAAAGCATCTGGAGGTCTGGGGAGTAAAGTCGGTGGATGGGTCTTTGGACGATGGGGTGCTACACCTGCTCCTACCGTGTCTACGACTACCACTGCGGCAAGTATCGAGCGTGCTCTAGCCAGCAAGGGTAAGAAAGCAGGAAGCCAGTCCTCGATCAGCGATAGGGTTCTTCCCAACGATCCGGAGGCTACGCCCAGGAAACCGAAAGTGAGACAACCAGGTATCAATCAGTCGGGTCCGATTTTTGGTTTGGGCCCGGAGGTGAAGGTATCAAGGCCGCCGGTTATGAAGGGGTTGGATAGTGAGGGGTTGAGGACTGCGCTTGGGAACTAGGGTTCCTGTTGAGTAAGTACCCTGTGAAAAGGAGGATGAGGTGGCATAAGTGAAAGGGGGAGCGATGCGTACTGATTGATGTTTTACGATGCGATGATACCCCCATAGCACGACGCACGACTGTTCCGTATGTATGCATATCCCCATGAAATGTTATGCTGATATGCTCCATCGCTCCTTCCTCAAGTCCTTTGGATGCTGCACCGTGTGCCTGCTGTCACATTCTCACGCGACCGCGCTAGTGCGAACTAGCGTCGGTTGCTGATAGTACTTTTGGGCTTTCCAGGTAGCTTGACCTGACGCAAACAACAACACCTACTACGACTTCGATGACACACCCTCACTTTTGAACAGTGAGCACGAGCGCCGGGCGCTGAATCAGGATCACAAGAGAGAGAGAGAGAGACAGAGCGCGTAAGTAAGAGACCCCTTTTCACGTTTTCTTTTTCGTGGGCTTGGCATTTGAGGAGAGGATGGCGGGACTGCAGGTTGTATATCAAGCTGGAATCTATCAGGGTTGTGGAAACCCCAGTTTCGTGAGACCGTGAGGCATGCGGGTAAGATGTCGCGTAAGCAAGCGATCGAGCTGAGACACGCAACTCCCGGCCCGGACTTCTATGCCCACTTGCAAAGTCGTGGGAATGACCCGGCTTTTGTTGCACGGGTGGAGGGTATGAATGAAAAGGCTAAAGCGAAGGGGAGACGTGAGATATCAGCGCAAGAAGCACGGAAGCATGCGAGGGAAGTCAAGCGTAATTTGCGATTGGAGAAGCGGAAGCTGGTACGTAGTGCTCCCGCACATCAAACGCCGGCACTCGCTGTGGAGAAGCCTTCGCAGCCTCGACAAATCGCCTCTGAGTTCTCCTTCGACCGGATTCGCGAGGCTCGCGGCGAAGAACAAGTACCAGACAGTCAAGTTCAACCTTTCACGATGCCCGAAGCTGCTGACGACTACGTTGGCAAGCTCACGGGCCGCGAAAATCAGCACTTCCAGTCCATGGCCGCACTACTGCAGTATCGGCTCCATACCAACGACAAGGAAGGTCCAGGCACTATGGACGCGGCACGAGCTGCTCGATTCCGGAAAGAAGTCATCGCCGAGCGACGGGGTGGGAACGCCAGGGGCTTGCCTTCGGAGTCGCTCGATTTCAATGCTATGTTAGTAAGGGCCAACTTGCAGGAGGGCTTGGACAAGGAGAATGTGAAGAAGGTTACGCAGGCGATGCAGGAGACGACGTTGCGGAGGAAGCAGGAGTGACGTGATGATGAGAAGGTGGCAACAATGGCGCAGACCGAGTGTTGCGATTTACTACCGGTGCCAATTCGCGGCGAGGTCACTGGCGAGTGGGCTATGCATGGGAACCAGTCGGTGGGCAGAGTCGGCTTTAGGACAAGGAGCGCCAGCACAGTTTGATGATGTTCATGATGCATGACTTGTACTCGAGCTACAGCTTAGCATTGTACTTATACCCCTGCGCCACTGGCCTGTTCGAAGTATCAACCGGTATATACCAAGGCCAGCTTCCTGGAGCATCATTTTGCATCGTCCCCGAAAAGTTCGCCTCCCGTTTCTGCAAGAATGACTGCACGCCCTCCTTGTTATCTTTGCTGCCGAAGAGCTCGTAGATGACTTTGCTGTCGAGTAAGTGTTGGCCTTCGGCGCTGCCAGTATCGCGGTACATCATTTCGCGCATGAGGAAGGTGGAGACTGTTGATGTGTTGGCGGCGACTTCTTGGGCGATCTCGAGGGCACGGGGCAGGACGGCTTCTGGGGTTGATAGAGTCTCGGAGAAGAGGGTGTTGAGTAAGGGGTGGTTGGCTGGGTAGGTCGAGCCGGTAGTTGTTAGGTGGAGGGCTTTTGACATGCTAGAGACATGTACGTTAGCACCAGGATCTAGACGATAGGCAGAAATGGTACTCACCCAATCAGTCTAGGGAGGAAGTAACTCGAACAGGCCTCCATCACCAGACCTCGCCGACTAAACACAAACCCGATCTTCGCCTTCTCATACGCCACCCTGATACTCATCGGTAACGTCATGGTAATCCCGATCCCCACCGCACTCCCCTGCAACGCCCCAATAACCGGCTTCCGACACCGATGAATCGCCAGCACCACCCGTCCACCACCATCACGATGATCCCGGAACGCTTCCTGTCCGCCTATAAAGCCTGTCTCCAAATCCGCGCCGGCGCAGAAGATTCGTCCTTGGCCGGTCACAACAATGGCTTTTACGCGATCGTCGATGTCGAAGAGGGTAAAGGCGTTTTCGAGCTCGGACATCATGGTTGTTGTGAAGGCATTGTGATTTTTCGGGCGGTAGAGTTCGACGACTATTACGGGGGTCACTTCGGAAGAGGAGGCGGGGACATGATGGCAGCGGATTTGGGTGTAAGGTGCTTTGGCGTAGGAGGATGGGAGGACCAGCTTCTGGGGGGTGGATAGCGATTCGGGGGAGTCCTTCGCCATGTTGAGGGTGCGTTGCTGTGGGTTCTCCGGGGCTGTGTAGTCAATTGAGAGTAGTTTTGATTGTAGTGAGAGATACGGAGTTGTGGGAAGAGGGCGCCACGACCTACAGACCGCTTGTTCGAGCAGATAGATATACTGGTACTATGATCCTACCACGGCTATGCAGAGGCAATGCTGTGTGAAGTGAAGCTAGGCTGTGCGGAGTACACCTCGGTAGCCAAAACTTTGCTGACTGATCTAGATGGTACGAGGAACGAGCATTTCGTCCATGATCTCTAATGATTTGGCTTGTAGGTCTCATTGGATGAATAGAAAGCAGCCAGAGGATGTATGCTCTACCTTGCTCCATCACCCTTATACATCCACTCCCCCTCTCTGAACTTCGCCTCAAACTCCACACCACCGAAACAGCCCACCGCAGTCAATAAATCATGCTCGCCTTCCAGGCCAAGGACATCACCTTCCTCCTGATCCCTATCTCTCTCCTCATGTACATCCCATCCTCCCTCCACCTTCCCATTCCTGGTAAAGAAGATCTCCACTCTGTTCTTGCCACCCTGGTATAAAGGTGGCGAGAATCGCATGCCAATGCCGACCGTATCTCCTCTCCGGAAAGCGGACACGAAGTCCTGCCCGCCGAAACTGTTGTCGACATATCTGCGTCCGTCGTCGCCATGCACGGCTAGGGAGGCACGATGCCAACCTGGGAGACGCCAGGACGGGTATGGTGGGGCGAGGAAACCAATCGCTATACCTGCATCTGTGTCGCCTTGTCGGTCTGTGGTGCCCATGGAGAGGACTTTGAGCTCGTAGTAGATTTTGCAGGGTAAGATCCTCCTAGCGGCTATGTAGAGCGGGATGTCGGAGAGGAAGATAGTGTCTTCGCATTTGTGCGTTGTGCGGATGTGTGTTCGGCCTATACCGGCTTCGTTCAGAGAGGCGTTCTTGGTATTGGGTGGCATTGTGAGGTTAACGTCGCCGGCAGCTATACGACGGAATGTTTGAGGTGTATGTTGGCCAGCAGGCCATAGTGGAGTCCGGCGGCACCAGTCGTGACCACGCTGTGCCTCGTCGAGTGTTGCGTTGGCTGTTGGGCTGCGTTCTTCTTTGAGCGATGGTGGTGGTGGCAAAATGGAGCTATCGGGTACAGCGAGCCACGGATCGTAAGGTGGTGGTTCTGGCTCGCTCGCTATATGCGAAGGTGGCGGCCCGGGAGGTGCAGAGTATGCTGAATTCTCGGATGCATAACCAGGTGGGGGACCAGGTGGCGGTGCGATATAGTCCTCGTGAGATGCCTGCTTCTTTTCATTTCGCCAGCCAGGTGGTGGACCAGGAGGCGGCATGTCGTAAGCGGGTGGAGCATCCGAGCTAGACTGAGGCGGACCCTGCGAGTTTGACTGGTGAGAAGGGTGAAAAGGATTGTTTGATGCTAGCTCACTGCTTCCTGCTTGGCCGCCGAAATGTACATGGCGCGGATCCTGTCCACGTCCTGGTGGTGGACCGGGTCGCGAGGCGTAGTCGTTGTCGTTGCCCATCGCATCAAGTGTAGGGATAGCAATTGGTGCAGTACTGTTAATCTTGAGGGCTTGCTTAGGGCGTGGTGGTTTGTTGTATCGTGCTGTACGAGGCTTGTACCCGCTGCTGTGTCTGCGCTTCTGTATGAAAGAAGGTCGAGGTTTGTGAGTTAGGTCAAAAGTGTCGTGGATACGTCTGGTGTTGATGGAGTGCTGCGAGTGTGAGAAGGTGAAGTTCGGCCAGTGGAAGGTGTAGATGGAGGTGCGGTTTGTGTTCGATGGAAAGCAAAGACACGGCATATGAAAACAGGATGGATGAATATCATACGCTCGCACTATCCAGCGCAATACTTGGCCTTCTGGGCAGACAGTCTCAAGCTCGTGGTATGCACTGCCACGAAATGCCCCGCCATCGTCAGAGAAAGAAGAAGTGACGAACGGAAGTCGTTCTCGCTTCGTGCTTGCGGAGCTCGGGAGATGCTGATGGTTCCAGATCGCTTCTTCGCCTCGCATCCATCAAATCACTGCTGTACATGTCCCATGCAGCAACACACACATGGAGATACGAAATCTACACGTCCGTGATTATCAATCGAGATGCGGAGTGAGAAAGTATGAGCGGTTTAGGGTGCACGAAATGCAGGTATAGTGGTGCCTACATGTAGGGCGTTTCATGAGGGGTCAAAGTGATGGCTCAACAAGGGATTGGTTGTCTATGTAATAAGAAGGTCTCCTACGCTGACCGTTATAGAGATTGCAATCAGTGACACTGCTTGTATTCCTGACCATGTCTGACATTCCAAGCTTCCCTAAGTCCATTGGACTGCTGCTATACCCAGGCTTCGAGGCTCTCGATGCTGTGGGACCGATTGAGGCATTGAATTGTCTTTGCAACTTCCCAGGCTACGAAGATCTGAAGTTGAGCATTATCAGCCGCTCTCTGGAACCCATCGCTCTGGGTGACCGCGACTTCTTGCGTGCGCAGAAGTACCTACCTACTCACACTTTCGACACGGCACCTCAGCTTGACATGCTGTTGATCCCTGGTGGCATGGGCTCTATAGACTTCCTGCCTGGAACCGAGAGCAACAATGTGGACGACTACATCGAATATGTCCGCAAGGCATACGGCGGCTACGACTCATACAAGCCGCTTCAGTATGCTTTCAGCATCTGCAATGGTGCTATTCTGCTAGCTAAAGCCGGTGTCCTCGATGGCCGCAAGGCAACTACGAACAAATCCGGGTTCGCGCTCATCGCGCAGTCTGGACCGAAGGCCCACTGGGTTGCTCGCGCCAGATGGGTTGTCGATGGGAATGTATGGACTACCTCTGGTGTAAGTGCTGGTGCGGATGGTATGCTTGCTTTCATGGAGGCGAGGGTGCCGAAGGATGTCTTGAAGTCTGTCGTTGGGGTGATGGAGTGGAGGAGGGTGTCGAGCAAAGAGGATGATCCCTTCGCTGAATGGCATGGCGTTGAGGATGTACTGCCGAAGCAGAAGTAGGTCGTGGCCGTACACTTCATCTGCTTTCTTCAGACCATCTCATCTCGAGCTGATCGGCTTCATTCGCTCCCATTATCGATCGAACGATGACCTTATACGTAAGCCCTACCGAAATGGAATGCTCGTGCTTTGTTGTTTTGTCCAGCTCCATAGTCAACGAGTGGACCCTGCCGCCAGACACATCTAAAACCAGACTTAACCACTTCGGGAATGCAAATCCTGAGCGCTCCCCTCTTATCGTCACTTGCTATCGCAGGCGTCTCTTATCGCATCCGTATGAGGTCCAGCAATGCAGTCGTGTAGAGTCCCATCACATGGTCTGCCTGCGACTGGGTTACTCGCACATCTGCCACGCGAGATGATACCGGCAGTGTGGGCGAGTAGACGGGGTAGGTAAGCGTGGGTGTTCCTTCCTTCGCCTGCACAATTACTGTCATATTCTCCCATCCAGTTCCCGAGCCCACTCACTCGGTATTTTGCGCGATCATGACGACTACTATGGATGATAAGCCTGTCAAAGGCGGTCTCGAAGCGACTAACACCAACGGCAGTGTGGCCGAAGGGGATCTCGAGCACGTCCTTGGCTACAAGCCTGAACTTCAGGTATCGCTTCAGTATGCAGACGAGGAGGCAGAGACTGACCACGTTGCTAGCGCAATCGATCGCTGTTCACGCTGCTGTTCCAATCATTGGCTATAGCAGCGATACCTTACGGTATTGGCTCACCGCTGATCAGCTCCATGTATGCCTTATGTCTTCTCTGCCCTACGATATCTGCGATAGTGATGCTGACTATGTCGTAGCTATGGCGGGTCAGTCGGGCAACGAGACCGGGCCAGGCACCCATAATACTTACACAAACTTTTAGTGGTCAACTCTCGATCTTCTTGGGATGGATTGTGATCCTGGTTCTCGACGAATGTATAGCCCTGTCCTTGGGCGAGCTTGCATCGCGCTATCCGACCAGTGGAGGTCCATCGTACTGGGCTTGTACGCGCATAGTCTTTTGATATCTGGTTATGCTATGCTGACGAAAGCTCTCGCAGTTCAGGTTGCGCCAAAATGGAAGACGGTCCTGGCCTACATCACCGGCTGGGTGTGGCTGTAAGCTGGTCGAGCATGAATGAGTTTCATAGGTATGAAGCAGACTGACTATTGTTAGTATTGGCAACATCACCATCACGTTATCAGGTAACCCTCAAGACTCCGCAACGCTCAATCTCAAGCTCACCATCAACAGTAAACTTCGGTTTCGCAAGTCTACTATCTGGAACAATTTCGATGTATCATCCTGACTTCCTGCTCAACGACTGGCAGCTCCTGTTGATCTTCTACGCTGTCTGTCTATTGACACTAGTCATCTGCATCTTCTTCAATCGCTGGCTACCAATGGTGGATACGATATGCGCTGGCTGGACAGCCCTGTCAATTGTCGTCATCTTGATTGCTCTCAGCGTGAAAGCAGCGGCTGGACGACATTCGCCATCATATACGCTCGGTCATTACGACGCTAGCCTTTCCGGCTGGGGTTCTTTCACGTTCTTCATCGGCCTCCTGCCTTCAGCTTATACATTCAGCGCTCTCGGCATGATCTCGAGCATGGCTGAAGAGTGTCCCGATCCTGCTGTAAAGGTGCCACGGGCTATCGCGCTATGTATACCGGTCGGCGGCCTTGCTGGCGAGTCACTGAGCAACAATCGCGAACGACACAATACTAACATTCAAAGGTTTCTTCTTCATCATTCCGATTTGTGCTACATTGCCTCCACTTGCCGATATCATCGGGGCGCCAGCAGCACAGGCATTACCGTACGTATGGGTCTTTATGAAACAGGGCTATGCTGACCGGACAGTTACATATTCCACGTGGTGATGGGTAGCCCTGGAGGTGGGCTAGCTCTAATATCCTTGGTACTGGTCCTTACTGTAAGTCCCATGTACACTTGCCATATGACCGTGACGAAGTCCGGACTGACAACGTCTGATAGATCTTCTGTTCCATCAGTATCACGGTAGCAGCGAGCAGATGCATCTGTCAGTAGTATTTCTTCGAAAGCGTGTGTCTACAGACGACTGATATCTGCCGGTAGGGGCGTTTGCACGCGATGATGCTATACCTGGTGCCAAACTTTGGGCGAAAGTCGATTCACGCTACGGCGTGCCGGTCTACAGCCTCGTACTGCTGACAGTAGTCCAAATGCTCCTAGGCCTTATCAATCTTGGCAGCACGTCGGCTTTCACTGCCTTCGTCTCGGTGGGCGTGCAAGCACTTGCATTGGCTTACGGCATTCCGATATTCATCAGCCTCGTGACCGGGAGGAAAGAGGTTGATAAGGCCAGGTAAGAATCACAATCAGGCTCGTTGCTCACTGACCAGCTGACCACTCACGCAGATGGAATCTCGGTCATGTTCTCGGCACGGTAGCCAATGTATTGGCACTGCTTTGGGTGAACGGACCAACGCTCTAATGGGAGATCTCGGCTTGAGATGATCGCTAACGAATCGTAGATTGCATTTGAGCTTGTTCTTTTCAGCATGCCTACCGCATTGCCAGTATGTCTTCCTCCTGCCGTTCTCCACAATTTGGTATGCTGACAAGGTCTCTCCACGACAGGTTACCTCAGTCAGCATGGTATGCTCCGCTTCAGGCTCATATTCCTGCTCATATTGATGCTGATGTCACACCTAGAATTACGCTTCGGTGGTGCTAGTTGGCTTCGGGGCTATCGCGGCCGTCTGGTACGCAGTGCATTCGAGGAAGTGTATGTCAGCCAGCGCATAGCTCTTGGTTTTCTTCGCTGACTTCATACAGCATACAAAGGTCCTCCAGCCAGCGAAGGGCTTTAATCAAGACTTTCTGGCTCTCTTAGGCAGCTGCCCCGATTGATTGAGGCAACCGAGGGCATGCCACAGCTAGATCGAAAAGCCAGATGTCTAAAGATCGGGCGCCTGCTACAAGCCCAGATAGCCCCGTCTGATTTAGGTCATGTGGTGCCGCAAACGACGGTTCTCGATTGTGAAGAGCGCACGAGATGTGGTCACAGTATGTGCGACCAAGTCAATGTCCACGCCGCGTTGCCCGGCTAGGATGCTGCTTTCTAGGATCTTCGTCCAGGTGCCGGTAGCCGCAGTTCACTGCTTGCAAGCATAGTCAGTGCATTGGCGACGTGCGCATCAGGTGTTTACCATACCTAGATCTTTGAGGCTCTTGTGCTTCTGCCACGTCACGTATTCGTCCCTAGTAACTGGCATTCTTTCAAGATCATCCGCATTGGACAATGTCAGCTGCATCCGTCCCGACTGTTGGTCGACATTGACTGCGGTCGTGATCAGAGCAATGCGATTGTATTCCGGCACATCGCAAGCGGATTCAATTTGCCACAACCCTTCTTCTTCGACCTAAGAGTCACAGTCAGTAAGACTAATGAGGAGCGTATCTCGCTCCTACCCACCTGAACCCAGCGTTCAGCGATCACTGCTGCACCAGTACTCTGCCATATACCTTCCTGTCTAGGCAGTCTCTTGAGCACTGCGATGGCACGCCGGCGGATGACAGGATCCCGGCACCTTGAGGCGCAGAAGAAGACGGGATCGCAGTAGCCTGCGGTCAGATGGGTGCAATTGTCAGCTATCTCCTGACAATGTCACGGAGCCAAATTTGTTGTTCTACTTACCCATCTCAACGCTGAATGACGAGGCCTCGTGGCTTTCCAGTAGCTCCTCTACAATGACCTCCGCGAGCTCGATCATCGTGTCAAATTCTGGGATGAAAGCATCAAACCTCGTCTCCAGCCCAGATATACCCGCGGCCAAAATAATCTTCGCACCAATGTGCCATGCACGAAGGACGGCAACAGGCAGTGAGCGCATCGGTTCCGGCTTGCGCACCAAGAGATCCTCGAACCGTACCCTCCAAAGTTGCATTTGTTGACTGCATTTAGTCATCTCTACATCGCATCTGTCGAGCTGCGGGCCATTGTAATTGTCGAGTATGTCGTTGAAGGGAGCGACAGCTACCAGCATCAGCCGCAGCAGATCTGTGAAGCAGGCGTGTGCCTCAGCGATGCTCTCGAAAGCACTAGGCACAAAGCATTTGGGCTCAGTCAGATAGTAGTCATCAATACCAAAGTCGTTGGTGGACGATGCATCGCGAAACGTGAGTGCTGGAACGTCCAACCTTGAAAGTGCTTGCACGATCTCCGCGAGGTCGTTGCGTCGACGATTGTGCAAAAGCCGCTCCTTGTTCTCCATCAAAATCGTTCGCCCACTGCTCATATGCATCTGACTCGCGACATAATCACCTCTGATGCCTTCGAATGAGATCATGATGATGCATACTATGAGCACTCGGTCAACATCGTCCCTTCCCGCTGAAGCAAGAAGATTTCTGCAAGCCCGTAGAGCCCTGAGATGCTGCTGGCTGACAAAGTCGACGTGCTTTTGTTGGACTTCACCCTGCGCATATGACTCCGACAGCTGATGCAGAGCACTGAGCGCAAGTACTGCGTGCTTGACCGCAGGCTCAATATGACAGGCCTGCAAAACAACCCTGTCCCAGAATCGACTTGATACGAGAGTGCTGGTACTCTGGGCAGTCTTCTGGCGAAAGAACTGGAAATATCTCTTCTCAAGTATATCATTGAATGCCGGATCTGTCACGAGCTTCGGTAGTGCACCATAGTTCGCAGGCGAACGGGATCTGCTCAGCTCCAGGAAGTCGGGACTTGTGCTAGTCGCCGCCTGTAGGTCACGCCGACTGAAAGGAAGTGACTACGTCTTAAGTGTCAAGACAAATGTAATTCGACTGGCGTCTTCCCATGACTGGGAACATACCGAGTAGCCGTCACATTTTCTTCCCGTGTTGGAGCACTTGAGACCTTCGATACGAGAATGTGAAGATTAGCGGATTTTGCTCCCGGGCGGACAGTCATTTAGGCTTACAATGGGGTTTGGTCTCATCACACTTGATCCGGCGTATTCTACACGTGAGACATCCTGGAGTATTCGTCGTGAGCAGATGTCCGAAGGCCGGTAGTTTATTGGCTCATTCGCTATTGCTCACCAGTCTTCACCCGCTTCACGCCGGTAATTTTACCACCGGGCATCTTCCACATATGGCAGAAGAGCCTTCCTTTGCCTTCGAATCTTGTGCAATGACATGCTCTTGTGATTAATGCAAAGAATGTTTCGAGGACATAAGCATTACGGTGCGAATCAGCTAGTTAGGCTACCATTTGGGGGCACAAATTAAGCTGTAGTGCAAGGGATTTAGGGCACAGCCACGAGTCATGCTCGAAAAGAAAGATGACTACAGAGGTATGGGCGACTTCACAGGACTGCTCGCATTCGCGTCATCTGTGCGCTCAATATCATGTAGACCATATTGAAGTATCGTACAAACTTTTCGTTGCCTGTCCAGGACAGCCATCAGGCCCAGGACAGCACCCAGTCCGCCACCCAGGCGCCTTGGCTTGTCGAGTTCTGCAGACCCCTGACATAAAGCACCTTGCTCGTGCTATTATAGCTAACGCCATTACTCACTGCTTCTCCATTGAGTGTGACTGTACCAGGCTGGCTCGCAACACCCAACACAGTGATGTTCGCGAGAGAATTGCTGTCTTGATAAGTGCCGCGTGCTGAAGCCCACAGACTGCCATTGCTTGCCGTGAAGTCGACTAATAGTGTAGCTTCCTGCACAATGCTTTGGCCATCGTCCACGTACAGTTGGCCAGAGGCAGAGCCTTCTGCTGATAAGGCGGCGATAAGTGACCATGAGCTGTTGCGGCATTCGGAAGTCGTGTATAGCGCTTCCTGCTGAGGTAGGACCGAACCACCTCTGATGAATACTGGAATATGGCCGAGGGGCGCAGCGATGGTCTTGTTTTCACCAGCTTGTGCGTCGACGGTAGCTTGGGTGTACCAATCGTACCAGATCTCACCGTCCTTGATACCTGGAAAGACACCTTGGATCTCGGTGAGGCCTTGTCCAAGTACAGGCGTGATGAGAAGTGACGAGCCGAGCATGAACTGATTGTCGATGGCGGCCAAGGTAGGATCGTTTGGAAACTGGCATAACGTGTCAGCATCATGTATCCAGCTGGGAATGAGCTTCACTAACCTCCCAAGCAAGTGCTCGCATCACAGTGCTGCCTGTCGTCGAGGCATAGTAGAACAAAGTGTACATATATGGCAGAAGCGAGTATCGGATCTGCATCGCTCGCTTGGAAGCCTCGGCAACAGACTCCCAGACATAAGCCTCCTGTGAGTTCGCGGACAACACGTTGTGGTTTCGGTAGAAGGGGAAGAATGCAGACACTTGCATCCATCGGTTGCATAGCTCTTCGTCTGAGTTGCCTGGAGATATCTTGTTAGCACGTACCCAGGCAAGACTAGTTCGAACACCGCACCATTAAAGCCACATGTGTCGACGCCAAACATTGGTATGCCGAAAAGTCCGAAGTTGAGGGCTTGGGCGATGGAGAAGTACATATACGCAAACAGACTGGTGTTGTCACCGCCCCAGTGGCCAGCCCATTTACCACTTCCAGCGAATGTTGAACGGCCAATGATGAAGGGCCGCTTGTCTGGTACCACCGAGAGAAGAGCTTGGTACGTTGCATTGAGAATCTGGTGGCCGAAGAGATTGTGTACATCGTACTCCTCAATGCCATCCACATGGGTGGCATTTGGACTGACAGCATGGACAGCAAGATCTCCATTGATGTTGTTGATGACATAAGGCGGCTGGTTGATATTCCGTACGCCAGGCGTTACAGTACTGACGAAGTAAGGTGTGGTAGCTGTACTTGGCGGACTGGCCGCTGATGCCGACGATGCCTGAGCAGCATTGGCTGAGCTCGCAGCTGCAGCTTCGGTAGCGTTAGTGATGTTGAAACCCTCCGGGTACCCGTAGACCACTGAGCCCGGCTCGCCAGGTAGACCGAAGCTTGGGTGGACGGGATTTAGAGATAGATTGTGAGTGCCGCACGAGCCGACGCAGAAGGACGATACCTCGCTCATGTCGATCCAGATACCATCCCAAGGTACATTATCGTGGTGGCCCTGCAGACTGCGTGTCCACCATGGTACTGACGCATTTGAATGCCAGTCTGGGAAGACGGTGTCTGGAAAGGAAGCATGAGCAGTTAGCGAACTTTCGTCGAGATCATGCAGAGTCAAAGTATTGACTTACAGCCTGGCCACACTTCTCCAATATATTGAGAGCCATCGGGATTGTTTAAGAACACACCATGATCATTACCATCAGTATAGATGGAGTAGTTGTCGCTAGCGTTGTTCGGATTGGGAATGTAGATGGCCGAGTCCACAATCGGGATGTAGTGCTGGCCAGCATCATGGAGTCGTTGCAGGAACTCTTGTCCAGGTCCATACGGAAAAGTGTTCTGGTCGTTCGTAAAGTCGCGGTATTGGAACATATAATCGATATCGGTCCAGATGTTCTCCAGAGGGATGTCGAAGGCACGGTAGTTGTTCACCACTTCTTCTAGCTGCGTCCAGTTCTTGTAGCCCCACTGCGAAATCTGTTGTCAGTCTTGTCCAATCTTGCTTGGTTAGTCTTGATCGTGACCTACACGGCACTGGTGGAACCCTAACACATATCTAGTCAGCGATGACTCGTGCGTGATTTGAGCGGACAACGACCATACCGAAAGTAAAGTATTGCTGCATCGCAGGCAAGCCGATCGCACCAAGCTGATACTGCTTAGTGACCTCTGCTTGAGTCGGCCCATCGAAGAAGTACAGGTCGATCGAGCCGCCTAGAGCACGCCAGGTAATGTTTGTCGGCAGCATCAGAGCCTCCATGCCATGAGCGCTGCGCTGGTAGACACCATGTGAGTAGCTCTCGTACGTCTTCGTGGCGGAGACGTTTTGACTCGTCACCAAAGTTTTCTCACCGGTGGTTTCATCGACCTCGTGGTAGCGAGTATCAAGGTAGAATGGGTGATTTCCGTAGATGTTGTAATCAATGGGGTCGCCAGCATCCGCGGCGTAGAAGGTCGCGGTGTAGTTGTTGCCAAGTCGCAGGTCGTGGATGCGTTCACCCATGCCATAGAGATTGTAATCCTCTGGCAATTGAGAGACGAATTCAATGAATTGGTTTTCGTAGACAAGGACGCTGCCTCTCGTGTCGAAGAGAACGTCGCCTGTGGACTTGCGAAGGATGGTGAAGGAGAACGTAGGTTCATTCGACCACGAGAATTGTAGATCGATGTCTTGCGTGTCTGGCTGTATCACGCCCTGTTCTGGGAAAGGGACCAGCTCCTCGGATAGAACATACTGGCTTCTGTTGCTGTTGTCCAGGTAAGCTGGCTGAATGGAAACACCGAGGCGGTGTGCTGTCTGATAGTCGACGTTCAATGCAAGTGTCTCGATGTCGGTGCCGTACACGTTGCATGCTTCTCCTGCTAGACTCAAGGTGGCTGTGACACCATTCGCCGTCCGTTCGACATTGCTTGCTTTGTAGCCTGGACATAGTGCTTGGGCTTGCTTCGCATTCGGATCTGTTGCCAAGGTTAGCTGTTGAAAGATGTCAACGTGCTCTCGAGTGGTATACCTTTGATATTTGGCAGAAGGTTTGGACCCACGTCAGCAGCAGCAGGCACAGTGAATTGTACGCTGTAGGTCGTGGCTGTGCCATTGATTGTTGCGGTTCCGACGGTGGGACTTGGTGTCACACTGTAACCGGACGTGATGGACAGACCATCAGCTGGGTTAGTGGACGTGCTAGACTGCGCTGAGGCGACGGATGAAAAGGCAAAGATTGCCTGTCTCCAAGTTAAAGAGACCATATCTACCGTCTTGTTCGATGGTTGGAAAAGGTTGGCCGCAGATGACCACCACGGAGGCATCGTGATGGTACCCTACCTCTTATGTGGCCGGCTCCCATCTCGTGCGGAGTCCGCAGCAACCATGCAGCGTCAACACGAAATGTCTGTCGTCGATGACAGCATAGGTAGCTCTTTTGATCAAGCTTAGATGCAGTCCCGCACAACAGCGTGAAGCTTGACCTGCCTTGTTCCTGAATCAACTCCACAAAGCTGGAGAACGGTGGTGTCGGTCCGGAGATGAGCCAATCATCTGACGAAGACACAAGCGAGACGGAGGCTTTCTCGGTTGCTCTTCCCACTTCAACCCCTCTTTGCGTGCAACCTCATGACCTGGCATGGCAACGACTATGGACAGCGTAGGCTTCAGATGAAATGCTACACCAGGTCGGTGACTTGGCCCTGGAGGCTCTCGCTAGACGCGAGTCCGACAACTGAGCCAGGATAAGCACGTTGAGGATGATCAAGTCAAGCATCAGACTTCAACCACATCATTTCTATGCTCATACCCACGCATTACACTTTGCCCCAAGCCGCGGTGACCAAGATCACCCCCCTCATCACGCCACTCATACATCTTCTTCCGAATGCTCTGCTTACAACCCACAAGCACTACCATCAACCTTAGTCACTTCAGCATCGACTCTGCCGGAGTGTACCGCCTGACCGCCGGTGAGATCATTCATAGCAGCTTTCGACATGTTGATACCCTCATCGTCATGGTCGATAGCAAGCATATGGATCGTTTTGCTGTTGTACGTGATGGCATAGCACTGACCGCAGTTGGGAGAGTTCCTGTGACCAGTGCATAGCTACACGAAGAACTCGACAGTGAAGACCAGGTTGCTTACCATGCAGCGATATCATTGCTGCCGCCGATATATGGGAAGCCCGCTACAGCACCTTGGGTTGTCCAGCCATGCTCTGGCGTGAGACGGTCAGCACTGCTTTCATTGCGCTAGGAGTGAGTGCACTGACTGGTCTCGAGCCCGTTCACGCCATCGCTACAAGCGACCACGTTCATGCTACGTGAGGCGTCATCGTAGCCTGTATCGTACGACACAGTTGTGGCGGCGGTAGTGCTGAGGATTGCAGTCAGGATGCTGAAGCACTTCATCGTGTGTACTCTGCTTGAAATGTCGCCGTCTTGAATGTTGTGCCGAGATACCTGATAATGTGTATGATTCCAGTGCTATGATATCGGATCATGAAGAACGCATAAGGATTGAGAAGCTCAGAAATGTCATACGGTGAGATTGCAAAACAGACAATGGCTTGAGCAAGAGGCACCAAGAATGTGCACAAGAGCAAGGTCGTGCAAACCACCAATTGGGAAGTCGTATGGAGGTCCGAAGGTAGGTGTGGTACACTGTGGTCAGCAGTCGCACACCACACAGAGATTTTGCAGCAGCATCGACACAACATCATAGTATTCCTAAGCCTAGCGCGTTATTATTGGAGCCCAGATTCACGCATAGGTGACCGCCGAAAATCAACAGGGTTGTACTCCCACTAGACCAGCTGAGCAAGATTCCTCAAGACTGTCTCCTCCAGCCCCGACCACGTCTTTCCAAAATGCTTCTGCAGCAACGCCTCTGCGTCTTCATTAGGTGCCTTGCTGAGATCCTTGTCTAGGTTGATATCTCCCGGAAACTGCTTCTGTGGGAAATTCTTCCTCAAGATCTCCAGGATCTCATTCCAGTAGTATGGCTTAGCGAAGCCAAAGATTCGTTCCCCGTTGCACGAAGGATCGATCAAAGCGGCGACATGCAGGCGAGCGGTATCTTGAACATCGATGTACCACTGAGGTGGGAAGTAGAGAGGCTCTTTATCGCCTTGGAAGAGCTTGGGGACCCAGCTGCCCGTGCTTGCTGACATGGCTCCACCGGGCCGTAAAATCTCGCCGATGTTCAGATTTGGCAGTACGGAGGCGACTTGAAAAGGTGGGTTGGTTTGCTTGACGGCTTTCCAGAGGGCACGCTCGCCTTCGCTCTTGCTGGCTCCGTAGACGACGAAGCCATCGGGGTCCTTGCTTTCGTACGCCTGCTTTACTGACTCGTCATTCCAGCTGTCCTTGGTGACGATGATCTCCTTGTTGGGAACCGGCATCAATGCTGCCGTGGAAGAGGAGGTGAGCACGAAGCTTTTGATGCCTGCTTCTTTCGTGGCGCTTGTTAGGACACTCAGTGTGCCTTTCACCACTGGCGGGATGACTTCGTCGGCTTTGTTGCTGAAGGAAAGGACGCTGGCAACGTGGCAGATGCCACTCACTCCTTTGACGGCGCTGTCGAAGGCGCCGTCGGCCACCATGTCGGGGACTTCAACGGCCTCGAATTGGCCGCTTCCATATTTCTTGTCGAAGAGCTCGTACATCCATTTCCCTTTTTCGTGCGAGCGAACCGTTCCACGGACTTTGTAGCCGGCTTGCAGTAGTTGATCGCAGACATGGCCAGCTATGTAGCCGTTGGCCCCAGTGACCAGGACGGTAGAGCCTTTTGCAACGACGCTCATGTTGAGGATTACGTCCGTATCTTCTGATGAGTGTCTTGGCTGAAGTCAGATTACTCTGATCCTGTAAACTGCATGCGAAGATAGAGTTCTTATCGTGTCAGATCTCTGGGTGCCTAGTATTTATGTTGTCACCTTCACACAGCAGGTGTTGCCTTGCGGAATTCCGGGATGGGTTGCGATCGTTGAGTACTTACGTGTGCTGACTAGTGAAACTCTGGGTAATCGTAAACCGGAGTTATCGTATTATACGGACTTATAATTGTACGCGAAATAACTGTCGCATGCTAAGACCTAAAGTTAGAGAAAGTATAGCGTCCTTAAAGAGCGCCTATACCTAAAATAACGAGTTATCGGCCTAATAAAGCCTTAAATAGGGTAAGGATTATAATAATAGTCGAGTCAAAGGTATTATTACTTTTAGGACGCGTTATAACGCGGCGTAAGGAGCCTTAGGTAGCTTCCTAGGTATAGGCGCTCTTCGAGGATACTAGTAGGCTCCTCGAGGATACTATAACTTTAGGTCTTAGTATGCGACAGTTATTTTGCGCACAATTGTACTCGTGTTTGGGATACTCTGCACTACCTTTACACTATGTGGTGCTAATATATACCTATAGTGCGAGGCTTGTCGCTGCAGTACGATGCTGTAGTGTGAAGCGATGGTGTACGAAGAAACATATGTACCTAGCCAGTGTGATTGTCCAGGAAAAAGAAAAGTGAACAAGAGGTCTACATCGGGCGAGATGATTCTTCATTATCGCGAATGATGAACGAGTATGAAAACACGATCGCGCATCGGAATAAGGTCAGCATGGCCTGGATGGCGTTGTCAAGGGAGATCAAGTTAGGCTTGTAATGTGCAGCAACACCCGGACAGCATGATGGAAAGGTCAGCCTGTTTGGAAGGGAAGTGCACGGTATATGTGCTACAGAATCCTCCCCAAAATGTCGGAAATCATGGATATCCCATTCTCGCACTCCCAGACACCGTTCGCCAATCGCTAAACTCAGCCATCCCAGCTACAAGACACACTTCGCCATCAGGCACTCAAAAATGTTCCTTCCAAAACTTGAACTTCACCTCCGGCACCTCCGCCTCCTTACAAGCCTTCTTTACCTCCCTCGCCGCAACATTCGGCCCACAGAAATAAACCCCTACCTCCGTCTTCCTCTTATCTGGCCGCACTAAACCAGGGATATAACTCTGATTCAACACGCCCTCCCTCATTCCAACCAACAACTTGGCGAAATCGGGTCGGCCAAAGTTGGTGCGGCTGGAGAGCTCGGTGAGCGGATCTTTGTCCATCCCTACGCTATTCAGCACGATATTCGTCGCGGCATTGGCGTCGAACTTTTGCGTGAGATAAGTATGGATCCGCAAGAACTCCGTTTGGCCTCCTTCGCCTCCGCTGCCGGTCATGGAGAGGGATTGCGCTTCGAGACTGGAAAGTAAGGCCTGGAACCATTCGAAGGACGTCGTGTCGCGGCAGACCCAGATGAACTCTACGCGGCGCAGACGTTTGGGCGGGTTTGGGGAGAGCCGCATGTGCCAAATGTTTTTGAGGATGGCGGCCCAGGGAGTTACTCCGATGCCCGTTCCGATCAGGACGGCGACTTCGTTCTCGAAGACGTCCTCGGCTGGAGCGCCGTAGGGTCCGTCAATCCGCAATCGAGGCATTTCTTGGCCATTCTGAAGCGCTACTTCGTACATTCCCATGGGATCTAGTTCGTCGTATAAGCTGGATTGTTCGGCGCCGGCTCCTAGCGCGGAGGCGAGGGAGCGAGTGAAGTCTCCCACCTGACGGACATGGACGGAGATGTAAGGATCGAAGGGGCAGGAGGTGATAGTGAAGGGGTGCCATTGAGTTGCGCTGACGGAGGGTAGATTGAGGAAGAGCCATTGGCCGGGTTTGTAGCGCATGGAGGGTTTGCGGAATTGGATCTCGACGGCGTCTGGAGGAAGCATCCACATTAGCATCGTGGCATCAAGTCTAGAGGGTTAGTGGTCTATGACCGACTTACCATAAGGATGTCTCACAACCTTGATAATCTCCGTTTGCCTCCTACTCCTCAATTCTCGATACACCCTCTCGCACAGATAAATCCCACCACCAATCAACTCCCACCTCCACCCTTCATACCCGATACAATGGCCCCAGAACGGCTTGCCCGCGAACGGACTATACGGCTCCAGACTATCCCTCACGAAACATCCCGTCGCATGAGTATACATGGCCAACAAGAATGGAATAAACAAGTGATGCGTATACCAAAACGTCTCGAAACTCTGCTGCCGAATCTTGGTGTGGGCGGTGGTGTACATGAGGAGCATGCATAGGAGCATGATGTGGCCTGTTATTCCTCCAGCTTGAGTATAGTGGATCTCGACCGCCGCCTCTTTCCTAACCTGCGAGCGCTCGACATTGAAGAAGTTGACATAATGCGCGCTCACATGCACCGTCGTCCAGATCAAAATCGAATAAGCCACTTGTCGATGGAAGAATTGGCTCTCGTCCAGCGGTAACCATCTTATCTTCGGCCTGATGACTCGCAGCAAGTTCCGGCACATGGGCAGGACGATGAGCATGACATCTACACTTAGACACAATCCTGCTCCTCGGCTGAACCAGACGCTGAAGTGTAGGGTGTTCAAGGGTGCCAACTTAAGGTTCGAGGCTTGCAGATACCAGCCGAGGATGAAGAGGCCTATGTGGAGGCCGTGGAAGAGGGTATAGAAGGTTAGTTTGCGCGGTGTCAACTGGGCTGCTAGCCAGGACTTTTGTTTCATGGGAGCCATGATTGTGTTGCCCTTGGTGTCCGCCTTGAGGTGGAAGTCGGGGACGTGTCTCAGAGGCTCCAGGTATCACTGATGATCGGTGTTGGAGCTCGTGAGCTTGCTATCGTGGCATTATTCTTGTGTTGTTCCTGCTCTTGTGTGTATGCCGAGGCCTTCCAGCTCCAGTCCAGGTGTATGCTATCACTGCTAGCCAGGGAGTATGGGGAGAATGGTAAGAGTAGCGGAAATGTATGCGATCACGAAGATACAGAGAACAAACCGCCTACCTGTGCTGTGATCAACCAGCATTATTCACCTACGGTACCCTAGAACCTCACCTTCCCACGCTACTGCAGGCATCTCAGAAACCCTGACACGACCCCATCACGGATCCAGACCCGTTCTGCACTCGAACATGCACAAGAAGAAACACTACGCATGCCCTTTCCAGCCTTTCACCACAGCGCCAAAGCGTGCGATGGCAAAGATTGGTCGGCTCACAAAGTGCTTGCGGATGCAGATGCAGATGCAGATCTCAACGGGGCGATCCGAGAAGACTACTTTGCCGCTGGCGCTAGTGATGTGAATGGTCGGAGAGAGATGTGATTGGCGCGCACTTCGTCTGGCCTGATTCATGACAGCGCCTCGCCAAGCAATTCTCACGAGCCGTCCCCGCAATGCCATTGGCCTATTCGCTGCCATGGGCGCTTAACATCATGCACTCGCCTGCATGCACTCTGCACCGCATGGCCGCCCTCATACCATGTTGGCAAACCCGAGAGGTCGTCCTGTACGCAATGGCAACTAGCCTTCGTCGCTTCGATAGGCCTAAGCGAGTATGAGACTCCATCATGCGTGACGAAAGCGCCTGGCGTCCATTTCATTTCTGCAGGGCTGACTTGATCGTCTTGTTGCTCCATTATTATTCATGGTACAGTAGTCGCTCTTCTCGTATATGCTACCGCTACCACTGCATGCTACTACTGGTCTGCCCTTCCTGGTATTCGGTCGCTGGTCTGGTCTAGAGCTTGTGTGCATCCGCCAACACACACATACCAGCACAGTACAGATACAGTCAACATCCACACTTCCTAACTGGCGGTCACTATCACAAGCCACATCTGGAAGCCTATTGACCACAGATCTTGGCCGACTCGACCTCACCAGGCAACTCTCCGGCCTCTCCCTGGACTCTAGTAACACAGATCATGCACTCGTCCTCGCCAGCGCGGTAACATATCGCCAGCTAAACCACGACATTGGAGCCTACTCACTCCTCGCGATCATGGGCAAACTAATAAAGAACCACTGGGCTCGCCTCATCGTCCTCGCAGCGGCAACTTGTATGTCTGGTTTTCAACTCCCCTCAAACCACAACCACCCACTAACACCCTCCTCCAGATCACGTCGCAGCCTCCCTCTGCGCCTTCTTCTGGCCCAAATTCTTCTTCGACTTCTACACCAAGAACTTCGACCTCGCCGTCAAACCCGTCCCCATCCTCCAAACCATCAACCTCGTCTTCGCCCTCATCACCCTCGCCTACGAGTACCCGCTCTCCTACCTCGCCGGCACGACGCTGCATCGTAGTCTAGAAGCACGTCTGATGTGGTTGCCGTTGTGCTGTTTGACGGCAGTCTTGATGTATCAGGGGACTAATCCGGCCGTGTATTATTTTGTGGGTTGCGGAGTCTATGCTTGGGCTTTTGTGGAGGGGGAGGTGGTTTGTGCGGTCCCTTGGACCTTGCCTAAGAGGGTTGAGAGGAGGAGGCCGGAGAAGGTTTGATGACATTCGAAGGTATTGGGTTTGCATAAGGGACATGGCGTTCAGGCGAAAAAGGGGGCGCGTCTTGACGGCCACGGTGATGCTATAATTGTTTAATGATACGATGTACATGCAAAGCAAGTCCGAGCCTCCAAGATCATGCTACTTGACCACCACTATCGTCCATCTGCATTCATTGTGATCGTGCGCTGTGTGTCGTAGTCAGAAGTCCGATATCATAGCACAGTCTCTGCCATAGCTTTCGCAAACGGCTGATGGAGAATTTGTGGCATAGTGACTCGGTCGATGTGTGTAGAGATGGGAGAACGACCATGACTACAAGCATTATCAACACATGAGTGAACTATAGCTTATGTACAGCTCCTTTATGCAAACTCCCCTGGACCGTCTACGCTATACACGCTCTTCACGTCCCATGCCGGGCGCATATGAGGATCACTGCTGATGATGTTCACGACTGCACTCTCTCGTGCACACCCGCCTCGGATCATCTCCTGACCAAGACTCGCAACCATCAATCTCGCTCTCAGCTCTTCGACGGCGACATCCAGGTCCCAGCACAATCCCCGTCCATATCGAGACCCATTCTCTTCACCCGTATTATCGCGATCCAGCTAGTGCATCATAGCCCTGATGCAGAGTCATCCCCTCTACGACCCTCCAAACATACCCCCTCCAGCACCGCCAGCAGCACCCTGCCTCTGCGCCGCCTCACCCTGCATCTTCTCTGACACCTTGACGTTCACCTCGAAGAACTTGGCCACACATCGATCCAAACAGACGGACTCTCCTTTGTTCAGGTCGGCTTCGCGGTAGGTTTCGGGGATGCATTTGCGGGTACAGGTGTCTACTAGTCTGGTACATATGTTAACAAAGGCATTGCGGGAAGGAGGGAAGGAGACTGAGACGCACTGATTGAACATGTTGGAGACCATCTCGATCTCGGCTTCTGCTGCTGCGATTTTCTCCGCCGAGGAGGGTTGGGGGCGAGCGCCGCCGAAGAGGAAGGACATGCTGGCGTTTCAATGAGTTTTGTTTGATTAAGAGGCTTCTGTTGTGATTTGATTGTGTTGATGGTCCAAGGTCGATCATGCGAATGCTACTCACCTCAGGTCTTGTGCTCGCGGACCAGTTACGGAAGTGCTTGGAGCTTGGACACTTTTTGGAAAGAAATAGAGCTATGTAACTCAGCATATAGTATGGCGAACAACACCTCGTCGATCCAATTCGCTTCTCACCACAAACGTTGGGACGAGTGGTCAATGCTGTGATGATGGCTGAGGTCCCCCTGGTCGACTCTACACGACCTGATCAATGAAGATGGTAGAGCCAAAGTCCCTTGCTAGAGACATCTCGCCGCCACCAACATCACGCAAATCATCGACCAATGGCATGGAAAAAGTCATGAACACAGACAGCACAAGCCTAGAAGTTGAAGACTCACAAGCTGCGGAGCCCACACTGGCCGCCATCGAGGCAGGCCAAGCCGCAGTACGTGACCATCTGGAGTATTTCGCAAAACACTTGTCTGCCGCGATGAGAAAGCCGCCGCCTGGACCTCGACTGAGCATTGCGGACTACAAGGCCTTGTACCGGAGTAACGAGCATCCTCATGGTCGGCACTTCGTAGTCCATCAACACGACCATCCGATATCAGGTATAGCTTGAGCACATTCGAAATGAAAGATAGTTATAGGTAGGCTGATGAGAGGTAAGGTGTGCACTATGACCTCAGACTGCAGTTTTCAGAGTCGAGCACCATTTCTTTCGCTATCCCGTACGGTCTGCCTGGAAATTCTAACTCGCAGCGACCTAACAGAATGGCGATCGAGACGAGAGTGCATAATCTTTGGGTGAGTCAGGTTTTAGCATTCACCTGATGAGAACGATTCGAGTTGTCAAAGATGTCCATCTAACGGCAGCAGAACAATCTCATCGAATCAGCCTCACACGCCACTGGCTCTCTGTTGATATGGGATACTGGTGAGTATGGAGTACTCGATCGACCCATACAGGCACACAAAGGCCGCACCACGGACGACGAGCTCTCTGATGATGATGAGCAAGCACCAGATGTCTGTCCCCAGAGTGAGCGCTTATTCACTGCCTTTCAAAGCCGGCACATCCATCTTCGCCTGCATGGCACTCGTCTACCCAGAGGCTATACGATCGCTTTACGATTGCCACGCAACGAAGCTGCAGGCAAGCAGCCAAAGAAGCCGAGTACGAAACGCAGGCGTATCGACCCGACAAAGGCTGCGGAGCTGGCGAAGCGACGTACCCCAGCGAACGAGACCGACTCAGACTCCGATCCTCCTAGCGAGCCCATAGTCGACATCACCGCGGACGATGACGCAGCTATTGCCTCTGAAGGCGAAGAACAGAATCATAACGAAGTCGAAGAAGCTCAGATACGCATCAACAACGCATACCCAGGCGCGAAAAACTCCATCGGCTCAATCCATCAACGTCACTGGCTCCTGACCTTGGACAGACGGAACTCTGGTTTCCACAAAGCTCGCAGCGGTCCTGAGGCTGGGAGATGGGCGGGTGGGTTCGAGCCTTTCTTTGTCATGGGCAGGGATGAGGAGAGAAGTGTGGTGACTGGGCGGAAGGCGGACGATGTTATGAGTGATGAAGGTGTGAACGCGTTCGTGGGAAGGAAAATGTGGAGGCCCATTGTGGAGTGATCATCCCTCAAAACTTGCGATGCGTACGAGCTAAACTCATGGCTATGAACAGCTGTGGTGCTCGCTTGGTGCTCTTTCTGCTACGCTCGATGGAAACCACTACGCCACTCTGCAAGTGTCACCATCATTTGGTCTGCTTCCTGCCGCATTGCTGGTGGATCGGCCAACCTCTGGTATTCCTGCTCGTCTAGGTCACGGATCCCATGGAAGATTGCGGGCAGGATCGACCCTTTCCAACGCTTCTGTCCATGGTTCACAACGATCGTGCTGACCACGAAGGCCAACGCTAAGAGAACCACTGTGGCTGTGTACAGAATCCAAAGCCATCTACTGTGCATTAGCTCATCGTTATATGGGGTGAATCTCACAGCGGTGCTTACCTTATACAAAATCTGAAGTCTGAGAACCAAGATTCGCCAAATGATAACTGGGTACCCTCTCTTGCCACGAGTCTGATAGCATGGCTCAGGTACGCGGACATCGTCTGGAAGGCCTCAGCTAAGCCGGCGTACATCGCGTCGTTACACCGGCCGCTGTTCTGCGCTGTGACGTACGTGCATGGCTGCCCGAGCATTTGCGCTGCGGAGGAAGTCGTGCGCCAGCGACTCGAGTCGTTCCCGATCTTCTCCTGATAGCCGCTCAAGAAAGCCGGACCTTCAAAAGCTCCGACAGTGAGGAAGTTCTGCAGACCACGCTGAGCACTCGTTGAGACGTGGAAGGAACAAGTGTCCAGGTCGCTAAATCTACTGTTGTTCTGCCAGCATGTCGATGTGGTCATAACGATATCATTCGCAGCTTCGTACGATGTCCGCGCTGATCGTGATAAGTTGGTGGACGTCTCGAACACGGTCTCGTTAAGCACACCGTTCGTTACAGTTCCGTTCACGCTCTGCACACACCAGTATGCTACGCACTCGGTTGCAGCTGGTGCGACGTTGCCCCATCCCCAGGCTATGGCTCGGTACCTTACGATCAAAGGTCCAACATTAGACAGGATCTTGGCATCCGGGTACAATGTGTCCGAAGTCATGTTCACAATGGCTGATGCTCCTAGGACCAGAGAGCCATCTGATAACGCAGCGACATCGCCGTTGGTCACAATGTCGGAAGAGCTGTCGGCGCACCGCGAACAGATTGACAGTGTACTGTACGCCCCGAACGTACAATTGCCTGAATTACAATAATAAAGACTTCGGGCATTATCCGACCAGGATCCATCGGAGAAGGGCTCTGCAAAGCCTGTCGTCATGGCTGTCAGCACAATGGCTACTGGGATCTGCTGTCCAGGATTCTCGCCACTGTACCATGAGTCGTAGGACTGAGCGACATTGATCCACGGCATTACTTGCGGCAATGTCACGAGTACTTGGCTAATGGCGTTCTGCGTTGTGAGGCTTGTGCCGAGTAATGCAATGGTGGCGATCGCTCCTATGGTCGTCCAGGTTCTGGGGTGCTATCAGCAGAGGCTCGGCTGGGCTGGTTCTCCGCAAGCGACCAACCTCCATATACGCCTTGGCATCAAGTAAGACAATAGCTGCGCCGCCCCAAAAGGGGTAGTGGCATGCGATAGTCGATCTAACCATGCCAGCTTCTGCTGGCCATCACGAAACCACAGCCATCTGAGTTGTCCGATGCACGACGTTAATGCGTACGCGACCGACGTCGATAGAGCTGTATCTAGCAGCGCAAGGACTGAGTTGATTTGGAACTTATACGGCCAGAACCTGGTCAGACGGTCATTGCTCCACATGAGAAGTCCGACTTCCGCTGCGAAGGCCAACAGTGCTATGAAGCAGGCAGAGCATTCGGTAAACCAGGAGTCTTGTATCCAGTCCCACCATACTTGCGTCCGACGCAGTTGTCGTGGCTCATGCTTTTCTTCTCGCAATAGATGGTTTGCTGATGACGAAGACCCGTCTCTGCGTTTCAACCATGGTCGTGATTCCGGAGATCGCGGTGTTGCGAGCCGTACGGCTCTAAAAGGTCTATGGTAAGATGTAGGCAATGAGAGCTCATCGGTGGAAGCGTCACTTGCCATGGTCTACGCACGCATGGGCGACAGCTAGAGAGGGTTCTATAAGATTCACACATCGTTGGCAGAGACATGGTATGGCTTGGCTCGCTGTGCCGCATGCAAGATGAAGGGCAGTGCTGTCCGCACTCCAACCCATGGCGGTGCATAAGCCAATCACAGGATATCGGCCTTGTTTCGCTTGCCGCTCCCTTATATGTTAATAGACTTATGAGCGGTTAAAGTCTGGTACTATCATCTTTCTCAGAACCATCATATAGAAGCTCTGGTCATCTCGAGCGCTCTCTATACCGATGCTCTATTATTGAATACTTCTTCGACCTGGCATGAAGAGTTCGCAAGTAATCCCTCGCGTTCCTGGTGAGTAATGTGAGCATGGACGAGCGCTTGTGCCTGGCGCCAGCAGCTGGACAGCTATTCGCCACAACCATGCCTTTTTGGGAATGGAGAAAGGCTTGAGAAACAGCACCTGGTCAAGTCATATCACAAGGCTTAGGATGTGGTGCAACGAGCATGAAATGCATTACTGTCTGTATGAAATGTTGATAGCATGATGACAAAGTCTTCTGGCTGGTGCGACGAATCAAATATTTGAGAAATAGAACAAATACATGCTTCCGTGCTAACTAACGATTCCGGGCCTCTGAAAAACTCGAGAACACGCCAAAGATGCATGGAGAAGGCGCCACGGGAAACTTTAGGAGTAGCAACGATGTTTGCAGGAAAAGTATCTAGACGAGCCCTTCAACGCCAACACTGCTAAGGGTATATGCCATGATACTTGCCATCCTCCGTCCGTGACCTTATATCGCCGACGGTGTCGACTATTGTCGTAAAAGCTGAATAGGAAAGACTCAAACATGGAGCACATCCTTACATGAGCCAGATGGTGTAGACCACACCAGTAATCACCAGCCAAAACCCGCTCATCTCGGCCAGTCCTTGCCTGTAACTACCCGCAGCACTGGCTGTGGCGTCTGCGGTGGCATTGTCGAGCGTGCCGTTGACGACCAGGGTATCTGTGCCGTTCACGTTGGCCACGCGGGCGATGGAGTTGTTGTTCGCCACGCCATCCAAGAAGTCTGTGCTGTTATTGTCGTCGCACCCGCACTGCTGATATTGCCCGCAGAGACACTGAACAGGATGCGTCTCGTTCTGGTTGTTCGTGTTGTTGTGGTAGGTGTATGGGTGGGCGTAGGGGTATGCGTACGCGCCGTAGAGCCAGATGCCTGGGAAGAAGGCCAACGCCGAGCCAGCTAGGAAGTAGGGTGCGATGCCACCAGGTGAGCGAGTACCAGCACCGTAGGGTGTCCTTGCGCCACCACCGTAGTATTGTCCACCGCCATATGTTGGCGCGCGTGAACCGCTGCTCGTCGATGAACTTGAGCCACGGCTGCCAGATCCACTGCTAGTGCTCCCTGAACTTCCCGAGCTGCCAGAGCTGCTTGTGCTGCCACTTCCACCTTTCGCGCCGCCGCCGCCACCCTTGCGCTTGAATAGCTCTTTTGATGCTTCAGAAAGCGACTCTAGTGATGTTGGTACCGCGAGCGCATGGATGACTGTGATGAACCCTAGTAGGTAGAACAGGATCTGAGGAGTCCTCATGGTGTCGTCTGTACTCGAAAGTAGTTAGTTTGACGGTTTGTTATTAAGCCTCTTATGTGGTCAGGTATGTTGTCAGCCCCCAAGGTGTGGTTGTTGTCGCAGGTCTAAGTACAAACAAATCAAGATCTTGCGATTGCTGTGCCTTGATGTATACAGTGCGATGGACGGGGGCGAAGCACTTGTTAATCTACATACCAAGCACTTGCTTGGCCCACGTCTTGACCACTTCATCATACAGCCTGGGTATTACACAGCCAAGGCCGCGTGAACCGAGCCAATTGCATAGTGGTCAACGGTGGAGGAGGGCTGTGCTCGTCATTCATCCTTCGTGATGTCAGCCGCCTCGCGCAGTCTTTGCGTTTTCGGGAAAAGGTCGTTCCGGTTAAGCTTAAACAAAGGGTCACGTGTGTGGCGTTGTCGGAGATATCCTTCGTTATGTTCGTTTGACGTGGTACCATTGTAGAGTACTCCAGATCTTGGTATGTGGCGATGGGTGTAGAGAAGTTAAGCGGCAAGTATACTTTTGTGTTCTCTTGATGTTCAGCACTCTGCCCAGACGCTATGCATACACCTTTCTCTGCGATGGGGCTTCGAGTTGACGAACGGGCCAAAGCTATGTGTAACCCTAAGCTACGATCACAATGCAGCATCACCTGTCCGGACGAGTAAGCCGAACCAGTGGCTCAGCTGGCCATATGCATATGCATGTCGATTTGCCACGCCCTCCCATGGCTGCGACGGTCCTCGCCGCTGTGGCTCAGGTCTAGTTACGCTGTATCTAGATAAGCTGCGGAGCGAGGGAGACTCTGGAATGTTGATGCTGTACAATATGTATCTACACACGCTCTAGCTGGTACTACGGCTGCCGCCCTGGATGTACGAAGCATCGTCGAAGGGTGCGACTGCCGCACGAGGCGCGAGTGGACCGCCCATTTCCTTCTCGAGACCGTCTGGGAATGTGCGCGGAATGGCTGGCTGTAGGTCATATTAGCCATGTGCAAGGAACATGATATGAGCTCGCGGTGAGTGCGCTTACTCTGTCCGGATAGAACTGTGCCACAGTAAAACAGAGGCCACTGAAAGTCGCTACGAAGCAGCCCTGTTCAAGTCAGTGTAATTCGGGATGAGAAAGAAGCAACCGGTGCAGCGTACGATCAGGACAGCACCCCATCCAGGTGTGAAATGCGTGTACTCTTCTGGTGAGAAGATACCGAGGATATCATTGTCCTCGTGCACAGTCTCGCCGTAATTGCGTCGTTCTTGTGGATCCCACCTGTAGTATCATCAGTACACGTCTTTTGAAAAGTGCTTGCACGGCATACCAGTCTGCGTATGGGTCACGGAATTGCCTCTTGATTGGCAAGGCGGAGGTGAGAGATGGGTCGGGGTAGTTGCCGTTCTGTAGACACATATACTTGTCAGTTTGATGTGTAGATGGTCGCGAGCAATGCCTTGCCATTGTATGTGGACTCTCGGAAAACATGGACGAGGGTGTGTACTGCTCCCGACACACGTGGCTGGGTAGGGCTCTTTCATGGACTGTATGACCGTACCATGTTCACGTCCTCCATACCGCCGGCCAAATCTTCACTTCCTTGCTCGACCTGATCCGGAGTCTTCCCATCATCTGCTGGTCTTCTGACGGCGGACGCATAGCTCCTCTGAGCCATTGGGAGAGCTCGAAAGGTGGAGGTAGGTCGGCCGAACTGCGCTCGAGGAGCCAGACGAAGTGCCGAGCGTAGAGAAGCCATGGGATATTCAAGGCACTAGGGCCTGTAGGTCTGCCGCGAAATTTATGGCCTTATACTGCTGGGGAGGTCACCGTAGACTTGTGAAGCCAGCAGTGAGGCATCGAGCGGGAGCATCTGGCATGCACGAGTCTTGGCATTGGCCGCGGGAAGGGATGAGCCGCAGCACGCTAGGGTTAGGCGAAGGGAAAGTAGAACTAGTGCCCCTCGATACGATGCAAACATTCTGAATCATTGCTCACGCCGACTTTGAAGGAGCATAACACACGCCACAGTACCCGCCTCGACTTGGAACTTCGTCACGATACTCAGTGGGCTCTGCGCTTTCCGTGGATGTCAGTCACGGTGATAGCGGGCTCCGGACGAGGATGAAAGAGGGGGTCAGTGTTGTGAGCAGGAGCCTGGAGAAGCTGGGATGAGCGCGACGCTGGAGTCGGGGCAAACACCTCCGCTCGACCACGAGGCTGATGCGGACGACGATGTGCAACAACAGCTGCTGAATGATGCGCAAGTCAGCCACGATGAAACGAGGGACGAACGTGACACAATTGCGACACACCACACCACGAACGGAGTGTCCGCTAATGACGTCGACGTCGACGCGATCAAAGTCGAGGATGTGTTGGGCACGCAGGAGCACGTGGACGATGCAAATGAGACTACCACGACCTTGCGACCGGCGCCCCCGCCAAGCAATAAGAGGAGGGAGTCGGAGACAGTGGACGGACTCGTGACGAGCGGCAGTGAGCGGCCAAGCAAGAAACGCAAGCGCGCCGTATCGCCTCCTTGGCAGTTTGGCACAGTACAGAGCAGTACGATCAAGGGCGCAGATGGCCGACGCATCTCTGCAAGACATACCACGAGCACACCGGGGCTGAGTGAGTCTGACGGACCCGGTCGTAGTACCAGTCTGTCGCTTGGCCGGTCTCGGCCACCCAGTCCGCCATGGAAGAAATTCGAGGCCGAGGGTCCGAGTTCCGTTCAGGTTGATGGCATGCGTAAGAGCGGTCGCGTGAACAAGGAGGTGGTGCAGGGCCCGACGCGCACGAGTCCGAGGCAAAAGAAGCAGATTGAATGGTTGGAGGAGGAGGTCAGGGTCAAGGCAAGGCCTGTGTCGCGTGGGAAAGCGGTATCGAAGGACTTGGAGAACGCTGGCATGGACAAGTCGGCCAAAGGGCGGAGATCGCTGAGCCCAGCCAGCAGAATAGCTGATCTACAGGCCCAGATCGCTGCACTCCAGCCCACACCCTCCGTACTGTCCTCGCCGGAAATCGAGCGCAAGCCGAAGACTACTTCACACAAGCGCAAAAGAAGCGATGATGTCAAGCCACGAGAGACCGGACCATTAACACCCACTGCCCAACGCAAGCCCGGCAGACCGCGGAAAGACACTGCGCTAGATGCGCTCTCACGCCCTACTCCTCGTCTCAAGCTGAGGTTCAACGCTAGCAGACAGCTCATACCGGTGCCTCATCCGCTGGCTCAGACTTCGCCTCCTGCTTTGCCCCCAAAGCTGAGTTTGCATCAAGTTATTGAGCCATTCGAGCTTCAGGAACTGCAGCAACCATATATGGATAAAGACTCAGGCCCACCAGATGCCGACGAGCTCCGATCACGACATGAGAAAGCCGCGATCCTGGAGGCTGGATCGAGGAGAAAAATACTGCAGGCTGCTCAACCTGGCGGCGTTCTTAGCCGTCAAGTGTGCTCGCTCTTCCACGACGAGCAGCAATCGGAACCTACGAAGCAGTACGGTCATGTTGATCATCTTGCCACTCAAGTCCTGTACTTCCGCTCCTTACAGCAACGAGAGAAAAATCAACATCGGGCTCTGGCCAAGAAGGTCGCATACGAAGCGCTCGAGCAGTGGAAGTACAGACGCGGTCCTACTGAGGAGGATGTCATGGCGGAACAGAATCGTACGCTTCACCTGATCTACAAGCAGGTTGTTCTGGATGTGAGGGGCAAATGGGAGATGGTTGCCGCACATGTGGAGATGTTGAGGAAGCAGAGATGGGAAAACGAAGAGGCTGCGAGGAGGCAAGAAAGGTTAGAGAAGCAGCTGGCCACTGCGACGGCCATGATAGCTCGGCAGCGCGGTGATGACGATGGTAGTGGGGAGGATATGGGAGACTTTGAGGATGATGATGATGCAGAGGATAGTGGTGAGGGCGAGGATGATGAGGAGAGCTTGGAAGAGAACATGAGCGATGAGGATGAAGTTGAGGAGGCTGATGGATTGGATGATGGTGGCGAACTGACAGGAGAGGATCTAGCAGCTTACATTAAAGCGACCAAGACAGATCCGCCTGACAAGGATGAATCGACCACCCGTTCTCTGGCCGAAAAAGATATTGACGTGCTGGTCGATGCCCAGGGCTTTGGCAAAACCGTCGATTTGTCTGACCCTCGGGACCTTCAGAATACGATTACACAGCCCTCGACTGCCGCCGCTGCCGCTCGTGATCATGTCGTGAACAGTGCTGTCGTGAACCGTGAGAGAACCACTGACGCTCGTGAATTCGACAGGACAAGCCACAATTCCAGATGTGGAAATGATGCAGACGACGAGGAGGCTCAGTACATCAATGCCCTGGGCAAGAAGGCACCGCATAGCAAGGATCAAGAAGCGACGAAGGCAGCAAGAAACGAGTCGAGCCCAAGAATCAAGTCCCGAAGGCAGACAGGCAACAGTCTTGTATCCGACATCGACACCCAGGACGAAGACGCCGGGCTCAACCTCTCCGATGACGAGTCAGAAGACATGTACGACTCTGACGACGACATGAGCAGCAGCGAGGATGGAAATGAAGAAGGCAGCGAGTCCGCGGAGACCGAAAGCGAAGACGGAGACGCTATCCAGAGCTCCTCACTTGCTTTGTTGTTTGGGAACAAGCAGATGAAGGAAATCACTCTTGGCTTGCCTACGCCCACCACTAGTGCTGAGGGCGATATGCGTGATCAGACTGCCGAGCCTGTTTCTGACGACAATGACGTGCAAGCTGGAGCGGCTGAGGTGGTCGAATCGGGAGAGACCATTACAGCGGCTTCTGGCGAAGGTGATGACATGGAGCTGACGCAGGAAGTTGTCAAGTCTACCTCTGCGCCTCAAAGCCCCAGTTCGGGCGAGCCGTTGGCGTCAACACTCAAGCATATGGTGCCAATCCCATCGCTGCTTCGCGGCACACTGCGCTCGTATCAGCATGCCGGACTGGATTGGTTGGCCTCACTGCACCGCAACGGCACCAATGGTATCCTTGCCGATGAGATGGGTTTAGGCAAGACTATCCAGACCATTGCACTTCTGGCACACTTAGCCGAAGAGAAACAGATCTGGGATCCGCACCTCGTTATCGTACCCACATCTGTCGTCCTCAACTGGGTGAACGAGTTCCATAAATTCTTGCCTGGCTTCCGTGTACTGGCCTATTTTGGCTCGCAAGAAGAACGTGCCATCAAGCGACGCGGGTGGACGAACGACCCACACCACGAAGACAGGGACAAACGTGGATACAATGTCATCGTCACCAGCTACAATGTCGCTATGGCTGATATCAACGCCATCCGCAATCTCAAGTGGCATTACCTTGTCCTCGACGAGGCCCACAACATCCGTAACTTCCAGAGTCAGCGGTGGCAGCTTCTGATTAGGCTGAAGACAAAAGCTAGGCTGTTGCTTACGGGAACACCTTTGCAGAACTCACTTACGGAGCTCTGGTCGCTCTTGACCTTCCTTACCGCTGGAGACGATGATCCAGCTCATGGTGATCTGGAAGAGTTTCTGTCGCATTGGAAGGAGCCGGTGAAGGAGATTTTCGACCGTGGCGTCACCTCCTTGTCAAACGAAGCCCAGAAAGTCGTCGACCAGCTTCATGTATCTCTCCGACCATTCCTGCTCCGACGTCTCAAGAACGAGGTCGAAAAGGATTTGCCGAAGAAGACGGAGAGTGTGGTTGTGTGTAAGTTGAGTAAGAGGCAGCGGGAGCTGTATCAAGAGTACATGAGTCTGGCCAGTACGAGGGAGAGTTTGACGAAGGGCAATGCTGTCAGTGCTGGGAGAGTTCTGTTGAGTCTGAGGCGGGTGTGCAATCATCCCGACTTGTTCGATCCGAGGACTATTGATACGAGTTTCGCGCTGGATAACTCGCCTGCTGAGGGTTTCGCTGTCAAGGAGAATCTCATTAGAAGATTGCTTGGGGAGGAAGCGGCGAGTGCGACGGGGCTGATCGTGACCTCCTTTGAGGGTCGTGGTAAAGCTTCACTGAAGCGTGCACGACAGCTGGATGCATCAGGTCAACTTCGTCTGCAAGCTCAGAAGCTTGAACAAGCTCCGACAGCAGCGCCGGATACCTTCTCGATTTCAGGCTCTCTGGCTCTCAAGAAACATCAAAGTCGCCAGAGCAAAATACAGCAGCTTCGCAACAGCATACAAGCGACCACCACAAGTTTCGGCCATTCACCAATTTATGGTTCTGACCTCCGGGAGCTTCTGACGGTCAAGTTGGGCAAGCCGTACGTCGTGAAACATCTTCGTAGAAGACCGCAGGAAAACACAAAGCATATGCGCGCTTGGCCTGCTGTTGGGTCACGGCCACTCAGTCTTGAACACCGTTCCGACTTTGTGATGGCACATTGCACGAGCCTTCAGCAAGATGTTATGAGCCTCAAAGGCTATAGCGAGAAGATGCATGCACTCATCACCCGATTTGCTTTCGTTCCGCCCAAGGCGACCGCGCCGCTGCTTGAGCAAGTCATTCCGTCTCGATCGCAAGAGCAGCTCCGCACGAGTGAAGTCTACCCGGCCGATCTCGATTTTGCGCATGAATCACGAGTGCGGACGACTATTGCCTTTCCCGATTCGAAGCTTCTCATCTACGATTCTGGCAAACTTCAGCGACTGGCGGTACTGCTACGAGACTTGCAGTCGCGCGGCTCTCGAAGTCTCATCTTCACCCAGATGACTTTCACCCTCGATATCCTGGAACGCTTCCTCAACCTACTGAACCTTCCATACCTACGCCTAGACGGTCAAACGCCTACGGAACGCCGCATGCTTTACTCCTCCGAATTCAATCGACCTGATTCGAAGTACCAGTGCATGATCCTGTCCTCTCGTGCTGGAGGTGTGGGCCTAAACCTGACGGGCGCTTCTTCAGTGATCTTCTACGATCTAGACTGGAACCCTCAGATGGATCGTCAATGCATGGACCGTGCGCATCGAATCGGTCAAGTACGCGATGTGGAGGTCTACAAGATGGTCAGTGAGAAAACTGTCGAGGAGAATATTCTGAGGCGTGCGAATCAGAAAAGCTTGCTTGATCAGGCGGTCATCCAGGAGGGTCACTTCACCACTGAGTATCAACGCGAGCCTGCTGGCCCTGCGGATGGGACGGAAGCGGACCAAGACGATGTCTCAGCTGCTATTGAGCGATTCCTCGGCGTCAGTGACAAGTCTGCTAATCAGGCCATTGCTTCTGTTGAGGATGTCGAAGACGTCAAGGCTGCGGAGGCTGCGAGGAAGGAAGAGAATCAAGATGCCGAGGAGTTTGTAGAGAGGTTGACCCAAGGCCACTCGGCTGCTCCAGCTATTCCCGGGCCGGGAGCTCTTACAGGTGCTGGGGAGGACGAGGACAGGAAGGGACATATTGATGGGTGGATGGTGGAGATCATGGAGAAGCTGTTGAAGGATGTGCCGTTCGTGCCGCCGGTGGGAAGGAAGTTGGATAAGCATGGTAGGGATCCTAGTCATCGTCCGAAAAGGAAGCGGGGATAGAGTCGCCGTCGTTGAATCGGACGTGACGGGTTGACAAAAGTTGGCATAGGCACTCGGAGCCAGGCCAGTGATCTTGCGCGCACGGATGCGTTGTGTATATGCACAGCTGTATGCAGAGAGTTGTTTGAGTAGTCATCGTGATAGAAGAACTGAAGATACTCCAGCAGCCTGGTCTAAGTGGCCAGCCCATTGACACATGCACATTTGCCCGGCCGCTGATGCATGGGATTACTTTGGGGTCACCGTCTGAAGTCGACCAGAGGGAGCTTCTCACGAGATAGACGGCTGCAGTGGTCTTGCAGTAGTCACATGGCTATACGCATGATCAGATCAAATGTCCGACCAGTGACAATGCAGTCCGTAATATGCCCGTGGATTCCTCGAATAACGTGCGTCGTCGTGATCTCAGGCTTGATTTGGATCCCGGTCTAGAGCCTCTTAGATACAAGGCCAACCAGAGACACGCAAATGCGGAACGTGCATCATGTTGGCGCACTTTGATCGTCGCCGATGGCTCACAACCTGATCGTCTTCAAAACGTACCACAGAACCCAGCCATGCTAGCACTTGCGTTGGCCCTTGGGAATGTGTCTCGCGGGTCAATACCCAACCAAGCAAGATGACCGGAACTGTAGCTGCAGGTTGATGGATAGACAGCGACATCGACGTGCTTGGTTCCAAGGACACTAACGGAATGTCATGCCGTCTGTTGCATTTAGGCAGCTATCCTCTGAAGCCGGTGAATTGACGGGTTCGCCGAAGCATGCGGACTACTGTGTATCGACCTCTCCATCGGTGTTGGTCGGTGCATACTTATTCGGATGGTAGTGGTGACAATCGGCAGGGGTTGTCACTAGCGCTTTGGAATCATCTCCTCGCTTATGACTTGCGACCAAACAGCCAAAGCAGATGTCGCGTGCATTGCTGCAGCAGCAATGTAGTATACGCATGACGGAGACACTACTCCGTACAGTCACACATTGCTAATCGCCCTTGGCTCCGAATGCGAGTTCTGACTTCACACAACATATTGCAGGCGAAGGGCTTCTGCTTGAGGCCACACACCTCCTGCTTTCTTGTGAGTCAACACGGTCAGAGTTCAGCTTTGAGATAACACGCCCACCAACATCATGCACACCGCAGACCATTACGACTGCGTTGCCATAGGTAGTGGCGTAGCTGGCAAGCTGGTACCATGGATGCTCTCCGGTAAGCATGGGAAGAAGTGCGTCGTAATCGAGCGCAAATGGATGGGAGGTTCCTGTCCAAGGATCGCATGCCTGCCTGCCAAGAGTGTGATCCACGCCTCGACCATGGCGTGGGAAGCACGCATGACGAATCAGCATGGGCTTGCCATCCCTGGCGCTGCGGACCTCAAATCGGATCTCTCGCTAGTCGAGAAACGTAAAGTTCTGATGGTCGACAATATCAATGGCTTCAAAGACTCCTTCGATAAATTCAACGTGGAGATACTTGAGGGCGAAGGTCGATTCCTGGAGCCTAAAGTGATTCAAGTCAGCAACGGCCGTCGCCTGACAGCCGACACGATCATCATCAGTACAGGCTCCCGCGCGTTCATCGATCCGAGCATTCCTGGTCTGGTTGCAAGCAGCCCGATGACTCATGTTGAGCTACTGGACAATGAAGTTCTTCCTTCACACTTGATCGTGATCGGAGGTGGGTACGTTGGTCTGGAGTTTGCTCAAGCATATTGTCGCTTTGGCGCGAAGGTCACAGTCGTTCAGCGTCAGCAGCAAGTGCTTGTGAAGGAGGATAAAGATGTTGTGGATGCCCTCGTCAGTGTTATGGAGTCAGAGGGTGTATGCTTCTTGATGAACACGGAAGTCAAATCTGTTGAGGGGAAATGTGGTGATATAGTGACTTTGACTGTCGAGAGCAATGGGAAATCTACCAGGCTGCAGGGCTCTCACATCCTGGTGTCCGCCGGCAGATTGCCGAATACCGAGGAGCTGGACCTCGCCAAGGCCGGTATAAAAGCCACCTCAAGTGGTCATGTGGTGGTCAACGATCAGCTACAGACCGTAGTTGATGGTGTCTATGCGAGCGGAGATTGTGCCAACAGTCCATACTTCACGCACATGGGGTGGGATGACCATCGCGTAATCCTGAGCCATATTTTGGGACATCCGCGGCGAGCCGGTACGGTCGGACGGTTGGTACCCAGCGTACTCTTCACCTCTCCTGAAGTCGCGCAGGTCGGTCTCCGCGAGAAGGAGGCCAAGGCTGCAGGCATCGATTATCGACTGGTTACGGCTCCTATGGCCTCCACATTCCTTCGCACGCACACACTTGGGACGCATGCGCTTAGTGGCTTTGCTAAGGCACTTGTTGCGAAAGACAGTGATAAAATCTTGGGATTCACTGCCCTTGGAGTGAATGCAGGCGAGCTGCTGGCTGTGATCACTCTTGCAATGCAGCAGAATCTGGATTATCAGGTGATTGAAGATCTGATTATTACGCATCCGACTCTGAACGAAGGTTTGGCATTACTGTTTATGAGCGTCCCACCGTCGACCGGCTAAGCCCATACCATGCGCTTGTTCTCAAGCGGAGACTGAAAATCTGTAGCAGGAACCTAACCCTAGATGTCAGACGAAGTAACCGCTTCGATCGATACACCTAGTGATCTGGAGATTGATGCACGAGAGCTCTGTTTTAGCTTAGCTAGCTCAAAACCCCTATGCTACTTCATGAGCTTCATAGGTCGAGCCTGACCTGCCGTTAATTTAGCCAAGCCATCATGATTGTGTCTGATATGCTGAACGTTTGACTCGAGAGTAATGGTGCCATTTCTTTTAGAGCTGCTGCTCATGAGTTTACAATCTCATCTAGCAAAGTTGGAGAGTGTCATCCGGGAGTACCGCTCGTGACTAGAACGAAAGTCTAGCTCAGACGATTGGCTCACCGGCAAGAACCATTATCCGCTGCAAAAGGCCGCACTTTTCACCAACACTAGAGACTGGTCCAGCAGATAGAAATTCATCGACAAGGCGGCGCTGTGAAATCCTTGGGCCATGGCCAGATGGACTGACGCTCCAAGCAAAGCGTAAACGCACCACCCTAAGATACGTCTGCGACGGCGGACTTCGATGTGGCTCTGGCTCGTGTCTTGATAGCCAGGACCCTGACTTGGCTGACCGTCAAACCCCGAGCGAGCTAACCAATGTCCCATATGCCTTGGGGGTGGTGTTTGTTGTGCGTTTCCTAGTTCCTTGCTCGAGTTCTCTTTGCCTGCTTACTTCTGCAATCAGCATTTCCACCTGGAATACTGCATGACCTTAGGATTAGCCTGCTGGTCTCATCAATGCCTCTGAGTCGCCGCTGTCACCCCAAGACCAACCCATGAAGGGCGTAATGTATCGTCCAAGCGACTTTGCGAATGCGAGGAAGTCTACAGATCTGAACAATCCCCGCTGGGTGCTTGGTGCTTGTCCGTGTTAATCATTAGAGAGATCTTCCATATGCTTCTCTGGCCGCGAGGAAGCCTTCGGTATCTGTAGATGTTGAGGATTGGCCTAGTATCGGGGTTGTAGCGCAGGCTTCGTTCCCACCCCCTTGGCCTCAAACCACGGCCTGATGTCTGGAGCTCGCTCGTTCCAACATGGCTTGTATGCAATGGATGTCGGATGCATTGGTAGAGCTGGCTTTGTCCAAAGACACCAGTCCTCCAGTCTAGCAACTATTCTGCTTTGTGTAGTGAAGCCACGAGAGAACGACCTCCGGAGCACGCGAGATGGACCAGCCTCTGGTCTTGTACGAGTGGTCGGACGATGACCGTAGGGTGGTGGAGGTGTGTGCTCTGCTCAGAGCTCTATAGCCGGCCCAGAGCCGCAATCGCAAGGCTGGCATATATGCTGTTGGAGCGAGCAGTGCCGTGTTGTCCCTAAGATGTCGTTTGATGGACTTTCTCTTGGGCAGTCTCTGGCACATTGTCGAAGCGGTGTCGACGAGCCATGTCCATCCCTTAGACGATCAGGTGAGTCAAGCAAAGTGTCTTTGGCCTTGATCTTCGCTCGGGATATGCTCGTGTGCAGCTCCTAGCAAGATCTCGACCTTGTTCTATCTCGGGCGTCAACTAAGCAAACCGCTTCGCTAGCACTAAGACCGGCATACTATACTCGTTAAACATACTATCTTCTACGCCTAGGATATAGCTTACGCCTTAGTTCTAGCTTAGGCGATTAGGTTTGCTATTCTTATAGTACCTCCGATTTTGCTCGTAGACTTTTATAACTAAACCTTTAGCTAGTACGTAAAACTAGCCCTATCTAGGTATCGGGTACGTTAACTCTAGACTCCTTTATTATTAGAAGATTCTTAGTTCTAGCTACTCTTAGAGGGTTAGAGTTAGAGGAGTTCTAGAATCGATATAGGATAAGTCCCTCTACAATCTAATAAAGTAGCTATTATAATCTACCTCTCTCTAGTCTACTAGATCGAACTCCTAAGAACGCGCTATAAGAATACTATCTTAGTAAAACTATAATATACTAGCAAAAAGTAAGAGTAAACCTTCTTATATTCTTTCTAATTAATATAGTAGATAGTAGAACGCCTAGTACTATAAAGTCTTAGTATATTATATAAGTAATATAATAAATCTTAAAAAGATAGCTACTCTTTTATTTAGCTACGAATACTACTACTAAAGTAGTATAGTTTTTATTTAAGTTCTTTAACCTACTACTACTATATAGGACTACTAATACTATAATACCTTATTATAACTATAGTAAGTAAACTAAGTTAGATCTATATATTATCGCCTAGCTAATATAAGGCCTAGGAGGTAACTACCTCTAGGTAGAAAAGCGTTTAGAGTAGGCGAGGGCTGCCCGCGTAAGGCTCCCTTACGCGTACGCTAATTAGCCCCCCGCGTAAGGCTCCCTCTCGCGCGCGCTAATTAGCCTAACTAATATAAGGCCTAGGAGGCAACTAAACATTAATAGGATCCTCCCTAAATCCGGTAAGGCGCGAAGCTATACGGTCTAGATTTTAGTAGGATCCTATTTAGTAGGATCCGTACTTCTAGAACTACCTATAGGCGCCGTTCTATACGCTAAAATAGGATATATCTTACTCGTAGTACTCGATTGTCTATCCGGTATTATTTCTAGTACGTCTAGATAGTATTTCGTAGTACTAGGGTTAGGGTATAGGTGTACGCTAGTAGTCGTCGGACGCGCGAGGGCGTGCGGATATACGCCCGTACGTATAGGAGCGCGGGGTAAAGTATAGCCGCCTCCGTGAAGTTCGGCTACTCCCGAAGACTACTACGGTAGTAGTCTTTAACTCTACTTACCTTAACCCTTTAACTCTACTTACCTTAGCCCTCCCTACCCTCTATAAGCTATATACGGCATATATAGCGTTAGGGTATATACGCTATAACTCCCTCCGACGTATTCGTACCTAATACCCTAGCTCTAGCCTCTATATTATATAACTTTAGCGTACCCTCGAAGCTACGATATACTATCTACCTTCCGTATTCTATAATATAGGTAGTAATAATAGAGTCTAGTAATGCTTATACTACTCGATAACCTCCTCTACTCCCTTCTCCCTTCTCTCTACCCCCTACGCTATCTACTATCGTATTATTAGCTACTCTACGGTAGAATTAGATTACGATATTAACCTACGATATTAACTATAGGGTAGGCTCTCTACCGCTAGACCTCGTACGACGTCTATTTACTTAGCGCTACGCCTATTTACTTAGCGCGACACCTATTTACTTAGCGCGATACCTATTTACTTAGCGCTACGTCTATTTACTTAGCGCTACGCCTATTTACTTAGCGCTACGCCTATTTACCTAGTACTACGCCTATTTACTTAGCGCTACGCCTATTTACTTAAAATATTTACTTCTTATACGGCTAAATACGGCTACTAGCGGTGTTATACGCTAGATACGGCTACTAGCGGTGTTATACGTAGCTATACCTTCGCTATAAGTACCGACCTTTAACTCGCTCGAGAACGTACTTCCGAACGCCTATAGCTAGTAAGGACATACTATAAGTACTAGCAAATAAATAGTACTAGTACTATACCCTCCTTAAACGCTATACCCTCTTCGAATACTATACTATCCTCGAATACTACTACTACACCCCCTCGAATACCGTACCCTCCCCGAAAACTATACCCTCGAACGCTATACCCTATTAAATACTATACTCTCCTCGAATACTATACCCTCTAATACTATACCCTCCTCGAATACTATACCCTTCTCGACTACTATACCCTTCTCGAATACTATACCCTCCTTAAATATTATACCCTTCTCGACTACTATACCCTTCTCGAATACTATACCCTCCTCGAATACTATACCTACTATAAACACCCTACCCTTAGTATATAGAATACTATACCTATAGTACCGAGTACGATAGTACCTTCCCGCCTCGAGTAGGCGATACCGCTTACTACCTAGACGCTAGCCGCGCTAGTAAACTAGCTCCTTATAGCGTATAAGGCGTTAGGAAGGCTTAGCGTAGTAGGCTAGTAGGTTGTAGGTAAGTACTTAAGGGCTGCCGACCTTACGTATATCGGCCTTATCGAAGTATATAGGAGTAGGCTCGGCGAGGAGGATAGGGGCGAGGTTTAGTAGTACTTAATAAGTTAGCTTAAGGAGAAGGCTAAGGATATAAACGAGGCGGCCTTCGCGGTAAGTAAGTAGGTTAAGGTCGACTATACGTAGAAAGTAACTAGCGACGAGGACTTAGAGGATACCTACCGAGGCTTCTATACGGCCGTAGTAGCTAGTCGTACTACGAGGGACAATAAGGCAGCGCTCGCGAAGACTATTAATACGGTGTAGGGTAATACTATACTAGGGATTAGGCCTCTAATAGGGGTTATTAAGACAGGCCGAGAAAATCCTATTCGCTAAGTCGCTAACTTAGCTAAGGTAACTAACGTCCCTAGGTAGTCGTAGAAGGATAGACTAGTGCTTACTCGCGATACTATTAACTAGTATACTATTCTACGCCTATAGAGTAAGGACGTAGGTCGGGGTAGATAGTCGAAGCCCGACGTTACTATCGTATAGGGCGACATTACCTCCGCCGCCGGTATCTTAAGAAATATATAGTACTATAGTATAAGCGAATAGCGTAGCGCGGTATACTTATCGACTACTCTCTACTAGCTAGCGGCTTTTTACGACCTTATCCCTAACGACGATAGTTAGGTACGACGGATCCCTAGCGGCATCGAATCTATTAGGATCGGCTTTAGTAATTATAGGTAGTAGGACGCCGAATACGGTCGACTACGCGTCCCGTCGATCTAACCCTCGGCT